TTTAGTTTACTTTTAAACTTTTAAATGTACATATTTACCTTTTTACATGTTAGTGTCTTATTATAAAATTCTTTATATAAAAAGATATATTAGCATTTTATATAAGATTAATTTATATAAAAATAATTTATTAACTAACATTTTTTTTATAATAAACAAAGTATTACTTTAATTATATAGAAAACTATAGTCTAAATAATTCTTTATATCCTCTTAAGCTTCTTCTATGTTATTAATAGCTATATATATATAGTAAGCTATATTGCCTATTAGTGTAGTACATGTTCTAGGATTTATTTATAAATGTATTATTCTGTTAATTAATTATAACCTAAAGTGCTAAATAAAGGTTACTATACAGTGCCTTACATATAGGCTTAATTAAAAACATTACTTATTTAAGTTTAAGTTGCCCTTAGCATGCTTATATAATAGTAGTGTAAAGCAGTATCTTACTTTAAAATTATAAACTAAAAGCTTTTTATGTAAAAGTAAGTTTATTAATTATAGCTTTAAAAGCTTTATATAAAGTTTTTATAAAGTTTTTATAAAGTTTTTTTACTTACTTTATGTAAAGCTTATTATTATTTAATCTGTTTAATACTAGTTATAGTTTATGTTAGTATTAAAGTAATTACTAAGCTGCTTATACAGTAACTTTTATAATTATTCTAGACTAATATTATAAAAGTAGAACATGTGTGCGCGCCCTTTAAAGATATTAGAAAAGATGCTTACATATAATACCTTAAAAATAGTAAGGCATTAGCAAAGCTTAATAAATACTATAGCCTTATTAGCTAGAATATTATATAGTTACTTTATGTAGTTATTTTTCTTTTTTTATACTTTTTAGAATTATATAACCTTCTTAAGTGTAAGGTTCTCTGCTGTAATATTTTATGTAGGTAGAAGTTAGTATAGATTATATAGTAATTAAATTATATATAGTAGGTACAAGCTTTAGGGAATCTTATGCAGAGCTGTGGCTACAGGAATATGTAGCTACCTAGTTATGCTCTTGTACAGTAAGCTATTACAAGGTAGTTATACTAATTATAGAGAAAGTATTAAGTCTATAAGTAATTTATATAAAGACATCCTTTATTATGTTAAAACTAGTAATAGTAGTAATAGTTTTATATAATGCTTTAGTAAAATAGTAAATGTGTGTTCTTCTTTTATAAGTCTATATAGTGTAGTAGCCTTTATTATGTCCTTTTTAAAGCTAATGCCTTTATTTTATAAAGTAGTAATTAGTTTTTATAAGAATAGTTAGCTAAGATCTCTAAAGTGTATAAGCTTCTACTTTATAAAGTTATCTTAAAAGTCCTTAAGTGTACATACATTTATTACACTTAACATGTAGAGTTCTATAATTAAGTTAGCTATATACAAATTAAGCTTTTTTTTAAGTGTGTTATTTAATAGTTTAATTTTATTTACCTAATTTTTAATGTTTATCTGCTTTACTAGAGTCTTTGCTAAGATGCCTATAAAAGGTACATATTAGTTATATGTTAATATGTTATGTTAGCTAGTTATAAATAGAGCTGGCGTTACTTATTGCTTTATAGTAGTTAATTATGCGTTATTGCGCGCTGTCTTACTTCTTGTTGTATGCTGCCTCTAAACAGCCTTATGCAAAAAGATAAAACAGACCTTCTAGCATTAAATAAGCACTACTATTTGTACAATACCTTTAAATAGTATTATATAGACAGGTTTCTTACTCTTACTTAAGTAACTAAACAGAGATTTATAGCTACTTGCATATAAATTAGACTCTGTCTTTACTCTTACTAATTTATAGTTAAAGTAGTAAGAAAAAAGATTTTTCTTATACACAAACTTTTAAATAGAAAGGTATAAAAAAAGCTTTCTCTCTTATAGTATTTAAACTACTAATTAGTGTTAAATAGACTCTCTGCTAGCTAGCACTTAGTGTTAGCAAATGCGTACAAGACAGAGAGGTTTGCACAGTGTAAACATCACACAGGGGTGTTAGGTAACTAGTGTTAATTGCTTCTTGTTATTTCTATTGTACAAAGGAAAGAGGTTAATATAGTCCTAAACTCTGCGCACAGATCTCTGTGCACAGGGATCTAGGCGCATCTAAGCCACGTAACTATTAACTAGGCGCCTAAATATTACTATTTAGACAAATAAGTATTTAAATAATAAATTTATCTAAAAAACTTTAAACTTACTCTAAAACAGCACTAGTTAGTTAAAAAAAGTAACACTAGCTAACTATAAAAACTAAAATAGTAAGCTATATTACTATAACTAACTTATAATTTTTAATTTTAATAAACTAAAAATTAAACTACTCTAAATTATACACAACTTGCCTGTTAAAGAACACCTAGGTAGAGGAAAGACTCTTAACCTACTATAAAAAGAGTACTACTAGCTCCACATGTTCTATACTGTACGCTAATATGTATTATGTTACTATACTTACTATAAAGTAAAGGCCTTTTAAAAAAGGTATAATAGCTTACTTAAACTACTTCTAATCTCTAAACAAGCTTAAAAAGACATATTAATTAATTTTATTATAAACCTACTTTTATCTAAAAAGTATATAAATATTATAGTAGTTATTAATTACTTAACTAAGTATTAATACTTAATACTATGTTCCTTTATAACTGCCTCTAATATAGCCTAGTTATTCTACTAATATGTATAAGTTTACTATAGCCTGCCTAACATAATTATATTAGATAGAGGTACACAGTTTGTCTTAGCCTTTTAGGACAAACTCTGTAAATAGCTTTAAATTGTCTCTTATTTATCTACAGCTTTTTACCTAAAAACTAATAGCTAAACTAAAAATATAAACACTATAATAAAATAAGTTTTATAAGTGTATATAAACTACTAGTAAAATAACTAGGTAAAATAGTTAGCTATAGCATAGTTTAAAGCTAATAACATAATATTTAAATTAACATAAGTATCTTTATTTTTAGTAAACTATAGATACTACTTTTAAATAGAATTTAAACTACTTTTAAATACTCTCTAACTAACTTATTAATTTATATAAGTAATAAATATAAATAAACTTATTAATAAAATTTAAAATATATTTAAATATGTTTATAAAAAGCTTATATAAGCTTAAGCTTTTTAATAAAAGTACATAAACTAATTTTAAACCTCTGCCTTTATATATGCAGCTAGTAAGAAGGTCTAGCTAGACACTAAAAATATTTAAATAAACTAATAATTAAAAAAACTTAATTAGAAAAACTTTAGCCCCTTTATAGTAGCTTATATAGTTTTATTATATGCTTACTAATTAATTCTACTTAATAGCATAAAGATATACCTTATGTTCTATGTATTATTACTGCGCTAAGTAGCCTTTAAATTTAACTATCTACTTAGATAGCTAAACTTACTACTTAAACTTATTATTATAAATAATAAACTAGAATATATTATAAAAAACATTAAATAAATTTAGTTTAATAAAAAAAATATATTTATAAATACTTTATAAAATAGACTAGATATAATAAACTATTATAAAAACTTATAAAAGCTTTATAAAAAAACTTTATAGTAACCTAATTTTATGCCTAATACTTATCTAAACTAAACTTATACTTTAATAAAGATAACTTAATGCTAAAACTACTAATGTAAAAAATTCCTTTTCTAATAAGAGGGGGGGTACTGTTACAGTATCCTTCTTAGATCCTAGACATAACTGTATTAGACATGTACTAGAGTATTATTAGTACACGTCTAACATAAACATAACATAACATAGATATAAACTTAAGTATAAACTACTTTAACACTAACTAAACTTAAAATAGGCTTAATTTATACTTAAAGCGCTTAGACTTTTAAGCTAAGTATTTAATTACTAATTTCCTTCTAAACCTTTCTGTTCCTTACACAACGTCTTATACCTACTATAATACCTTACGTAGTAATTAAACTAGACCTCTGTAAAGCTCTATAACCTTACTTGTGCACAATTGTGACAAGAAGCTATCTTAGACTAGCTCTGTTAGAGAGCCTGCAAAATTCTAGGGGATTTAGTCTACTAGTAGTTATGTTCTAGTTAGAAGGGCAATATTGTTTATCTAAAATTAGGGTATAAACAGGTTAAAATTCCCTGCGCGTTTAAACTTTATTTACTAATAATAGTTAGAATCTAGTAAAAAAAATACTATTTTATAGCTACACTTTATTTCTACATTATATTAAATTCTAAGCCTATTTAGACATATAGTAGTAGAGATATTATAAATCTAATTCTATTGTAATGCTCTTAAAATAGGCCTATTTATAGAGAAAATCACAAAAGTCCCTCAGACAGCTGAGGAGAGAAACGCTACTAACGGAGGTTAGAAACCGCCAACCCCTAGGCCATACTCTATTTAGAGTAGCATTATGCATGGTGGTTTGTGCGTCCTCGGTTCTCTCCTCACCCCGGCTGAGCTAGCTGAGATAACTGGTGGGCTGTACCAGCTGAGCCCTGGAGGCTAGGCGATGCTATTCTACGAAGTCCAAGAACTTGTCGCACGTGTCTCACGCGATATCATACCCATGTACTGCACTATTCACTCATTAGGCATAGCTCCTTTCTCGTACAGTATATAGTCAGCCCAGAGCTCTATCGAGCTCCTTAGAGCTTACAATACACTCGTGCAGTCCACTTTGTTTGGATCTCAGTACCTTGTTGATTCGCTTACCATATGACCCCTTCTCAGCTCATGCAAGAGAACTAGTAGGTATGCTCTGCGAGCCAGCTCAAGACATCCCGTTCTCCTCCCGATGGAGTGGATTTTCTCCTTCGATGCACATCTAAAACAGGACCTCTGCTGCCAGCTCAAGACTGACAACGTCTCCAAAAAAAAAAAGCATATCTCCTGAAACGTGGTATTGCCTCGCCAAAACCTAAGATTCTTCCGTCTCTATAGTTTTCTTGATTTGTGTAAGATTAATTTCGATCTATCCATACACATACTAACTACGCAATTTCTCGAGTATTCGTTTGGTAAATCCTGATACTACCCATGTGTCTTCTGTAGATTAACACTTGGATCTAGTCTCAATGCTCACGGTTCCGTCAAGCCCTTCCGAATAATAACCTCGGGAGCTGGCTTCTCCGCCTTTACATAGTCAATAGCCTCCCTTGTCTGTTCAAAGTGCACACAACCATATCTCAACAACTCTGCAAACGTCCCTGACCCCATATCCTTCCCTTCATTCTCTGGTTGATCGAGCAGCAGACCACAGGCAGGACTGTGAGTCAAGCCCTTCCCATGCGTAATCTTCTGCAAACTGCTTTTCGTTAACAACCTCCAAATGGTTTCATACGCCTTCTTGTACTCCTCCGATTCCGGATCTGCATCCCGCCTTGTCGTAAACGCATCGAACAAACCTTTCCCTTCAAACCCGACGATCTGCTCCGCAGCCCAAGATTCAGTCAAGCTATCAAACAGCAATACCTTATTAGCGTAGTACTCGACGCCGTTGAAGCCGCCATTAGGTTCCTCGAGCCAAGCCAGACGTGTCCACGCCATGACTTGCCCGATGTAGCCCATGACTGTAGCTGCGTCAACTTTGAAATCCCATTTGAAGCCTCGCTCTTGGGATGCTGAGAAGTCGATATCCTTGACAAAGCCGATGAGGGGTGATTTAATGATGTTTCGATGGTCGTTTTGACCTTGCCAGAAGTGCAAGAAGAGATCATGCCTAGATCACGTGAATATTGTCTTCTGCTAGAACCTTAAGCAATTGCCTAGGGTATCGAATAAGACATTGCCCCCTATTGCAATCAGATTTACAGATGTATCGAGAAGATAGTTTCAATGGAGCCAAGAAACCAAGAGAGTGTAATGATGTAATGGACGCTTTGAACCGAAAGAAAGACAGAACGCACCATCGTTTGATAAATGGGTCACCCTTTCTCCCAGCAAAAAAATGATTTGCCACAATCTGCCCATACATCCACGGCACGCTCACTGTAAACGGGCTCTTTTCATCGCTCAGCTGATCCCAACAGACATTGTCCAGATGGCGGATCAAGATACAGCCAACATCCATCCACACACCGCCGAAATTGTAGATGGCTGCGCCCCGGAGAAAATCTGCACTGTGTGGGCCAGTATAGGGTCCCTCCATCGTGCCTTTTACAAAAGCTACCGGAAGCTCGCCCGGAACAATCCATGACAGTGCGTGATTCGCAGATCCAGGAACGGCGTCGAGGACGCGGACAGTCCAGCTTGGACCGAGGAGTCGCACCCAATTTATGATATTTCGCTGGCACCATGCAGGCATAGCCATGACTCCAGCGTGCCAGTATGTCCAGACATTCTTCTCCGAGGTGATGGGGTCATGTTTAGTCAGGGTTTCGAGGATTTCGGCGTTGCTTCGCGTGTCCTGCAACTCAACGAACCGGAGCTGGGATTGAAACTCTAGGGGAATGGGAAATTTTTCCTTCGACATTTTGGTCAGTCGTTGCGTGAAAAAAATGAACGAAGAATGATGAAAGATTTACTGCTGACGTCCTAGACAGCTTTATATCATCATCGTGAAGATGCATGCTCTCGGCCGGCTTACGTCAGTGTACCTTGCTCAGGCATCCCGTTCAAATTAGCGGTGAAACTAGCGATGTGAGTTGGCAAATTAACAGGGCTCTTTTGCCTCATACGTACTAGTTGGAACGAATGGAGCCGATAGAGAGTCGCTCCAGGACTGAATTAGACGGCTGTTGGAGTCTAAGAAATTGTCCCCTTGGCAATAATCAATTCGGGTAACATCTCCGCAACTTGAAGCTTTATACCCCTCAGACCTTTTCTGATAAGTTGTTTATATATTTTCATCTTATCTTCGTCTTGCTGCCCTGGATCCGAGTCAGCAGTTACCAGGTCAGTGTGTCCAACCGTTAGTACACCTAATAGTACAGTACTGCAGTACACTAATTTTGGTCACGTACGTACGTACAGGGCATCTACTTAGTATACTGTACTATACGTGAGGCTGCTGTACTAACTGTTTACAGTAGTTATATAGAATTTTTAGTAGTTTTAAGCAGTTAAAGGTAGGTTGCTAAGGGCTAGAGAGCTTATGTTTAGAGATTAATGCAGAGAATGCTATTATTACCTATTTTGTTAGTAATCTTCTAACAAATTTAGTAACTATGCTATTTATATTATTTTTTTGCTTATTATAATGTTCTAATTTTTATTCTAATTAATAACGCAGTTATTTTAGCGTGTTACTACTTTGTAGGCCCTATCTTTACAGGCCTTATCCTTATAAGCTTTATCCTTACATGCCTTATCCTTACATGCCTTATCTAGCTGTTCTGCCACCTAGATATATTATGCTGCTTTATTCTAACGCTTAGAGAAGGCCTACATAGCCTTACCTAGCCTATCTATGCTGTCCTTGCGTAAAGTAACTTCTTTAAAGCATATGCAAGATACCTAGGCTAAGAAGCACTTAAATAATGCCTACTATAACATTAAAATTACCTTTAAAATTAACTAAGATAATATATAGTGTTCTAGCATTAAATTAAGCGCAGATTAGCTAGAATATTATATAAAGTATAAGTTATAACTCCTTAGGCACTAAAAAGTGTTATTTATGTAAAGATACAGTGCAGATCTATAGCATGTTACTAAAGTAAGTAAAAAGAAGCAGCTATAGCTCTATTAAGCTTACTATAAAGCTAGTGTTTAAAAAGTAGCTAAACTTATTAATAGTAATGTTTATATAGTAAGGCATTTTAAAGTAGTTTATAAGATTAATGCTAATATTAGTGTATTACTAGATAGCCCTTAGTGTAACAGCGCAGGCAAGACAATGGGTCCGGATGCGGAGGGAATCCACTCAGAGGCATATGGGAGTGCGTGGGGACTCTGAACCTGGGAATGCCATTGACACCTATAGGCCTAGTACAAAAGGATATTAGAAAACTACTAAGCTAGCTACAGGGGCAAGGTGCGACTAAATACATGAAGGAATAGGGGTAACAGCAGGGGTTAGGGCCAGGTTAAGGTTAGGGCTAATACAAGGGCCTTCTAGAGGTTCTAGGCGACTTAAGATGGAACAATTTATGAGGATTGTTACACTACCCCCCCCTCTATAGACTAATAGTCCCTATTAGTAGTAATTATAGTACAAAGTATTGCTGTTATGTCCTCTGCCTCCTTAAACTAAAACTGGTCCAATTTAGCTAGGTGCCCTTGCCAAGTATTCCTTCGCACTGCCAGCGGTGTCCTCCAAACCAAACGCCATGCGTGCCTATTCTGATAGTGATCTGTATAGATGTCTAGCCTGTTAATAATTAAGACTTTCTCTTTATTCTTTGCTATCTGTGCGGTTATTAATCTTAGTTGTGCGTTTAGGTTAGTGACATTTAGGCGTTGTTAGGGGTGCCTTAAAGGTCTCTTGCTATGGGGTAGCAGTGGTGATTTAAGGCATTATTAGGGGTGATTTAGTGATTAATTAAGGTCTATTAGGACATGTTGCTATGCATTAACTCTAAATCAGGTGGGTTTAGCTTTAGGTCCCACAGAGGCGGGTTCAGCTGTTGACAGAGTGGTGGTATGGCTTAGCTAGAGCGTATTTAACTCTAGGGTTAGAGGGTGGTTAAAAGTTAGGCATTAGCAGTTGTCTCTAATCTTAATAAGTTATTAGTAGTCTCTAAGTTTCTACCTTAGCGCATTCTTTACAACTTTTCTAAAGGTAATCTTAATTACATAGGGATAGGAAGTTTTAAACCTAAAGGCTTTAGTTAACTAAAGGTTAATAAGATCTAGTCTATAGACTAAATAGTTTAATATAACAGTGTGTAAGTATTATAACCTAAACTAAATTAGACGCGTCTTAGAGCTTAGACGTAGTTAAACAAACAATTAGTGCAATATTGTAATAAGGCTGTTACTAGCAAAAGTGAGTTTTCTAATATAATGTAACAGCGCAGGCAAGACAATGGGTCTGAATGCGGAGGGAATCCACTCAGAGGCATATGGGAGTGTGTGGGGACTCTGAACCTGGGAATGCCATTAACACCTATAGGCCTAGTACGAAAGGATATTAGAAAACTACCAAGCTAGCTACGGGGGCAAGGTGCGACTAAATACATGAAGGAATAGGGGTAACAGCAGGGGTCGGGGCCAGGTTGAGGTCGGGGCCGATACGAGGGCCTTCCGGAGGTTCCGGGCGACTCGAGATGGAACGATTCATGAGGATCGTTACACTTAGAGGCCTTTAAATCCCTTTATAGCAGCAGTAGAGGTAGTAGAAGCAAGGCAGCAAGTAGCTTATACGCTGTGGCAGAAAGGTGCTCTAGTGTAAGTGTTTATTAACTAGGTAGTTGTAACGTACCTAACGGGTTGGCCGGCCACTTTTGCTAAGCCCCTACTAAAACCACCCCATTCTCTCGCAAAACAGCCCACTTTAGCCCTGTATAGAGTAATATAACATAAGATATTATTTAGAGTCTACTTCTGCTACTTACTTACACATACATAAGTTATGCCTAGTCTAATTACACTGCCTGTATTGCCTTTAACTTAGCTTACCTTCTTTAGCGCACACTTGCGTCTTTAGCTTCTTCCTATTACTACGCGCTCTAAACTCCTTTAGAGCAGTTAGATAAGCCCTATTCTTAACTATTAAGGTCTCTTTTGCCTAAATCTACTTCCTTTTATGCAATCTATGTTATGTGGTAGCCTTATTTACTGCTTAAAGCTCTGTAATCTTATAGCCTACTTTATTGCGTTAATGCTTTAAATAACTATTGTCTACTTTTTATTACCTTACTATATTACTTTTAGCTGTTCTTATCTCTCTAAAGCTATAATAACTGCTCTAGTTAATATTTAGCTTATTATAAAGCCTAACTTATTAAAGTTATACCTGTCTTTATTCTAGATACTATACTTAGCTTTTATATTAGCTACTAGGCAAAACTAGCTCTAAATAACCTCTAGATTCTTATAAAGCGCTCTTTTATAATTATACTTATAATTAAACTTTATTATAAACTTAAGGCAGTGCTTAACCTACATACTAGTCTAGTTTAAGCTAACCTAGCCTAGATTACACTTTATAGGCAAGAAATTAGCTATATTAGCTATAGCTATAAGCCTAAAAAGAAATCTGCGTGTTATAAGCTTAAGTATGTACTTAACAACTACTTTTTTTTTAAGCTTAGTTAGATTCCTTAATTTAGGCTAGCATTCTGCTTGTAAAGGCTGTCTAGCGCGTTAATTACTTAGTGTTATGTAAGAGACATTATAGATAGCTGTAGCACATTATAAGAAGAGTTTTAAGTCTTATTTAAAAGCCTAAAGAGTAAGCTGTATCTAATGTTCTTTAGAAGATTTAATCTAGTGTTGTTGTTAAAGCATTATGTAGATAGGTAGAGTTTAGTAGGGGCTTGGCAAAAGTGGCTGGCTAACCCGTGTGGCCAGCCAACCTGTTAGGTACGTTATCTAATTAGTTGCTACAGTAATTAACCTTAGCTAGATATTAAAGTTTTATTACCTAAAATTAACTTAATTTTTTTAACACTTTTTTTACTTTTTTAACTATGCTATTATAATATCTTTATAATAGTTTTATAAAGCAAAAAAAGGAAATTTAGACTATGTTATATAAAGCTTATAGTAAAATTATGTTAAGCTTAAATAAGTAAAGTAGTTTTAACTACCTTTTAATGCTAGAAGTTATTGCGCATTTTATTAGTAAGTAAGCTCTATTAAACTTAGCTTATATAGCTTATAAATGCGTACATAAATGCTAACACCTAGCTGTAAGACCTACTTATTAGCTTTAAAAACCTATATAGCAACAAGACTAGTGTAAATTAAGCACATACTATTATTAAAGTTCTTTAGAAGTATAATATTAAGTTAAAATTCTACTGCTTTATAGTAGATAACATGTTAAATAATAATATTTAGCTTATTAATTATTTTAACTTACATATAAACCTTAACTTTAGCAGCAACAACTAAATACGCTGCGCTAGCTATACTATTTAAATTATTGTTAAGGCAGTTATTTATAGCAATAATATAAGCTTATAAAAATAAAAGCTAGCTAATATAGCTTTTTAGAATTAATTTAAGCTTTATTAATAGCATAAAGTTATTAAAAAGCTTTATAACTTTTATAACTTAGTCCTTTACTTAAACAAGCGTTGTAATAGCTTTACAGCTATTATAACTACACTAAGTAAGAAGAATGTTTTTTAGAGCTTTAGTACACTAAATCTACTATAAAATAGCAGTGTATAGTAGCATTTTATTTATCTTATAATTCTATGTTATTTTAAACTTAAAAAGCTTATCTAGCGCTTTATTTAATCTAAGCGCTATAACACAGGCTTTACTAATAAGGTTAATAATAATATTAAAAATAATAGTTATAATCCTCTACTTAACAGCTTTACTAATAATAAATAAGTAAAAGTAAAGTGTATAAATGTCACGGTATCCTCCCCGGATCCCAGACATAACTGTATTGGATGCGTACTAGAGTATTATTGGTGCACGTCTGACACAAACATAACACGACATGGACATGAACTTAAGCATAAACTGCCTTAACACTAACTAAACCTAGAACAGGCTTAATTTATACCTAAAGCGCTTAGACTTTTAAGCTAAGTATTTAATTACTAATCTCCTCCTAAACCTTCCTGTTCCTTACACAACGTCTTGTACCTACCATGATACCTCACATAGTAATTAAACTAGACCTCCGTGAAGCTCTATAACCTTACTCGTGCACAATTGTGACAATAAAAGACTTTTTAAAAAATTTTTATAAGATAACTAAACACTTTAAAAGTAGTGCTAGCAAATTAGGCTACAGCAGCTTATAGTAAATAATTATATACTTATAAGTAATTAATAATAAGCTTAGAGCATAAAAAAAGCACTTATTTTATAAGCACTGCAGTAACTACCTTAAAAACAGTGTTGCTTTTAGCATTAAGAAGCTTACTATGTACTAGGAAACTTTTATTTTAAAGCTAAAGGTCTTTTACTACTATGTAGTAACTATTTTTAACTTATCTTTTTACCTTTTTTAGTTTAAAGACTACTAGAAACACTACTTATTTTAGTATAAGTATATAAAGTTATTTATTTAGAAGATTTATAAACGCTACTTAAAAACTTTTAAGAAGAAAAAGAAGAAAAAAAAGGTACTGTTACTAGAAATATTATAAAAGAAGCTCTTAGTAGCTTATATTAACTTATATAATAAGCGCTTTAAAAAGGCTTTTTTAGTTAACTTTACTATTCTTTATAATAATAAAGGTTGTAGCTTAAAGAGAAAGTAAAAAGTTAATAAGTTAAACTTCTACTTTAATTTCTTAGTAGAAGATAAGTACACTAAAAATTAGCTACTTACTTAGCTACTTAAGTAGTAGTAGTAGTAAAGTTAACTTTACTACTTTATTTTTTATAAAATTACTTTTAATTTTTTATTAATTTTAGTAACTTTATGTAAGTGCAAGCAGTGCTTCTTACAAGCTAAAAAGACTATTATAATAAAAAAAATTAACTATTAGTGTTAATAATAAAGGCTCTTTAACTGCAGAAAAATTAGTTATGTAATAACACTATTACTAGTAAGCTAACTAAGCTTATAAAGTACATTAAAATAGTAAAATTAATAATAGTAGATCTTATAAAGGGTATTATAACTTTCTAATTAGGTATAGTCTTTAGCTTTAGCGTAATTACTTTATAATACTTTAATATACTTTAGTTACTGTATCCTAACTGTACACTAACGTCATCTCCTCTGTACAGTTAGTTAGTAACAGCCTCCTCTTCTGTAACTGTACTATACAGCCTCTAAAAGGCTCCGTAACTAACGGTTGGACACACTGCAGTTACCTACGTTGCTAAACTGGAACTCGAATTTTCGAACGTAAAACCACAGTGGTGGGTGTGTATTGGTATTCTCACAAAAATGCTGTTTCCTTCTGTTGTTGGGAAATGTGCGGATAGACACGGTTGAAATCACCGACAACACTGGCGGAACAGAGCACTTTTGGATGTCTCTCCAACCTGCCGAGAACAGAAGCAATGCGCTCTAGAGCGCAGCCACATTCTTGGGATCAGTTTTTCAAGATAGGGAAGCAAGAATGAACGGTGTAAGGGTAGATAGGTTGCGTAGCGATGAGTCTTTCCCAGCTTATCAAATTACGGAAAACCCCAAGACGTGCGCGTGAGAGGTTGATTGCACGTTGTATCCCGCAAAAAGGCGTTACGCGATTTGCTTACGCAATATAGTTTATAGTTTGCACGGAGGCATAACTCTTCTCCAGAGGCCATCGCCAGTATCACATATTGCCTACTTGGCTCACAGACAGCGACTCCAGCGTGAAAGAATGGACTTCTTCAGTCTTTCCTTCATCCAAGCGACCGTGACTCTTCCGCTTATTCAATCCATTACACCTGGCAATTCAGTGATGATCACTATCCAAAAAGAACGTAGCTACTTTGCTGTGAGAAGTGTCCTCAAATACGCAGTTCACCAAGCCTTCGAGTTCTCCATTATTATGCGAGCCGCCACATTATAAAGGCTGTGTTCATCCTTTGCAACTCAATCGGATCTCAGAGGTGGATGGATGGACTAATCAGGGGCGTTGGGAGGTGAATTGATGCCTTCTCTCACGGCAAAATCCTAGAGCGGTAGCGTATCATTCAGAGCGGCAAGGGTATGCATGACAAATAGGCATCATGGAGGCTGGAAGGTTTAAAGGCTGAAAAATCACAGGTATCTTTCCAGAGTAGACCCAGAATGCAGTTGATTGACGTCCACAAGCTCAGCATCCACAAATTCCTCGGCGGTGATATCATTCCGCCATTTTCAATCCTACCCCACACCTGGGGTAACGAATAATTCACTCTTCAGCAAATCAAAGATCTCATTGTAACGTGGCACAAATGTTACGCAAAGATCAAGCTGTCCTGTAAGTAGGCCTTGTGGGACGTGGTTCATTGGGTCTGAGTAGATACGTAAGTCTTCGATCCATTTCGTGTACAAAATTGCTAACCGTCTGACGGGCAGCTGTTGCATTCAATAATGTCACCCTTCATCGCAATGCTCCACAAAATTGATCGAATTTACTACCGTCAATGGTGGAATATGTTACTAACTGAAAAGCCAAACTTTTATAACCGGGAGTACACTAGGGCATGTGGCTAGAGCTAATTAGTTAGCAGGCTGGATGGTGTATTTCTTGAATGCTTTCCCCTTCCCAGTTCAATGCCCGGTTGTCTTTCAATCGAGAATTACACCCTTTATACAAGAACCGAGGCCGATATTCACTTAGGGAATCCGGAAGGTTCATTGATCCCTGTCGGCATCACAAGGAAGGTTAGGGCCTGATGCCACTGAATGGGTCCTGACGATTCCGAATACCCGTGGCGAACCCTCATTTAAACAGAACGACTTCACAGAAGCGGACAGTAGGTGAATGCCATTACGGGAAAGGTTCAGGATGCAGACCTGGGAGGTATCCTGATGGCCAGGTTGACCCGAACAATCTTACCGGGCTGTCCTGCCCTCGATGCAGACGCCGACATTAGAGTCTCGTCCTTGGATTTGTGCTACGCCAGACCCCGCTTTCTGGTGTACCAAACTCTAACTTCAAGCCCGCATTCCGGGAGGACCGGTACTCCGGGGCCCCTATTTACCCTCCCCGGAATCCACGATGCTTTATATGAGCAACTTAGTAAACACCTCCCGTACACATAGCTAGTTGTCCATTTTGCAATTAGCTGTGGGAAACTGATATTTGTAAGAGTGTTCTTCTTCTAACTACATTCTGTACTACTTTCTATCCTTTCAAGATAATTAAGGATTTACAAGAGTCATGCTGAGGGCTTCATCGGCTTGGTCAACTTGGTTTGTCTGTACTGTTTGAAGGAGACACAGTGCGGGGTTATCAGTGCATCTTTTGTGGCCCGCATACAGTTTTCAACTCGGAATTGCTAACCTGAACATGTGATTGTTGCATTCCTGCATTTATTGAGCTCCTTGGCTGTATGAGGGGACGCAAGAACATTAATACATAAAAACCGCTTCCCCCTCTCTACCTCTACTGCCTCGTCTTTGTCTAAAAAAGTCTACACATTTCGTTTCCAATCACTCTTGACCACACTTTGGACCTTGACTTTCACAATGCAGCTGTTCCCCCCTATGAAGCCAGGGCCAATGGTCCCAGAAAATCCCCGTCACCCTTATATGAAGCACAGAATCGGCGGCTGGCTTCCCAAGCACCCTGATCACTTCCTTCAATGGCTGCACGGGGTTGTTGCCACAGTTAGAGAAGCTAAAAAGGCTGGGAAGTTGGCGAAGGAGCACACCTCCATCAAGAATTTTCGAGAGCTCATCGTGAGCAATACTCAAGTCCGAATGTACTTTAGTCTGATGTTTGAAGAAGTAAGATACTACTCTGTTTATATGATTGGCCCACAAAGCCTTTTAGGTTTGCTCACTGTTACCTAGATCCCGAACAATGAAGTGTATCAGACTGACCCAACTGGGAAGCGCGCCATTAAGGACTGGGAAGAGTTGTTGGCAACAATGAACCTGCTCTTGGAGCAAGCTCCCGGGTGGCTTTACAATACAGAGGGTCAGAAAGGACTGGTTGGATTCCCCTTTAATGCTATCCTGGTAAGCGGAGTTCATGCTAAGGAAGAATCTAACCCGCAGTGAAGCTAAAGCGTGCTCTAGGATTGGCCAATGGGGACAGCAGCCGGTGTCTCCGCATTCCTCCGCGAAGATGTGTGCGCCTGCTTCAAGGACATTCTAAATGAATACGGTCAGTTCCTGTCTTCCGAGAGATCAGGCCATGTCCTGAACAGCGACAATTGGTTCAGTCCCCAAGCTCTGCAGGAAATGAGCAGAGTCGCATCCGAAGGCTACGGGAAGACTCTTTCCTTCGAGCAAGCCTACGAGTGCAACCCAAGCCTCCCCGGCTACGGCTACAAGACGTGGGACGAGTTCTTCATCCGCAAGTTCCGGAAAGGGATTCGCCCAGTATACCAGGTCGGAGATGACTTACAGATTGTGAATTGCTGTGAGTCGACGCCTTATGCACTCCAATATGACGTGAAGCTTGTCGACAATTTCTGGCTCAAGGGACAACCGTATAGTCTCCAAGACATGCTAGGCAGCAATGAATACGGAAATATATTCCAGGGCGGAATCGTATACCAAGCATTTCTTTCTGCGCTAAGTTATCATTGCTGGCATGCCCCCGTCTCTGGCGTTGTTCGAGATGTGTTTTATATTCCAGGCTCCTATTACGCTGGAAGCTACTGGGAAGGGTTTGCGAATATTGACCCGATAACCGGACAGCCTGATCCAGATCCGGCGGGACCGAATGAATCTCAAGGGTACATTTGCCAAGTTGCAACACGAGCCGTGATGCTCCTTGAGGCTACCGACCCGCACATTGGCCTCATGGCTATCGTTCAGGTCGGTATGGCGGAAGTTTCCTCATGCCAATGGACTGTGGAAAAGGGTGACACTCTGACAAAGGGCCAAGATATAGGAATGGTGAGTTGAGTCTGGTTTCTTTCCTCCATCAGTCATTAGCATGCAATATTGACGGAAGTGCACCATAGTTCCACTTTGGCGGTTCAACACACTGTCTTATATTCCGGAAGGGTGTCGAGCTTAAATGGGTCAAAGATCCCATGGTTACTGGAGAGGACAAAAATTTACCGGTTTGTGGCGCACTGGCCCAAGTTATCGCGGGGCCTGCTAAGTAGGTCCGAGGGTGCATATCCCTGTATCCTTTTTGGGGGGAACACCAACACGTGCTTCGTCCTACTGCTTCAAGGATCCTTGTTTGCCTTCGAATAATTACGACAATCCTTACTGTTAAGTAGAAATATAGGACAATATAGTAGCAGTTCCAAATTCCCAGCTGTTTTGGTGTATGAATTTCTTCACCTGAGGTTTGTACATGCCAATAGAAGTATGTAGTCAATCCTTCGAAGTCACTTTGAGACATTATTGCAAGGTTTAAACCAAAGATTATTGATTTGATCATATCCCTACCGCCCTATTTGCTCTATTTTGCTTTGGGGATGGTGTCTATCTTGTCATTAGCATGCACCCGGAACCTGTTATTGACTCAGTAAGAGTATGGAAATTCTACTAGTATCTTATGAACAGAGCATAAAGCAAATATGCTCATCTCCGAGGCTAAAATTGTACAGTTGGGGTCAAGGGATCTCATATTTCATTTCTTGATGTAATGCATTTCAACCCATTCACATTCAATGATTGCCACATTTCTTCAAAACCAAACAATCCGAAACTGTAGCCTCGCCTATTCATCTCACCACTCCTTTAATATTTCTTCTAGAAGATTTTATTAATTCTCGCCCACGATAGGCAATTCTATCGCATCCTTAGGAGAAGGGCAAGATGGAGGAGCTATCGCGGAGATAACATAGGCGAGCGTTAATCAGAATATTTTAGTCTCTGTGGATAGGGCTTAGGGTGAAGTTGGTTCTGCGGGAGTCGTGGGAATCTAGATGTTCCGTTTAATTTCTGTTGAAGTTTGGACGATTTGGGACTAGGTAGATACAGCATGGAAGGGCTTGACAGAATGTGTGATAGGCGTCTAGGTATTATACCACGGCAAGACTCTCGTTTAAATTGTAGCGTGAACAAATCCGAGGGGTACTGGCTCAGGCGTAATTATCACGCGTTCAGCTTTCCGACAGTTATCTTCACACATTGACACTATATTTCCGAATCAGAAGAGCGAGAGGCTGAACGGTGTTATGGCATGCAATGCAGAAGATATCAAGGCTTATGGAAAGGAAGATTCGATACTTCAATTGAGATTCAATTATGCCTGAACTTCCATGATTCCAGTACGAGAGGTTCTAGGTATGAAGGAATGAATAGTTAGAGCATTAAGAGAACCTGTAAGCCAGAGGGGCTAGCAATGGGCTGTCCAGCCAACTCAGGATTTGGCGTCCTACGCTTCTATATATATCACATAGCGCCTCGGACTTCAGTCAGCCCCTCTCATAAATTATTCCCTTAGCAATGTTACATTTTTCTCATGCTCCTCTACAAGGTTGGTATGTTAGAACATATAGTTCGCATGCTCAAGATTGAGACTGGGGGATTTGTGTGTGACTTTCTTCACAATGGACCCCGTTGCTATGCCCAAATCGCCAGAGGATCTGAACGTGGCCTCGGCAAGTTGGAAGGGGTAGAGCCGAAGTTGAAGGAGAGAAGGAGTTTGAAAGATTCCTCGAAGGCATTTCGAGGGTTGGTGGTGGTGGCGATGTGAGTTGCTAGTTGCTAGTTGGGGCTCCAAAGTGTCAAAAGTGCCCATGGTGGTTGGGTGGGTCGTCGTGGAGATGGACGGGCGTGTGCGGCCCTAGGGATATGGGGCAATAATCTACTGAGGATAATAGGTTAGTGTTATGGACTCCCACGAACAGGGTGCGTCTCCTTCACTGGTTCCATCATTTCGCCTACAGGGAGATGTGGGCTTCCCACCTGATTTTTGGATCACTCATGACTGCGGAACATGGTATTTAATAGAACATAACTGTTACTGTCAGTAGTGTTTTTAAGGCGTTACTAGCGGCAATAGAGTTTCGTTCTTACAGAGAAAGTGAATTAAAACAGCCTTACTAGCAGTAACAGTCACTACTAAGTTAATTAGTTGTAAAGTTACTGTTTAGTGCAGTTACTGCAGTTACTAGTGTTTCTAGAGGCTCTAGAGAGCTAGTTGCAGAGATTGTTTAACTCTAAGTGAACAATTCCTCTAGCAATCTAGTTGTGTTGTAGCTGCAGAGCCTTAATTAAAGCACTCACAGCTTATAGTAGGGATAGATAGGAAGTTAATAGCTCTCTTGTACTGTGTTAGATAGTGCTTACGCCTAATTTAATGCTACTAAGTTAGTGGATCTCTATAGATTATATCGTCTTTGGCTGCAACAAGGAGATTAGATTTAGCAGTATTAATGTACTGCTGCAGCTTGTTTGCCAGGCGTGCCTCCTGTTCTATAGCAGCCCTTATACAACTACGCGCAAAAACGTCCTCCGCGAACGCGTTACTAAAAGAGTAAGAAATTAATTAGTATAGGCAGTTACTGCAGTAAATATAGTCTTATTAACTGTATAGTAACAGCGGGTAATTTACTTTTGTTCTAACTGCTAAGAGATTGCTACTATCAGTAACAGTAGGAAGAGTACTACGTTCTATTAAACACCATGCTGCGGAACTAGTTATTTGTTAACAAGCGAGCCACGTAAATTGAACCTTTTCATCTCTGCAGTGAATTTCACTGTCAGGGCCCTTTAGTTGTAATATATAAACCCTAATTCCAGCCAAAAGACCTCTAATACACCACCATACATTTCAGAGCCCGCGGAAAGGCTCAACCACACGACTAATTCAAGCTAATCTCGACACCAACCTCATGAAATGGTATCTGAATCTACGGTCCCAGTCAATGGCGATGGTGACGGCGACTGGGATCCCGACGCCACGTCCCGTGCACGTTCAGTCGTGGATATAAAACGCGAGCTTAGAAGCCTTTCGTCTAGTCAGAAGGCTAGTGGTACTGATTTCGAGCAGCTGGTAGCGGAAGCTATGTCGATTCGGCTAGGGAAGCCGTAACTTTTGTTGAGGAAGCGCTTGAGAGCAAGAATATGAGCCACTAAAAATCAGAGGTGCCTTTTTATCAAGAGTAAACTTTGCTATACTAACGCGGTTATCTAAGCTTTGGCTGTAACTATTAATCTAGATCGGCTCTGGGGAGCACTGGGCGAGAATCATACCGACAAATCTAGTGTCCAGTTGATTTATGTGGACACAGCTGTGACCTCTATCTACAAATCCTTTCGCAGCCATCCTAAGGACAAATTTAATCCAGCTGCGGACTTCATAGTAATTCTCCGAGATCTCAAGAACTTCAACTAGAAGAGCTGTATAGGCTACACTCTGTACTACTACTTCCATAGCTCTCTAGCAGAAGTCAATAGAGAAATCTTCAATGGCAGGATTCAGGAAGATCTAGAGGAATGGATACGATGTGTTCTAAACTTCCTGGATGCTGTTAGGGAATATGGGAAGATAACTACAACTGTCTAGCAAGAGCGACACTTAATTATGCAGGCGCTCTCCAAAGTCTGCAAGCGAGCCGAGTGCGAGTGTTGGAATCCAAACTGCACGCATTAATGGATGAATGTCACGATAGACGAAGATTGGACTATTAAGCTGCGGGCTCCATGGGAGTCTATCGTGAACTAATCAACTACGCTTAAGACGCGCGAAAAGTTCGACACATCCACCGTCAGCCACCTCATCAAATTCCTTTCACAATCAGACACTATCGGTGGGCTTGCGTGCCGAAGCTTGCAGGCTACAAGGCGTCTCGCAAGTTTAGAAAGCACAGGATCTCCCTGAAATACTCGTCGTTCAATTCGAACCATACCTCTCCAATAGTTGCAGTACCCTGTTGAGTTCAACCTTCTAACAAGTCTCGGCCAAATTGTCGTGAATTGGCGCTACTGATCGGCTCAGGAGCGAGCTTTAGAGCGAGCTTCAGAGCATAGTAAGAATGTCACCCAACAGGCTGCCACTCGCAGTGAACTGATGAACCAAGCCCTGCATGGACTTCACTCGGCTGTGTCAGATACATAAACTCACCCCACCCTAACCAAGGGTGAGTAAAAGCTCGCAGCGGCGGTGCAACAGGTTTCTGCATAACCTTTCAGGGAGGTAGTCTGCCTAACTTAACGCTTCTTGAAGGCACTATGCTCAACCCATGAAATTTACGATGCAACTTGTTCCATCAAGCACTGGAATTTTCGAACAATCCAGGCTATCCATCACCGAGTAAAAATCAGAGCACGTATGCCTTGCATACAGCGGTTGGTAATAACCAGCAGGGTACTGGAAATGCTCCAGCGGTCCTAGCCCAGCAGTGGCGGGATGTGCGGCCTGGACGAACGATCGGTCAGGAGAATATGGCCAGCAAAACTACTCTCGGGTTCGGGCATAGTGAGAATACTTTCCAAGGGAATGATGAGGATGTTCTCGAAGCTCTCTATGCGAAGCAGTCGAATTGAGATGTCGTGAAATAAAGAGGAGTGAGAATTGTAGTTTATTAACGTGGAGTTTCAGGTTTTTTCTCGTGTGAGTTATTAGATTGGGTGTTTCTTTCGGGGTGGGATTTTCGTGCATCAATGGAAAAGAGTTCATCGCTTGCCCACTTCTTCTAGTGATCCCGTGATAACCTAGGTCCCATTTTATTTTAGGCCAACAACTAAATGATCACTTCGCTTTCCCTATCGCACTCGCCAGGGGAGTTAGAACTTGTGTCTTGCAACCTTTCACAAAGAATTGCTTAACAACACAGCCAGGCTGACAGAGTTAGTTAGCCATCAAACAGTACATTATTTGAATGAGGGCAAAAATAGCCTGCTCGGCCAAGATCTTCAGCCATCGATTATAAAGTTCACAGGCAAATTTGCACCACCATATAATTGAGATCTCAAGGCCTCGAAGAGAGACCATCCATTACTTCATAGCATTTTTATTCGCGGCCGTCATGCCCCAGCCGATGAACCCCTTGAGTCCCAATCGTACTCATGCCTGGGTATTACCCACCCCACCCGCCATCCATTGCCTTGTGTATCCTACAACTCATCCTTGCTGACGCCCTCGATCGAAACCAATTCCGTCTCGAAGACTTTGAAGTGTTAGCAGTCATCACGTCTCTAACGGAAGACATCAACGTACTCAACACACTATTGGCAGGAATTGGTCCCACACCACTGTCTCCATACGCCCAATCCGGCTGAATGGTCAGCTTCCTCTTCTCACCAGGGCACATGTCCAAGAGACCCTGATCCCATCCCTTGATGACCTGGCCCTTTCCGACAGTAAAGCTCAGCGGCTGGCCCCGGTTGTAGCTAGCATCAAACTCAGTGCCGTCCGTCTCCAGCGTACCGCGGTAGTGTACGTTGATTGTGTCGCCAGCGATGGTCTTGCGGCTGCATTCGGCGGGGACGGTGACTTCGGTCTTGAGGTGCTCATTGTTGATGATGGCGAGGGCGGCGGGAATGAGGGAGACGAGGATAGCGAGGAGCTTCATGGCTACTGTTTCGGGGTGTGATAGTTTATTAGAAACTATAAGGGAGGATTCGGGGTATTTGTAGAGCAATTGGATAGTGTGGAGGAAGGTCGAGGAGACGTGGCTCGGAGGACGAAGTCAGCTTTGTCTTTGTGGGGAAGAAATGCCAAGCCACCGGTTCTTGCCATGTGGCCTCCGCTTGGATCTTCTTTGATCATCGCGGATATTGATTGGCTAAGCGGCCGACCATTTCCACACATCACTCTTACAATAGGTTGAGGAGATCTATTACTTTGTCAATGGCACACTTTACATATCTGCGTTGAAATAAAAATTTCTTTCTGTGACCTCACCAAGCATTTACGCAATGTATGTACATACAAACCGAAATGAGAGAACTAGAACCTACACTATCAAATATTACACTATCTCTACCGCTAAGCCCTCTCTCCTATTGGTCTGGATATAAGCTGGTTATTAATCCGATTGGTAGAAAATCAAATAACTAAAAGGCTTTGTTGTTCTACATTTTTAAGCTTGTCAGATTGAAGCACTGTTTCTGGGCTTCCTGAGATGAATGATGGGTTTGGATATGATGTATGGGATGATTGATTGATTGTATTCATTGTGTTGATTTATCGATCCTTTTTCTGCTCTACTCGTGTTGCTCGGCTTTTTGTTCTGCCGATCCGAGTCCCTCGCGCACTAGCCCTATGCGCGACCAGCTTGCAACATGCTGCAATTTGCTGCAAAATGCTGTAACATGCTGCAATTTGCTGCAAAATGCTGTAACATGCTGCAATTTGCTGCAATTTGCTGCAACATGCTGCAAAATGCTGCAAAATGCTGCAAATTGCAGCAACATACTGTTCGAGCTTATTGCTCGTACTATGTAGCAGCTTTCGTCAAACGTTCCTCCTGTCTTGACAGTAGGTGCGCATATCTGACAAAGCTTTAAGTAATTATTCTGCTCTGCTACATGCTTAATCTAGTCTTCTTTTTTCCCTATTGTAATTAAAGACAACACAGTTAGGGGTGTTAAAATTACTTCTGCTGCGTGGTTTTTCCCTCTAAATTTGATTAGTGCTGCTAAGACCTTCTAAGCAAAGCCTGTTATCCTTCCTAATCGGGACTAGCCACCTTCTTCCTGGAAAGGAAGGCTAACCTGCTCGTGTTGATATAAATACCCGAGCATACATTTTATTTACAGTATATCTTTTTGCAACCTGTGAAACGATAGGACACAGGAAGGATGTTTGTGATTTAATCGCCTCGTTCACGAACCCAAGAAGGCCCCTGCACAGGCAGAAAATGCAACGAAGCAGGCAGCTTCCGAGAATCCATGACTCGAGTTCCGCTTTCCCCCCCAAAGGAGAACACACCGTCTCTAGAGAAGAAGTCCAAAGAACCCCAAGCAAAGAAGTAGCTAAACTAAATAGGATTAATGCGAAACTTTCACGGAAGGTAGGTTGCCTCAGCCTTGAAACCTGCGCCAGCGCTGGTTTGAACAACATAACAATCATCATTATGAATGACAAATAAACCTGATATGAGTGGAGTAACTTCCTATATTCGCGACATCTTCGCTGAGGATAAGCATTCTAATTAGGCCGAAAGGATGAATGCTGGATTTGCCGGAGCATTTCCCTTGGTGGTTGCCCTTATGGATATTATTTGCATGGTGGGTTTCGGCCGCACGCACATGACATAGAAGTGGGATAATTTTGAATTGATGGCTATTTTTCATGGCGCAGCTGTGGTGGTTATCTCGAGTGTTTTGGGAACAATGTATAAGCTCACGACAAGAGGATTGCGCAGCTTCTATCATGTTATGCAAATACCTCATCACGTTCCCAATTCAGAAATCTGGACACTAGATGGAGCAGGCAGTTGCAAGGAAGAAATAATGTATGCTTTCAACTCTCTCGTACCAATGAAATACGCCCAATCTCCGCGCAAAATGCATAACAAGAACATGGTGCGAGGTTTAGGTTGATTGGAAGCAAGCGGAATCCACCTCTTCTAAAACCACTATTAACAAGACTTTTAATATGACCCCGTCGCACTAGATGTCGAGAAATAGTAGACTATCACCCCTACCTTTTTGTAACTTAAAAGCCATCGGCAGCAATGCAGGGCCTGTAAATCCGAAACTCTGCACTGATATCTGACAAAAGTAAGACGTTGTGGTGCGGCCGCTCCCGAGAAGACGAATAGTGTAACAAAGAAGACTGCCGCAAAACGACCAGGCTGGCCGAATCCCAAGGAGATAAAGGCTTTAACAAAAGCAACTAGTGGTATGAAACTCCCAAGCCTGCTGACTATAGATACGGAGGAACTGTTCTATAGAAAGCGTTCACAAGCAGCGGCGAAAGGTGCTGAAGAGAATATCACCGGCAGTGACAGTCTCGACAGCCAAGGCATGACCCTTCCCAGCCAAGCTCAGTCCTTGGTGATCGTCGACATCACAAGCGAGGCGCCAAAGAGACACCAGAAAGCAGATTTTATTGCTAGCGGAGAGTATCGCTGAACATACCCACGTGTCAAACCGTAGCCCCTACTAGAAGGACTTCCCGAGAGGGAACTCAAGCCTGGCGAGAAATCGTTCGATCCTGAACTCAGGGTTGCTGTTAGGAGTAAATACAAGTGGATGGAACAGGCCGTCGCCAACCACAACAAGAACCGCCACGAGGGTTCGCAAGACTATATTATGCTTAAAGATCGTCAGAAAAAAATAGAAATCAGGGCTTCCCTAAGGAGAGCCACCAAGATCACACAAAATGCTTCAGAAAATGCTTCAGAGCCCTCAGGAATGCCAGAGCTGAAAGAGAAGAAAGTCCAGGCTTCCCCAGTAGAGTGAAGATGAGGCGAAGATGATCGCAGGGGACCATGAGAGGGGATACAATTTCAGTTCCTCCTGCACTTAGAGCGCTTCTTTTGCCCATCGCAAATTATAGGAATTGAGTAAAATAGATGGTACTTTGGTGAATCTTAGAATCGAGGGATATGGGATCCAGGAATCTATTCTTGAATAACACAAGAATTCGCAGTGAGGGACAATACGACGGCCCGATAAGATCAGAGTCTCCAGGACCTAGCAATATAAGCCGCCAGCCAGCCAGCCAGCGACGTAAGCGCTACTGACCTGGAACCCAGTGTATTAGGTTCATAACAAGATAGTGGTGGCGAAGTAGAAGTAGAAAGTTAGTATATGGTTCAAGATCAACGAGGAACAGAAGACTAAGAAGGCTGCTGCTCTTACCGCTTCTTCAAGGCCTAAGAACGCCCAGCCTGTCTATGAGCAGCTTTGTGGAGTCCCAAACCCAGAGAATACGCAGGGCTTCCAACAGTCCGTACAAAGTGAACCGTAACGGTCACGTGTTCAGTATGAAAGTGCCAAGTTGGTGAGCCGCACCGTACATTTAATGATGCTCTAGGTACAGTACGTAGTACAGATCATATTATGCTTTTAGAAAGTTTATATGGTAATTCTAGAGAAGTAGGAGGGTTCTAGCAAGCAGAGGCCTGCAGGGAGCGTTTAGAAGTTTCTAGGGGCTCTAATTAGCCAAAAGTTTTACAAGGACTACGTTGCAAGGCGATCGCACGCCGTTAAAGGTGTGGGCTCATAGCACAGATTTAGCGCTTCTGGTGGAGTAGGGTAAGATAATCTACCTCTAGCTTTACTATTAGTGTTATAAGCAAGGCTCTTAAGGCGCTGCAAAGGCGGTAGATAGCTATAAATATATTATTTAGTATCTAAAAAGGGAGCAAACAATTGACTTTGCCCTTAAATTCCTTACTATCCTAGCTACTAGTTGTAAGTGCAAGAGGTGTTTTAGCACAGCTAGTTGTATAGTAACTAGTAATTAAGGCTATTTAACTTAAAAAGAACTAGCTATACTATAGATAGTAAGCAACAAGCTTTTAGACCCATCTGCTTTTATAAATGGAGATAATTAGTTAATTTATAGCTAATTAGACCTTAATGCTGTGTCTCTAGATACTTATAATCTAGGCTGTTTTAACTAGAGTACAGTGTACTTTAATTATATTGTACTATTTGTACAGATCACGTGGTCTGTAACAGTTACAATACGTACACCTAGCTCTCCTCCTCCCTGTCGTACGGACGTACACAATTCTCACCCGCACAGGCCACGGAATCGCCCAATCGTACAGTACTACGCCTCGTTGGAAGCGCTGAGAATACGGCCGTCGGAGTCAAGGAGTGAGCTGCAACGGTCGGCATGCTCGCCGCTCTAGTGGTCATGAAGTTGATCTTCTCCCATATTGCAGTCATCGAGACGGGGACCCCTGCTCCCCAATAACCGCCAGCGAGGAAGATGATCTCCCTTTCCAATTACTCACAGAAAGTTAAGAGCGGCCGGACCCAGAAGAAGGAAGCACCGAAGCCTGTCGTTGTGGCTTCCGTGAAAAGAGTCGGAATCAAAGTCAAGCCGACCAGCGGGCAAGGCTTCTTCGAGGTCATCGCAGCAGCCTCCGTAGCTTATAAACCTCTTTTGGACTCTCCATTTCCAGCTTCAGATTCGGCTTCTTAGGAGTCCATCAACAATTACGATCCGAAATACTTTGATGTTGATATATCCAGCTCTCTGTTGGATTTTCGCGATGGGATACTCCGAGGGTGGCAAATTTTCCGGCGTAATTGGGAACACAGCGTGGGTCTGTTGTATTTTTAGTTTCGGTTTGAAATTTTCAATGCCTTGCACATCGATAAAGAGGTCTAATATGCCTATTGTCCTTTGTTACCCGATAGAATGCGCCTATTCTGGGAATTTAATTTCCTCATATTCTTGTGTGCGTGCGTGATAAACCCATTTTGCTAACGCTAAGTTTGCCCACATTCTACACGTTTGGCTTACTGATGTGTACCATGGAAGTCTAATCTAAAGAAATGTCCCCTAACAGTGTTGCTAGCTTTGCAGAGATGGAATATATTCTCCTTCTCTTCATGTAGTTATAGAGTGCCGTATCGTAAGAATTAGAGTTAGTATTTCTAGGTTAGGTCAAAAGCGTCAAGCAGTGAGAGATACAGAAACATAGGGCAGGGTCATCACTTCTCGGGGAGTTTAGTAGGATATAATTTGAACCAATTCAGGCTGCCCAGAGCCTCGCAATTAATATTCCAAGGATAGATGGAAGAGGTGAAGTTGAAGGCTTGACATGCCACCACACGGATTAGGTCGGGCCGGAGCCTCTCCTAGGCCCGTGCTGGTGACGAAAGTCAACCTTGAAATGTTGTCATCGATCAAAGTCCGATCGCATCACATTATCATCCACGAGCACTTCGTTCTCTTTTAGATATAAACCTACCGACGCTTCCTTATCGCTTTGTGAAAGTCTTTATCAATGAGTCCTTCTTCTCCTCACGGACTCCACTCCCAAATCGGAGAATAACTCCCCCAGCCGACAAGCAGTCTTGTCTCACACCATCCCCGATATCGCCGGCTTTGAGGAACTCTCAAAACAGGCTTCCGACATCGACTGAAGCATCCCTAAGGTCGTGATTAACAGCCCCTCGCCCAGGGTACCGTGCGTGATCGATCAACATCATACGGAGAGGGACATCCACTAGTCGTGATTCAGAAGGTGCCACGGTAGCATCCCAGATAGGTGCGGCAACGCTAGAGGCTATCATTTGCCGACTCATTCTCTCCATGTTCGAGGCACAGTACCTTGGCTAAGATAGGCTCATCCCAAGGCTCAATTGAGAGGGGCTCACGACCTATTTCATTAGCTGAAGGTGAAGTGGCTTTAGTTAAACTCCATCACACCTTGGTGTTCTCGCATCGACCCTACGACTGCAGGCGCGTCGTTTTAGTCGTGGACTGTTTATGAGAAAGCAAGGGGAGAATTCGACAGTCTAGCCAGGAACCTCCGCCATGACCTCCTTCATGGACGCACCAAATCCCCCACCACTCCTCTCATTACCCCCTGAACTTATACAGCAAATCCTCACATTCGTCTCTCTTTCGGACCTTCTCTCCATATCCTTAGTGAACCGTGTCCTCTATGAGCATTCTCTACAAGACACTTTGTACAAACCCCTTGTACAGTCCCCCACCCAAGGTATCACTCCCGCTAAGCCAGACGAGTTAACCTGGCGGGAGCTCTACAAAACCCATCACCCATACTGGTTCATACCACGGAACAAGATCTGGTTCGCAGACAATGTCCATACTGGAAAGCTCTTGATTGCCAGATACAACCACCGACTAAATGCCATCGAAGCCTTCGCCCTTGTTGCCGAGCGCCGTCAACCCACCTTTCCGATATGGGATTGGCATCCGGAAGTTATCATTCATACATTCGATCCCAAACTCCAACTCGACTTGAATGCACCTATTCTCCGCCTCGATTGCAAGGCTTATGAGAATGCGGTTGGAGACGTGGTTTATCGCCTTCAAAAAGAAGTTCCTATGAACGTGCACCAGGATCATCCAGAATCACCGGCAGGCCACCACTCCCGCCTCATACTCACGTCACCTTTGCCACCACACAAAACTTCTTCATCTACTTCGGTGTGGCCACCACTCATACTTCCTAGTGAAAACCGTACACGCACCAATTCGGCGACCCATTTCCGCGATATCTCAGATCGCCCTTCTACCCTATCCGAGCTTTCACCTTCAACATTTAGAATAAGAAAGTGGCTACAGTTCTCGTCACGCCGCCTTGGTCATAACCAGCACATTGGCGAGGAGATCATTACGTTCGCAACTTTGCCGGAGGAACTATACACACCCACACCACAGAAGCCATGGCAAGGAATCTGGTGTGGGGATTACGCAGGACATGGGGTCGAATTTCTGGTTGTCACACAACCTGAAGAACCAGATTCCTTGCCTTTGCGGGCGGATTGGGCTATGCTTGAAAGAGAACGTCAGAGCAGCGTCAGTAGTGTGGATTCTTGGAGCACAGCACATACAAGCCACTCGTCAGGAGAAGCGGGACATCAGAATGACGCAGGACATGTTTCAGTTACGGACCCAAACATCGAGACCAGCTGGGGTACGGCTCAACCCCACGAATACCCGCGAGAACATGCCTCTTCATCCGCGGCTACCACGTCTTGTAATGAGGATGACTCCATATACCGAGGGCGTATTGAAGCTATCAAACTCACCGGTGATCCTAACATTCCACGCGGTGAATACACATTCATAGCACCTGACATTGGGGCCAACGGCTTGGTCCGAATTGCAACGGAAGACATGTTTAAAGGAGCCAGAATCGTGAAAAGCGTCGGCCACATCGCGGCGAGGGGCTACCGGGATGGTATGTGGAACAGGGAATACTTTCTTACGCATTATTGTTTGTTTTTGTCCGCAATACGCTTCACAGCTAACTGTTCCCCACAGATGACTTTATACCATCTCAGCTCATTCTCATCTCGCATGACCGACTCGCGCAGTACTGGGAGGAGTTCGGACATGTGTCGTTTTATCAGCGGGTCAATATTGATGAGTTCACAAAGGTGGATTAATGTTTTATGGTTCCATAGTGGTTGCTGCTGTCGACAATCCGTGGTGGATTTTCTCCTATGTTATAATATCAACTGCATGAATCCCCTCCTTCGTCCCAAGTCAACGAGCATATCTCAACAAGAACAGTCATGCACTTGCGCCTCAAAAAGGCGCTATTCCCAGACCAGCCTAGCCCTCTTTCCCAGGACATCTCCGATCACCGGCGCACCCCAAAAAATCCGCGTGAGCACCTGAGAAACCACACATCTCTTCACAATGGCGGCTCGAACCCTCCGAATAGGTACAATTCCCCCTCCAAACTCCCCAATTGCTTCTTCTGAATCCCGTATGCTCAATTACACCCAGGCCTCATCCCCGGCGACGGCATAGGCCGCGAAGTTATCCCCGCAGGACGGCGAATCCTCGAAGCCCTACCCTCGTCCTTGAACCTCAAATTCAGCTTCACACACCTCGATGCGGGCTTTGAAACGTTTCAGAAGCAGGGTGTTGCGCTGCCGGAGAAGACGGTCGAGGCGTTGAAATTGGATTGTGATGGTGCGCTGTTTGGAGCTGTTTCGTGCGTCCCCAGCCAATTTCCCCCAAATACCCACCCTTCAATCCGTACCGCCGTGACATTGCCACTAACAATGAGTTTGCGGCTTTAGATCCCCAACCGTGCAAACGAAGGGCTACTCCTCCCCTATTGTCGCGCTACGCAAGCGCCTCTCCCTATACGCCAACGTCCGCCCCGTGAAATCCATCTCCACCTCCACCTCCCCCGTTGACCTTGTCATTGTCCGCGAAAACACCGAAGACCTGTACGTCAAAGAAGAGCGGACCTACGCGGCAGCCGATGGCACCAAAATCGCGGAAGCCATCAAGCGGATTTCGGAAAACGCGAGTTTCCACATCGCGACCATGGCGGGAGATATTGCGCTGCGGCGACAGAGGGTTAGAGATAGTGGCGTCGAGAGTATACATACCGGGCCGGTTGTTACGATTACGCATAAGAGTAACGTGTTAAGTCAGACCGACGGCTTGTTTCGCGAGACAGCGAGAAAGGCGCTAGCGCGGGATGCGTACCAGAGGGTCAAGGTGGAGGAGCAGATTGTCGATAGCATGGTGTACAAGCTCTTCCGCCAACCAGCCTCCTACGACGTTATCGTTGCGCCCAATCTCTACGGTGACATTCTGTCAGACGGCGCAGCGGCCCTCGTCGGTAGCCTCGGGCTCGTTCCGTCGGCGAATGTTGGACATGGGTTTGTTATCGGCGAGCCGTGTCATGGGTCTGCGCCGGATATTGAGGGACAGGGAATCGCGAATCCAATTGCGACAATTCGGTCTACGGCTTTGATGTTGGAGTTTCAAGGCGAAGAGAGGGCTGCTGCGGTAATCTATAAGGCCGTGGATGCGAATTTGGAGGAAGGGAGACTGTTGACGCCAGATATGGGGGGCAAGGCTACGACGGAGGAGGTTATTGAGGATGTGTGTAGGAGGTTGTAAGACAGTAAGGGACATTAGAACTATATAGAGCCAGATACCATTAAAAGCGGAAACATTTTCCATGAGCTTTTTGCTGACTGATTTCGGAATGTATACTTGTCAAAGTTACCTCCCTAAATGTGATGCTACATTTCCGAACCCAGACGATGCTTACGACACCCAAACGCCTACATCCATATACATAGACATGTGCCCCTCTCAGTCCAGCTCATCGTCATCCTCTCCCACGGCACCCACTTTGCCCTCTGTTCCATGCACCATCTCAAACTGCTCTTCCGGGCACTGCACGCCATCCTTCCGCCTCGCTTCTTTCGTCGGGACCAGTTGGAATACTATGACAAAGAGCTCGGTATCTGATTCTCGATTCTTAAGGACATATCTGAGGGAATGTGTGCTTGGTTAGTCAGACCTTGTCTACATCGCTTCCTCCACCATCAACAATAAAACATGGAAAAAAGCTATTGACACAGACACAGGATAGAGAAGGCATGATACGTACCGTAAAGGCTGGCCATCCCAATGACTCACAATCGAGATTGCAGGAAGCCCATACCCCAGCTTCAATGCAAATTCATTGAAATCCAGATACGGGTTAAAGAAATCGCATTTGTATTCCCTGCCCGCCTCGAACCGAAACTGCTTTCTTCGGTCCTCGGATAGGAAGTGTTTTTGGCGTTGGCGTGCGTCTAGTGGTATGCTGTGTTCTTCTCGTACATCATTCCCGTCACCTTCAGCGCCTTCCTCGTAGACCTCGACATCTGCTTCCTCATCCTCGCCGTCCCCATCGGAGGAAGACGAAAGTGAGGGCGATAACGGTGTTTTGCTTCCAATGCGCAGAACGTTGATGCTGCTTAATAACGCCCCGTACAGGTATGGTTCATCGCCGTATACGTCGCCGTCGAGACCGGGATCGATCCACCATTTGACGATGCCAAAGGCTTTGTCAAAGAGTGGAGGCAAGCGGTCGCGGATCGGGTGGTCGAAATCGTTGCCGAAGACGAGGTGGTGGCCCGAGATATGAGATTTGGGAGTGAAGGAGAAGGATATTGAGTAGCGGTCGTAGGGATGTTGGGGCGTGTAAAAGTAGGGGGACGACGAGGGGGATTTGGGGGGAAGACCTAGTGCTGAAATTAGTACTAAACATATAGAATTCTTTGAGCCGCGCTGGAGCCGTCGTGGAAACATTTGGGGGCGCAAGAAATGTGCGAGGACTGACGTGAGCCAGGGCAGGAGTGCGGGGAGTTGAGCGATCAACTCAGGATTGCGAGGAGCATACCTCTGTAGTCCTTTATTCGGATATGTATTTGCGCGTCGATATGATCGGAAGATATGTTTACAGGCTTCTCGCTATTCACATGGACATCCTGGTGTGTCTTCGGATTGTAGGAATGCCCAGCGGTGACGCGGAGAATATAGTTCTCGTGGTAGGCCATCGTGTGCGATGAGATTCTTAAATAGGGTTCTCTTAGGCGGAAATTATCTAGCATAAACTCAATTGAAACCAGCGAGTACGAGCTGGGAGAGGGTGAAGGTTTCGGGAGGGAGCAACGAGGTATTTGAATGAAATTGCTGGGAAAATTGATGCCGATCAATGACGTCCGAGGTACGCGACGAGGGATCCTCGACACTAGGCTGCTTTCGGATGGCGGGGGGCTCCAGGTGGGGCTTCATCTACCGTTTATCGTCGCCTCTTTGTTCTCTGTTTTGACGTCTCGCAGAGAGGAACTGGGAGGTTACAGAAATATGCCCAAAAGTATACTCTGTCGCTGCGTCTCTCCTGCTTCTCCTATGAGAGAAAGTGTGAGTGGTACCTAAGTTATCTACTTCGCTTTTCTACCTTCATCCTGTCTCGGCCATCTGCATACTCACAGCTCTCTGCTTTGCCTCTCATTCCCACTGTGCCTTACTTCCACCCACTCACTCTCATTTCCTGCGTTTTACCTCTTAAAGCGGGACGTGGTAGGGGATAGTCGAAGATAGATATTGGGATCCTGGCAATGGTCTCCCTACTTCTGGTAAGGGCTTTAACAGGTAAACTCTGCCCTAGTTATATCCCATGCTATGCAGTAACATGCTGTAGCACTCAAAGCCTCCGAAGGCCATTGCTCGTCCAAGGCTGCTTAGTGCAACATGTGGAGCTAACTTACTATTTCAAACGTCGCTTGCTCGGGAACCCAAGAGAAACATTGTCTAGAAGATCATTCCCGGTCTTCCGGAGCACGGAGCTCTCCTGGTTTCAAACCCCCCACCGACTATCCTCCAATTATCAGACTCAATTACTTCTCCCTTATCTCTAGACTATCACCCTCCCTCTAATTTCTCATATACACCCTCTGTGACTATTCTTAAGCAACCGTGTTGCAACGCGAGCTTCCACCTTCCTCAAGCTGGCCATAGCCGCTCTCTTAGTATTCAGTGCACTTGCCTACCCATGACCCTCAAAGCAGCAGTTGGCGGAGTACACAGCAAATCCGGCCCCCTGTACCGACGCGCTGGGCCGTTCCCTCGAGTCTCTTGGGATGATGGAGCGTATCAAGCGCGTAATTGAGGAGTGTATTCCCACACTCTAGCATATTCAGAGGCGCTTTACATCAAGGTTAACTCAGCCAAGGCTACAGCACTCCATACCTCCTCACCTGATAACTGATTCCGTGACGGCTACAGCTTTGGACACCAGTGACAAATTCTCTCTACTGAAGTGGTTGAGTATGAGCCATGAGGTGAGCGGCTATACCAGGAATCTTGAAGACCGCCTCAACTTCAAGTAGGACGAGGAACTGAGAGCGAACTCCGCCGGTTGCGTTCTCACTCCAGAAGCCATCTATGGCCCATTTTGGAAAGACGGGTTGAGTGCCAAGATGTTCGCGCAAAAGTTCAAAGTATCCATATGCGGCTAGCTCTGCAGACAATAGACTTGAACATCTGTAAGCTGATTCCGGGCGCTAGAGTGGATGTGTGGTATGTAAGCAGCGGGAGGGTAAGGAGCTACTACGGAGCTGGCGAGTCTCCTGCCAATGTGATGGACATCTACCACGGCAAGCCCGATGGCTATCTACGCGCCCACCAATGGGCCTCCTCTCATGGCACTGAATATTTCGATACTACTTTCCCCTGTCACTATACCAATCGAGTAACCCGTGTCTATGTAACTGTTCTCCCAAAATTTGAGGATCATTCTACGCATACTGTCATGCTGTACTTTAACGAGTGGCTGCATCAAGTAATTGAAGTAAAACCCTTTGGCTCCAAATTCGGGTCAGAATAAAACATGCTGATTATTACTTTAGATCAATTACTAGTGTAAGAACAACACGCAGCTACTCACGGTCAAAGATTTCGCTATACTCGGCCTCCAATAAATAAGATCCATTTGCTCTGTGGCAGTATAGTTGTCCCTACATTTCACGTACGTACCCCTTCTCCAAATCTCGAGAACGTTCTTTGCTGATGACCTTTGTTTAGAAGGCATCTTAGCTTAGATTGCCATGTGCATTAATGCCTCCACCATGAACATCAGGCAACCACAGAAGCGTGGTATATTTAATGATCATCTCGCACATTAATAGCAACTAGGTGCTTATTGAGGAAGAATAGAACAGGTTGAATACGCAAGTTTTCTATATACTGGATTGCCCATGGTTCTCGGGGCAAGGTATTCATTTTAGGCTTTGCATACAATGGTTAGAAGTACACTACCCCTAGGAAAATACTTGGAAAATGCTTAAATATCATACCTAGTCTAGTGAATCCTCTTTACTTCAGCAAAACTTTGGCTCGAGTGGAGCTCCATCGGCGAGTGAGCCTCAGCCAACCGGCCGAGTGCTAGCTGCCGAATTAAGGCGGTTGTGTAGCGTTAACTCAGCGAACATATACGCCTTCCCGGCGGCTCGTTTACTTGGGAAATTACCATTAAGAAAAACCATTAGTAGCTAGATAAACTGCTCATGAGATTCTATAGAAAATTGAATGGGGGCGATTGAAATCGCGAGATTTTGGTTGGCGCGTTTAAACGCGAGGTGCGCAACATTCTCGTATGCGCAGTTTCCATGTAGCCGTGCTTATTGTTTAACCATGCCCATTTTCCTCCTCCAGAAAGACGAACGGTTTACAACCGATCACCCAATCAGACTGGGCTAGGCATTCGAGATGACGCAGCCACCACAGTCGTGTAGCAACTCAGCTGACTGTCAGTCATCAACCCGACATCTTCAATTCTCGTTCTCGAGTTATTGTCGTTCACATTGATACTGACACCGACAAAAACGCTACTGACCCTTATGTTTGAAACTTCAAAAGTCGTGGAAGTATCTACCTGAATTGGCCTCTATTCAATGTTTCACCGATTCCCGCAAATCACAGCCAGATAGAGTTACAACTCCAACCACAACAAACAAATTTGCACACCCCATCTCACTGCGCCTCAACCCACCCAAACAAAACTACAACATCTAGCACCAAACTCTGGCTTTCCACTGGCCAAACAAACCTAAGACTCCACCAATACAACGAGCAACCGCACCACCCACTCCCCAATCCACCAAAATGGTCTGGTTCGAGCACCGCCCCGACACTGACACTCTCGATCGCATAGATGCGTTAGTATGGGTGTTACATCTTATCGTCTTCGCACTTGTGGGGTTGATGCTGGCCTGCTATGTCCTAGCGTACATGATTTGGAAGGCGCTGAGCCAGGCGACGAGGGAGTTGGATCAGGGAGAGAGGGCAGGGAGGAAGAGAGACTGAGGAAAGGGGGGAGGTTAGCTGGAGTTTTAGTTCTGGGAAGGTTAAGGATTAGAGGTTGGGGTTGGGTTTGGAAAGGATAGGGGGGTGGATGAAATGAGAGAAAGGAAGGCAGGAGATTGAAATGAAGCTGAGGTAGATATCTTGGACACAGATGTTGAGATCGCGAAGCGGTACTGCGGTGCCTTCTCCTAAATCCAAATCAACATTCACAAACTGTCCAAATGTGCTTTAAAGCCTAAACTATTCCTTACCGTCCTTCGCTCCACACTCAGAATCTACTCCTCCGACGCCGCAAAATCCAAAATGCCAAGATATTGTTGCTTCTAGTTCGAGGTATACTTCGCAAGGGAAACCTGGAACCATATTAAAGAGAAGTGAGGTGTCGTGCTTAGTTCGCCGTGAGCTTCAGGCGAATGTTCGTCATAACTGCCTGCAGCCAAGTATGATCTCGATCGCCTAGTGTTGACGTTCATGAGGTCTTGTACAGGGCATCGAATAATTAGGGCTAGAAGCGGACTCCTCAGACAGCAAGTAGGCGATTCGCAGTTCTTCGTCGAAGTCACGAAAGCAAATACATCCGCGATGCTGGATTGCGCAGCCAGACAGAGTTTCGAGCCTCATGACTAGGTATTGAGACCATGCGCATAGGAGATATTGAGGTGGATGTAGAGAGAAGAGTGGCCCACGGTGAACCAAAGCTGGGGTGTTGATGTCGTTGAGGCTCGACTGTGGCGTTAAATGGAGGCATTTAATGCTTGCGGGTACGTCAGCTTTATATACGTATTTGCTAAGCTAGAAAATACCGCATAAATAGATAAATAGTAAGAGACACAGCAAGGTCAAAAATTGAGGCAGGCAAGCATTCGCTTCCTCTGTATCCCTCTGGCGTCCTCCATGAGCCTTGCGACACTCGAGGTTGATAGCTAGATTGTTGATGGCTTGGCTTACGGCTAGAATCGCCCAGAAGGCTAACTAGGTCCTTTCCTAGTGCTCAGCGTTTCCAACAGGAAGTAGTACAATTGATACTTTTGCTCCACCTACAATTACGTAAGGCAAACAAACGTAACTACATTTTTAACTATTACAATTTAATTAATAAGGCTTAAAAGTAAGTAGTATATAATTAAGGTAGACTTTTTTAAGGTTGCAGTCTCTAACGCGTGTAAGGGCTAGGGGAGCGTGTTTGTGCCACTATTTACATGTTAGTGTAGCCTTAGAGCTTGCCCTGTACTACAACAACCTTAGATAACCTTATTATAGCAAAAGATAACAGTCCCTTATATAGGAAAATAGCACAAAGCCTTTAGGAGGAGGGAAAGGATAGTTACTTATAACTATAATTATCTCTTAGGCTTTATAATTAAAGCTTTACAACTCTAGAAAAACTAGCTATATTATAAAGTTATTTTTTAGTAAATTAAATAACCTTACATGCTATATTAAAAGTAAGAGGGACTCTACTACTCTAAAAGCTTTAACAGTTACATTATAACTTTTAGTAAAAAGTTAAGAAGTATAAGCAGCTTTAATTAAACTATAACTTAATTATATTAACCCCTACTATTAGGTAAAGCAAACAAAAGTATATAATAAGTGAGACGTAACTTGTCTAGAAAGCCTGAGTCGAATCGTACTACTTCCTGATGGAAACGCTGCTAGTGCTTAGTGAAGCCAGGCATGAGTGTGACAGACTCGTATTTACTGAAATCGAAATAACTAAACCAGACGACGAAAGTAGTGCTTTGGATTAAGTTCGGAGGGCATCCGCGCTCAGTGTGTCCAACCGTTAGTACACCTAATAGTACAGTACTGCAGTACACTAATTTTGGTCACGTACGTACGTACAGGGCATCTACTTAGTATACTGTACTATACATAAGGCTGCTATACTAACTGTTTATAGTAGTTATATAGAATTTTTAGTAGTTTTAGGCAGTTAAAGGCAGGTTACTAAGAGCTAGAGGGCTTATATTTAGAGATTAATGCAGAGAATGCTGTTAGTGCCTGTTTTATTAGCAATCTTCTAATAAATTTAGTAACTATGCTATTTACCTTATTCTTTTGCCTATTATAATGTCTTAATTTTTATTCTAATTAATAATGCAGTTATCTTAGTGTGTTACTACCTTGTAGGCCCTATTCTTGTAGGCCTTATTCTTACATGCCTTATCCTAACGCTTAGAGAAGGCCTGTATAGCGTTACCTAGCCTATCTAGGCTGTCCTTGCGTAAAGCAACTCCTTTAAAGCATATGCAAGATACCTAGGCTAAGGAGCACCTAAATAATGCCTGCTATAATGTTAAAATTGCCTTTAAAATTAACATTACCTTTAATTTCCTATTAATTTTAGTAACTTTATATAAGTGCAAGCAGTGCTTCTTACAGGCTAAGAAGACTATTATAATAAAAAAAATTAACTATTAGTGTTAATAATAAAGGCTTCTTAACTGCAGAAAAATTAGTTACATAACATTACTATTACTAGTAAGATTAATAACTGTAGATCTTATAAGGGGTATTATAACTTTCTAATTAGGTATAGTCTTTAGCTTTAGCGCAATTACTTTATAATACTTTAGTTACTATATTTAAACTGTACACTAACGTTATTTTCTCTATATAGTTAGTTAGTAATAGCTAACTCTTCTGTAACTGTACTATACAACCTCTAAAAGGCTCTGTAACTAACAGTTAGACACACTGTCCGCGCTGGGGAGTACTCTGCGTGTTAACCATTTTGGCCAAAGTCAAATAATGATAGAAAGTAAAGATAAAAGCCAAACCCACCAGGATATCATATCGTTGAACCTATTGCTAATTATTTGACCTCTGGCATATAACTAGCTTGGCCACGTTTCATCACCTAAGCCCTACCCATTTTCCGATCTAAAACCTAGAGCATCCTTGAATCATCATATTGGCCCAAATAGTGTATTACTCGACTTACTCTTCCCCCCATTCCCAAGAATCTCCTGACTGGCTAGATTCTCCGTCTGCGCCCGACTCGCCATCTCTGGCCGACTCTGAGTACTCCTCGTCTGCAGATAACCAAAGCTATTCGCCCTCTGGTTCCTCACCGCCCTCGCAACCAAATTATACGGTTTCGCAAGTAAGCCAATGTACGTCGCAGCGCTGAAAATGGGGCTGCGTTTGACGATGCAGTTACCGTCGAGAATAATGTGACCCATGGTTTCGATTTGTAGGCCTGGGAGCTCAATAATTTCTTCTATATGCTCACCAGCTTCCTTTTTAGTTTTGACAACGGTGTGGAGGATGGATTTGTTGTGCCGGTTCATTTCCGCGGCGATCCACATTGCAACTACTCGGCCAGTGACACCCATTGGAAGGACAAGTGCGAGAAGCATGAGAGCGGCAGATATGGACATTAAGGTTGCAGAAGCGAAGAGGGCGGTGCCAAAGGCGAACGCGACGACGCTGCAGCCTCGGGAGAGAACTTGGAAGAAGGCATGGAGTTTCGATATGCCCTCAACAGAGACTACGACGTAGAAGCATGTTCGCGAGTAAGAGGAGGGATCGTTTTCTTGGATGGTGACATGGTGCTGGAGGTTGATTCCTGCATGTAGTCGATCCATGATGGTGGGAAAGCGTGTGCGGTCGAAGTTTGTGACGCGGGATTGGGTGTTGTCGACGATGAGTTTTGTGGGAGCTTTGGCAACGCGAAGGGTCCAAGATTTGGTGAAGGGGGCGGCCACCACGTTGTCAAAAACGCTGGCGACAATGACGATGAAGTACCAAAACCACATCCAACCCCAGACCTTTCCTTGGGTCAGATCGAACTGTGGTAGTAAAACGGAATAATGAACTTACTCTGCACCACCATGTAATCACACTGCCTCGCTGCGCTAGCCCCATTGCGACGAGGTTGATCCCGATGAAACACAGCTGGAGGAAGATGGCAAACCAAACCTTGACATAAACATCGCCGCCAGAATCATCTTTGGCACGTAGCCTGACCTCCCTTGCGAATAGCTTCGCCTCACTCAGCTCACTGTGATCAAAGCTCTCTTCATCTGTATCCAGATGCTCGTGCTCCGGATTTATCGCAGTCCTCATTGTCGGCATTATGCCCCCATACGAAAATGCTTTCCCAGACTCAAACTCGCCGATATCAGATGGCGTAATAGTAGCCCCCATGGAAAGGAACATAGAAAGGAACCCTGCTATGGGAACCAGCTTGTAGACGATCCACATTTCCCTCGTCGGTGCGCCGAGCAGAGCACCGGCGGTAGGAAGAAGAGTGAGAGCGCCTGCTGCTCCGTTGTACTCTGCGCTACTGAGAACTCTGACTTCTTCAAGTGCTTTCGCAAGGTTTAAAAGGCATTGTCGGACATCTTTTCCTGATCGAATCCGATTCCCCCGTTCGAGCCAGTTCATGAAGTAAAACCACCCCCCTTCTTGGTCGACGGCTGCTGCTTGATCTGGCGTGGGTGTTTGTACAGGTTCGAACGGTATCGTATTCGCTGCCTTGGTGCCTGCTATTAGACCAAAGACCAAACATGCGGACAGGAAAAGACATCGTGTTTTATTATGCCGGAGGAATTCATTGAGCCCAACTAGAAGGCGAAGATACGATTTGCCTATAACATGGATGAAGATTGTGTACAGCATGGTTAAAAATCGTCGCGAGTACTTGAAAACAAGGAAGGAATAGTAATATTGTCCACTGTTCGCGTTCCCAACGCAAAATAGTGAGTGGAAGGGGGAGGCTAAAGATTAGATGGTGTCTCAAAAGGCCGAAAGGGTTGATGCTAAGTATGCCACATCTTCCAGCCCCCAAGTGACACTATTCCCAAAACACAACCAGAAGGGTCCAGGCCAACTATTCCGTTCTTGACAGGCATTGCAATCCCTGCCGTGCTTACTGTTGATGGCAGAGCCGTGGGGCCGGACCACCTCAGCAGCAGATAGTTGTGGGTGCTTGTTTACAAATTATCCCGACTCTATTCGTATTTGAATTATCCCATTTTTTAGGGCAAACCTCGCTAGGAAAAGTATCCCCCAACACCAAAGAGAGGGATATCTATGGTTCTAGGATAGTGAACAATCGAAACAGGATCCTCTCAATTGTAACTGAACGCGGTGTATCTGGTGAGACTGAAAGGATAGCGAGCACGAGTCAGCGCCTCGTCCCCAGAACAGCATTTTGGCGAAGTGAGAATAGATTCTACACAGTAGGTCCACAAGGTGTAGTAGTCTTATTGAAATCCATTCTTCTCCCTTCTCCAGCGTTAACGCTATCAGGGGCAATCCTGTGAACGAACTCGCGGGATACTGCCGTTATCAGCACATTTCGCCTGAAACAGAGACTGATCTGCGGCTAATGAAGTTGGGGGCGGCAAATGAACGAGCAGGGTGTTTCTGGCACTCTTCATTGGATAGCCTTGGAGTGCGCCAGGATACAGTTTCAATGCTCTCCTTGATTGCGTATTTGAAAGGAATGCCTTAGGTTGAAGGAGAGTATGAAGGGTTCGAAGAGGGGTTAGAGGAGTGTGATTAAGCTCTCGCTAGAGAACAATAGACGACTATTGGCCCACATTTGGAAAACTATTTGCCTAGCTTCAGGGCTGAATATGCCGGAGAGAAGAGGAATTGCTCACCAGATGCAGGTGGCAGGGGGGAGGGGAGCAAACATTGCGATCAAGAGACACCGAAGAGCACGCGTCTGGTCGGCCACGACGCCTGCAGCCCTTTCAAAGGCTGACAGGTGAATGGCAACCAATCATCTCACGTCGCGTCAGTGCACTCGAAGTCTCGCATTCCCCGTGACCAAAGCCACTCAATCCTCCATTGATACCCTTGTACCGTGCGGTTCAAGGTATAAGTTTGTACCGCATTTGTTTTGCAGAACAAATTAAGTACCTTAAATCAATTCCCTAGCATAATATATTTAGTAGCTACTGTGCACTAAACTGGCCTCTACAAGAATCAGAGAAGGGTGGTATTTAGCCTAACTGAATAGCTAGCAGCTTATAGAGTCCATGCCTGTGGGCGAGAGCACGGATAGTGTAGAGGAATTGCAAACATCCTGTTTCTATAAAAGAGTGCGTTGGTTAGTGTAGATAATCCAAGTGGCGTAGCAGGGACCCCGGAAGAGCACTGACGAATACGGATCCTCTGCCAGTTCTTGGCGAGGCGCTGGAAGTTGTCAGAACAGAGCCGCAGGTGGCGATATTCCACACCGCCCTCAGCGTCCCTGAACATTCTCGCGCAAGAGGCCGACATTTCCCACAAGAGCCTAAATTCGGTTTCACTCATCGTTCGCCATCTTCTACATTCATCGAAGTATCTTTCTTACCATTGCTGACGCTCTATCGTCCGCGTTGTGGTGTCTTGAATAATTTTGAGTACCCCTCAGTCCTCACACCACACGGTGCCCCACCCGTCTCATCGGAGCCGAGCTCCCAAATTCAACCCGTAAGATGGTGAATTTGTACTTTGCGCCAGATGCGCAGCTTTTACACTCGGATCGGCTGGTCTTAGACGTCTTGACAAAAGACTACAATCGCTATCAAGCAAAGCATGGTTCTGAAGCTGAGAAAACAAAGCTTCGCCATGATTCTGCGTCGCCCGAAGGTACCACTATATTCCTCTCGTTTTTTAATGTCTAGCACTTCAGTACTTGCTCGATTAGCACGTCTAACATTCCCGCTAGATGCCAACGAGTTACAGGAGAAAAGTATTGCAAAGCTTAAATCCGTCAATAATCCTAAAAGCAAAGACTTCGACCCCACTGTCTTTGTCACCTGGGACCTTCCGGACACCAATGTTCCTCCATTCCTCAAAAAATGGATTCTAGACCCCTACATTCGCTGGGCTCGGCTCATTGTCCGCTTCGAAACTGACGTCGTCATGTTAACCCATCTATTCCTGTATCTCTTCACTACCATCCCATCCGCTCTCTACCTTTTCTATGACTTCCATTGGTGGCATGGCCCGCTCCACTTTGTAATGCAAGTATACTTCATGGGCACCTACACCCTGATGATGCACCAACATATCCATCAGCGCGGTATCCTGGCCAAGAGATATGCATTCATTGACCATCTCTTCCCCTATATTACCGATCCCTTGATGGGTCATACTTGGAACTCCTATTTCTTCCACCACGTCAAGCACCACCACATTGAAGGCAACGGGCCCAACGATCTCTCTTCCACTGTACGGTACCAGCGCGATGATGTGTGGCACTTCCTCCATTACGTTGGGCGATTTTACTTCCTAATCTGGTTCGACCTTCCACGGTACTTCTTGAGCACGAGGAAACCCGGTTTGGCGCTCAAGGCTTGTACATGCGAGATCATGAACTACGTTTTCTTGTACATCATGTTCAAATATGTGAATAGCCGAGCCACGACCTTCGCGTTGCTGATGCCGTTGTTTACGATGCGATTAGGCCTGATGATTGGGAATTGGGGACAACATGCTTTTGTAGATGAGGTATCGCCGGATTCGGACTTTAGATCAAGTATTACGCTCATTGATGTGCCCGTACGTTCTCCCTCCCAGCTAACCTTCCTTTCACTGGACAGTAGAGGACGCATAGATGCTGATATATTTACCATAGAGCAACCGATACTGCTACAACGATGGCTACCACACCTCGCACCACCTCAACCCTCTGCGTCACTGGCGCGACCACCCAGTCTCCTTCCTCATCCAGAAACAGCAGTATTCCGATGAACACGCGCTGGTGTTCTACAACATCGATTACTTGATGATTACCTTCAACCTCATTACTAAAAACTACATGCACCTTGCTAAATGCCTTGTGCCTATGGGTGAAGCTCAGATGAAATTGTCCATGGAGGAAAGAGCGGAGATGTTGAGGAGCAAGACGAGGAGGTTTAGTGAGGAGGAGATTGCGGAGAAGTGGGGAAAACAGTATGCGCGGTTGAAGAAGTGAGGGTGGATTGAGTAGAAGTTGAAGACTTGCTAAATATATATTGCATAGGTACTGAAGATCGAATGGGCATGGGATTTATTCCGAATTAGGTTTCTCTCGAAAAGACGTTTTGTTTCAGATAATCTAAATTCTGTATATAATGTCAATACAAAAACATGTGTGGTTTTGGCGCAACGATAGGGCTCTCAATCACTACCCACTAAACAAGCCTGTCCTAAAGCGGGCTTTAAAACAAGTGCTACTTATGAAGGCATTTCCATGCAGTTTGTATGAGAACCACGTTGGAGTATTCACCTAAGTCGAAATACCCTGTGTAGTGCTGGAGAAACTATTAACGACAGCTCTCAAAACGACAGCACTAAACTTTAATAAACTCCTAAGTCACTCCCCCGGAGCACCCACTCTCAATTCTGGCAAGTTTCTCCATCCCCTGTTGTACTTTCATCCCTATGCGCCAGAGCTTCTTCCAATGCGTCGTGAGCAAGACATAATCTCCCTCGGGCCTCATCCTAGCGCAGAAGTACTCCCATCCGTCCTGCCGCTTCGCGGAACAGCAGAAATCCCTGCTTCATCGTGCCCTAGAAATCTCCCCGATATATGATTCCGAAAGCCAAGCCAGCCTTTGCTTTCCACGCACTCCTAGTGGATGGACTCGCGACCGCCGGCGGTGCCAGCACAACCTGTCCGTCATGCAGGAGTTGTCGTGGCCCACGATAGATCTGGTGTCGACTTGGTTAAGGACCATAATGTGTAGTAGTGAAAGTTTGCGTGCAACAGGGCCGTAGAGGTGGCGGTAAGTTCTGCTTGTAGCGGAGTGTTAGAGAGGGTGAATATTCACGTGATGCTGTGCCACAATGAGGAGACGGAAACTACCCGCTCATGCTTCTACCTTGACAAAGACGCAAAGCCATAACAAAACGCCAAAACGCTAGAATGTTATAACGCCCTGTTATACCCCCCGATGGGCCATGACTCCGAACGTTGTGGTTCCGAGATATTTACCCCTTGGTTATCAGCCCGTCGTTCTTGAGATCTAATCTAATCATTAAAAGGGGAAGAATACCGCTAGCCGAGTTTGGCCTAGCTCACTTTCTGACGTGAAAGTCTTAGCCACCCGCGATCCTCCACAGCACTCCATCCGCATGCAACGTCCTTTCAATGCTGAACCTTAACAAAAGAATTGCCGAGTATTGCTGCCTAACAAATATGGAGCCCTTCCTCTCTTAGCTCCGTGCTCTTCTCCGGCACCCGTTTCATGGCTCTTAAAATGGCATCCCTTCACATTAGCGCTCGTATCTTTGTCAGATTCTTTCCAATTTGAGCATGCAGATGTCCGGAGATGGATCTGTGTAACGCCCATGTCCCTGAGCCGGATATTTGGGAGTCAAATGGACCCTCTGCATCATCTGAAGCGCGTCACAGGATATTGTGTGAGGCTCTCACCAGAAATATCCTGCATCTCCGCAAACACGATGGGTAATTCTTGCACGGAGATTCAGGTTATATGAATCCCCCTTTGCTCCTATTCTGAGTCCGAAGTTTCCATTGCTGGGTCATGGCTCATGATCCTATGTTTGGCTTCTTTTCTTTATAAACATCTTCATTCTCTTCGTTCGATGTCAGTTCTCAGACAAGTGGTTTCTTCCTTTCTAATTTCAATTCGTTCCTTCCCAACTATTACACTCTTTTAAGACATTTTAAGTGCCGGTCACCATGCCTTCCCTTCGTTATTTGTTTCTGCTCGCCCCACTGGCTTTTGCATTACCAAGTCGAATTGTTCAACGAGCATCCTCGTACGGGGATAAAACTCTTACCCTTAGTGACGACATTGCCAAGCTATGGTACGATGACTACGATTCTAGCGAGACTCCAGCAGAGTCTAGTGACACCCCAACGCACCCAACTGAGAACACTCCTGGGAACTTCACACAACCGATGGGGAACTTCACGCAGCCTTGGAAGAACTCTACGCAACCCATGGGAAACTCCACACAACCTACAGGGAATTCCACGATTATACCCACAAACTCTAGAGATTATTACAGCTGCGCAGGTCCCGACGTCAAGGACTATCCACCAAAAGGAGAGTGGTTGAGCTTCAATGCTCTCTGGGGCATCAATTCTCCAACAATCGTCAAAAATAACAAAGACTCTGCATACGCCGACTTTATCAAACAAGGCATTCAAGATGTTTCGAGGGCAAGCAAGGTTGACGCTCGCTTGATCCTGTCCATCATTATGCAGGAGGTATGTACCGAAAAATTGAAATGAAAGTCTTCACAGCCTAATCAATCTTAGTCTGGAGGCAATGCCCAAGTTGAGTGTACAGGATACGACTACAAGAGAGACTGTGGAATTATGCAAATGCGCGGTGCCGCCAATTTCAGCAGCTCCGAACCCGAGAAAAGCATTCGCGAAATGATCGAAGACTCAGTCTATGGAGTCTCCGAACCTGGTGTGAACAACCCCAATGGTAGTCCTGGCTACTTACACTACTTTCAAGGCAAACCCGAGGATCTTAGCTGGATCAAAGGTACCTTCTGGCAAGGCAACCCGTTTGCAGCTGCTCATCTTTACAACGCCGGATCTGTGGAAGAAAATCTTACCGTCCAGGTTGGAGAAAATCTGAACAGCAAATGGTACGCAAATGATATTGCTAGCCGGCTCCTTGGCTGGAATGGATCCAAGCAAGGCTGCGAGAACAGCCGCAAATGTCCAAACCACGGATTTGAGAATAGGCAATGTCAAGGCTAAAAGAGAGAAAATATCTGCTCCAGGAGTACATCTTGCATTCTGTAACGGTTTGGCCCCGGGGGTCAAGGACTTCAATCTTGTGTCATTTTCTACCGTGTCTTTGTTATCCTTAATCGTAATAACATTTTCCAAGTATTGTATTAAGCTTCTATGCATTGCGAACCGGCTCTATTATTCTCCCCTAAAGTAGGTTCAGTTTTGTACGGGTCCTCTCTTGGATCCCGAATGCCGAATTTGTTCCCAATCTAAACCCTCTTATGCTCTTTCCCTTCCACTAGCCTCGAGTCGCTGCCTCTTGCCGATCTCAGATCAAAGACTTTAGTCATTCTCAAAACATCGAGCCCTACTACTCACCCCTACTCATCGCATCGTTATTCCAGGGTCAGACCATGCCGGAATCTCAATTACCATCGGCGAAGAACTTAATAATCACGACCCCCAGTACTATCGCCCTCCACGCCCAATCAAGCCATCAAATCCTCTTCGAGTGCGCGTCCACCGATGGAATTCTCAACGCTCAGGCAGCGAAGGACAACAGCGGTCTTCTCGCTATCGCTGATAGCCACGTAGTTATTCTATATAATTCGAGGGATGGGAAGGATCGCAAATATCGGCTCAAGAGTGGTGATGTGAGTGCGAAACAAGCCAATTTACTTGACTGTTTTCTCTAAGCTGATCGTTTGGAGGGTGAGCCTCGTATGCTTCTCTTCTCACCCTGCTCTCAAACCTTGTACTTCACCACCACGCTCAGTCCTTCTATCCAAGCATACTCCATCTCCACCGCCGAACTATTACCTCCTCTCCAAGAGCATCCGTCTCCGCCAAATGTTCTCGCCATCTCGAAAGGCGGTGACATATTTCTCTCCACCTCTCCAGAACCACCAACAATATTTCTACAAGACCTCCGAATGCGAGGAAGTGCGCCGATATCATTTCATCCAAATAGATCTCAGTCGTCGGTCGCCTGTGCTGCATTTCAAGATAGCGACCACCCCTCGCGACAAACATGCTGTGTGTTCCTCCTAGGATTTCAGGATGGTACGCTTGCACTATATAAGATTGTTATACCTCGTCGGCTGCGATTATCCAACATTCTAGAGCCTAATTTACAAACACATGCTTTCCAACTCCACCAGCCTTCTAAACTCGGGTACTTGAAGAGGCTCCACAAGGCTGCCATGGGAGGTATATCCGCTGCTGAGTTCATCCCTGGCTACAAGTCGCGCATTGTGAGTGTGGGATATGATGGGCGGTGTCGACTCGTTGACTTTGAAGAAGGAGGTAAGGTCCTTCGGACGTGGCATGTTGCTGGACCAGCAACATGTCTCTCTGTGGTTCCGCTCGATGCAATCCACACGAAAGGAAGGGAAGAGAAAGTCGCTGTTTTCAGTAGTGAGTTGGCGGAGGATAATGAACGAGTGCATGAATGGACGGAGACGCTTATTGCGGTTGGGACACGAGCCGGCAAGATTCTTGTGTTCAACATCCTTGGTCTCTTGATGCATGAGATTGTGGTTGAAACAACTGTAGTGGGAGTTGAGTGGGTCGGCGACATGCCTGTGCCTTCTCCTCTACCAAGTGGGTTCGCCTCACCTGCGATATTCACTAAGGACGAGGCTTCTACGCCTTCCCTCCCTCTTCCTGACACTCCTGTGGACAAGTCCGAAAACGCCTCTAATGGTTCCGAAGACAGCGATGAAGACGCAGAGCAATCAGGCACAGTCCGCATCACAGAGTCCCCACAAAGCCGTTCTGGCGTCACAAGCCCCGTTCGCCTCAGCCCTCCTAGAGACCTTTTCTCCGCCTCGCCTCATACCCAATCCCGGCAAATCTCAGCGGCTAGACCGTCCGTCTGGATTCCCCGCAAAGTCTCAGAGGTCTCATATGGATCACCAGAGCGAAAGGATCTCACAGCAAAGCGCCCACGGCGATCCCACCCGCGTCCTAGAATTGTAACAGAGACTTTCAAAGCTCCGACCGCGATTCAGGATACATCATCCCTCGCAGAAAGCCGAAAAAGTTCAAGTAGTCCTGACGATCCAACTACACCCCTGATGCAAGATGCAAGACGGTGGTCGCAAACACATCAGGTGCCCGATATCCCTCTAATGTCTGCGGCGCTTGGATTTGAATCCGACGACTTTGGAGGCTTCGATGGCAAAGCTGAGCCTGAGGTTGAAGGGTCGGAGATTTGGCTCACTCCACCTACATCGCATGTATCACGGAGCTCGGTGGGCGTGATAAGTCCACAGCGTTCGGTAGCATTTGAATCTCCGAGAGTGCCACGGAAGGGGGTAGCTTTTAGGTTCGGAAGCCCGCCTACGTCTGTTAATGTACCATCACGCGGTGCAGTGCAACCGCCTCGGGGAAACTTTGCTCGGAGGAGTTCGCCGAAGGGGTTTGACAGCGAGTCATCAGATCGAAGGGCAAGATGGCTGCATAGATCACCGCTCACATCACCGCCAAGACGTGAGATTAGACGACAGCGATCCCGAATTTACGGTGCAGCAAAGGACTACAACACTCGCACTAAGGAGGCCAGGGACGAAGCAGCGGAGTTCAAATGTCGTGAAGTCGGAAGGTACAGTATGAGAGAAGACAACGTGAGACTGAGAAACGAAGTGCAAGCTTTGCGGCAGGAATTCACGATGTTGAAGGATGCCATCCTTTCATCACAGAAATAACATAGGAGATATGGGCCTTGGTTGGGGGGGTAGAGAGTATCGAACCTGTTGTGTTGTTTTGAAATGCTAGCATTGCTATGGGCCTTCCTCTGTCGCAGGATTCCGTTATGTTCCTTGTCCTCCTAAAACACTGTCTGATTGATTTTTTGCACGTCTGTCACCGGGGTTTCTCCAAGCTACGGGATAAACGTAGATCTAGTTTCTTCAGCCTCCCCACAGCCGCCTCTCATGCTCTTATTTTCAACCTGTACGGTGGCTCTACCCGTCGCGATGAAACTTCTGATAGAAAAGAATAGCCTATGGGTTTCTCCACGTAGGTTATCATTCATAATCAAAAGGGAGGTCTCCAAGTCATTCGGCAAAAGTCTTCGTCCATATCCATCTCTTCTTTCCATTGACTTCGACGAGCGGGACCTGGAATTGCTGATTGAGATTGTGCGCGAGCGGTAGCCGTTCGCTGAGTTCTCGGAAGACCGCAACCTGGGGTGCTAGCTTGCCATGCGCAACATAATGGAACCAAACCAGTCGTTTGCTGCTCAGGTATTATGTCGGATTTCAGGTCTTTGATGCATCACTCCCACTTATACCTCTTTACACCTGGCACAACTACCTCCCACCCATCTTCCTCATCACTCATACCTGTCTTTTCTCCTGCCCCCAACGCCCACACCAGCCTCTTCATCCTCCTCCCGGCCAACCAACGTCCCTCCCCCAAATCCCAATCCCCCTCCACTACTACCACCACCAAACCAACCCCCAGCACTCCCTCGACGACTCTCCTTCTCTCCCCCACCGGCTTCTGTATTCTGTTCGACAACCACGCGCGCCATTTTCCAGAGCGCCCAGGTTTGAAATACGATAACGAGCAGGAGAAGGAAGAGCACTACGAGGATACCGAAGAGAGTGAAGAGGAGGAGGATTGTTTCTTCGTCTTTGAGAGACTTGCCCATGTTGGCGGATTGCGTCTGGAGGCGAAGGCTTGGTGAAAGTCGAACTGGAAGGGTGGATGTTTGAGCCTTGATTTGGATACAAGGGAGAAAGAGGGAGAAAGCGAGATGTGTTCGTGTTCGTGTGCGTGGGTGCGTAGGAAATCTTAAGTGAGAGATTTCGTTGTATCCTTGGGCTCAGAGACGCAGGTACTCGACGAGGTGGGAGTATGATGGTGTTGGATTGTATTACGTTTTGTTGACTGATTAGAGACCACCAGTAGGCTTCAGGTACTCGATTTGATCAGAGAAGCAGTCAACTGCACTATCACAAGAAATGGTTTCCTTTTGAGGAGGAGTCGTTCATCCCAATATAAATCAATACTGTATGACGAGAGCAAACGATAGTGAAGGAAGTCGGCTCAAATGAGAGAAGGAGAGACTAACAGACACACCTCAGACAAAACCCGCTCCTGAGGAGCAGTATGTAAACTCTCCGGTTTATATTCAAGCGGCACGGTACCTGTAACGTCCGAGACCTTGGCGTTCATGTGAGACGTCTTGTCCACTAAAACTCCACACCTTGTGCGTTTCAGATGGGGACACGTGACGATCCTCACCACCTTCACCTGCCATTCCAAAATCAACCTCACCATGCTTCAGCCTCATAAAAACGCCAAAGTCAGAGAAACACAGCCACGGCGCTAAGCAAGCATTACTCACTAATTTTGCATTAAGAAAGTTGCAGACAAGCTGCATATCAAAGAAATATTTTACTGCTACCTACAACTACCTAATATGATCCGATGCAATACCTTAGCCAGGCTATGAACACTGTGTTATGCTATGCAAAGAACCCCATATTCACAAACGCTCGCTGTGCTGTGCTGGTTATCCAATAACCCTAACAACTATGTGTATACAATCGTAACGTCATAAAACGATTATCGTGTCGATAGAAAACCAAGGGTAAGATCATTATGGGTGGCTATGCAAGCGCCGTGGTTTTAACAATATCCAAGAGTGCCAGAGACATGGAAATTACGAGGGAAAGACGACAAAACCTTGGCCGATGAAATCCAACCTATCAATGTACCGTGGATCGTGAATATCCTATCCAGCAATGCCATCAGTCTACGCAGCCGCTGCCTCCGGCACAGCCTCGTCCTCTTCTTCGTACTCTGGAGCAAACACATATCCCGAGTCCCGGGGGCGTGTGGTCCTACGACCGGACTTCTTCTTCGTGACTTTGGTCTTTTCTGCGACTTTGGTGACTTTGCCGGTAGCCACCCTATGCAGATCTACGCTATGAGTCTTGACTTCTAAACCCTTGACCTTCATCTCCCTGATTGCTTCAAGTGCATCTGCATTGCGCTTCTTGAGAGCAGCGGCAAGGTCTTCGTTCCGGCCTAGGAGCTGCCGAAGACTCTCGTTCAGGGCGTCGATGGTGTTGCGCGTATCTTCTTCAGCGAGAGCAAAGGCGTTCTTCATGTCTTCGATTTGCGTGTAAAGGGCCTCGACAGAAGCAGCACGAGCGTCACCCATTGCACGAAGCTCTTCGATCTCCTGCTCCTTCTCGGTGATTGCTTTAGCATGCTTGTTCGCCTGATCCGCGGTAGTCTTCTGCAGGTTTATAATGGTAGCCTGTTGGGTACTGATGGTCGTATTCAGGGCGTTGGCCTCGGCGGTGTGCGCGTTCATAATGTTGAGCATTTCGTTGGCCTCGCTCTCAACTCGCTGCTCTAAAGATGCGTTCTCCTTTCGCAAATGTTCATTGTCCGCACGTTCATTTACAAGGCCGTCTCGGAGGTCCTGGATAGTAGCATCGCGCTCGGCAATCTCATTATCATGCTCCACATTAGTGGCAGCAGCGATATTCTCCAAGGTGTCGATTTTAGATTTTGCGGCGTCTAGTTCATTGTTAAGATCCGTCATGGTGGCCTGGAGGGAGACTATTGTAGTCTTAGTAGACGACTCCAAGGCGGTGAACTTCTTTTGTATCTCATCTAGATCGCGGCTCAGCTGGGCAACTTGTGCGTCGCGGTCAGCTTCAAGAGCATCTCGAGAGTGCGTCATATCGGCCAAAGCATCCTCGGTATCAGCAAGCTGCTTTTCGAGGCCAGTGATCTGCTTGTTAAGAAGAGAGACCTCTTTCTCAGCATCTTTGCGACGGTTCGTCTCATCATCGAGAGCCTCATCATGCGCTTCATCGTGTTCCTTGATCTCGTCCTTGAGCGCAGCAATGGCCTGTTCCTTCTCAAGTTGATTCTGGAAGAGCTTGGCGCGAAGCTCGTTGGCTTGGATGCCGGCGTCATGGATCCGAGTGTTCAAATCGTCAATTTCGTCATTTCGCGCATCCAGTGTGGCCTCGGTAGTCTCTCTCTGCTTTCGCTCCGCCTCAAGGTTCTCGCGAAGGCTAGCTTCATCGGCACGGAGAGTTTTGAGGCTCTCATTCAGAAACTGAATCTCGTTGGTGAGCTGATGAACCGTTGCGGCTTGAGCGTCTCGGTCCGTCTCTGCGGTTTCGCGGTCTGCAGTCTCGTCCGTGAGACGCTGACGAAGGCGGGCTAGCTCGGTGTCGATGTTGGTGAACTCGCCCTCAAGGTTGCCTATACGACCCACGAGGTCGTCAATGTACTCGGCCTTCTGCTGTGCATCTCCTTCAGCAACCGCACGACCGTCCATTTCGGTCTCAAGCTGAGTCTTGAGAGTCTGGACGGTCCCGGAATGCTCCTGCTTCATTTTCGAGATTTGATTTGTATGCTCTGCCTCAAGACGTGTAACGGTATCAGTTAGCGTGTCAACATCGTTTCTGTAAGTATCTAGAGCTTGCTTAAGCCTATCTCGAGTTATCCCGTTGTCTTCAAGCTCATCTTCAAGGCCATGGATTTTTGCGTCATTATCCCGAATAGTCTGATCTTGAAGATCGAGTGTGTCGTTAGCTGCCGTCAGGCGCTCTCCCAGGTCAACGACTTCTCTCTGGAGCTTCTCGTTGGTTGCATTCAAATTCAACCGCTGCTGCTCCAACTCAGTATTCTTGTCCTCAGATTCAGCCAGTAGGGTGAGAATTCCATTGAGTTGGCTGCGCAAGATGGTCTCTTGTCGGTTGTGTTTTTCGGCAATAATAACCTTTTCCCTAATCTCGGACATTAGGCCGCGTAAGTGCTCGACCATCTTTCGCAGAAGCTGACCATTGGTAAGAGTAGTCGTGGTGCCCGGAAAGAGATCTTCGAGTTCCTCACGGGCATCATCAAGGACGTGACGAAGCTCTGTGATTATCTCGTCGCTTGAAGCTCCTGGAGCAACGATCTTCAAATTCTGGAGCTCAACCGTGAGCAACCGGAATGTATTCTGGGTCTCGGCAACTTGTTGGTTTAGGTGAGCAATTTCAAGTTCGAACCGCTTGACTGTCTGGTCAGAAACCCGATCTGGGATGGCGGTTGGGTCACTCTGGGACGCCTGAGCTAGGAAGTCATACTCCAGTCGTTGGGTGGAGACGGATTCCATGGTCATCTGGCTAGCACGGTTGGCATAGAAGCCGTTTGGATGTGGGTTAGCCTCCATTTGGTCTTGTGGGATATTCAAGTCGTCTGGGTCGACAAGGAGAAGGCTGTCTTCGTCATCATCGACAAAGGCACCGCCGTCAAGGTCCATGCCTTCACTAGCGTCTCGAGAGCTAACAGCATAGGCTGACGAGGTTTTGAGTTCCTCAATTTCCTTGCGAGCGTGCTCTAGCTCTTTCTCTAATGCTTGAGTCTGGTCCTCAGACAAATCGATATTACCCATCCGCCGCGCTTCGTCTTGAAATTCCAGCTCCCGGATGCGCTGTTCTCGCTCGCGGAGCTGGCGGCGCAGTTCTGCCGCCTCTTTTCGCAGCTTGACGTCGTCCTTCTTGTGTTCCTCGATTTCGTTGACCTCCTCGCTCAAATGACTCCGACGGAGACGACGCTGAGAAAAAAATTAGCTTGAATGACCTATCCCAAATCAACGATCGCGTAGTCGTACCTTTAAACGGCTATCCAAAACAGCTCGAAGAGGGGCAAACTGGACCTCATGATTGCCATTGGAGTCGTCCCGCTCCTCATCAACGCTAAGTTGTGCAGGCATGGACATCCGAACATGACGGGCTGCCTTCAAAGGACGGTCACGGGGAGCACCGAGCCGCTCCAGGTGTGGTGTGAGGCCGGGGAGGGGCTGGGTTGCTGGAGGCGGGGTTGACGCCGTGTTGTCATCGTCTCCAGTCGGACCGGAGACAAGGGGCTCGGAGAATCGACGGCGGGTGCGAGATTCGTGGTCGGGAGCGACGTTGATAGTATTGGAGGCTTGGGGCCTCGACACGGAATCTTCTAACTCACGAGCAAGTTGCTCATGATCATCTATCTGCACTCGCTTGAGACGTTTGACGTGCGTGTCGGGTGTCTCCGGCGTGGGGGAGACTGGACGCTTGGAGCCTTTGGAGAGGTCGACGGAGGGGGTCTGGCTCCGTCGTTGACGAGGCCTCCGGCGCTTTGGGGCGTCGCCAGGGCCTTCTGGGTGGTGCTCAGAAGCAAGCCGGGCCATGCCTAGATAAACAAACCAGGAGCCGTAGCCTTGAGTGCGGTTATGGGTGTAAGTACTGAAGAGCTGGCGCAAAATGTAGCAAGAAGAGGCAGTGGTGGAGTACTTAGGGACACGGGACGAAAACGAGGTGAAATTATAGGGCGTGTTGTGGGGTTTGACGGCGGCGGTGTGTGCGTGCTGAAATGGGGTGGTTGGGTGGTGAGAAGGTCTGTTTTATGCTACGTCAACGGGTGGAGCATGGCCAATCGACTGAGGCGTTCCGAAAAATATTGCCGGCCTGTCCCTGCCAGTGACGTCGACGCGTCGGGCATTCATAACGCGTTCTCCAGTCACAGCAGACAATTTATCTCACACAAAACATGGCGAATCTCGCACAGTAGTGTCTGTGATGGTAAATTCCCATCTTTCCGCTATTTGCAATGACATTGAACTTCTACGTCACTGGTGATTTCTTTTGACATGTGTCGCCGCTCGGACCGTTGCCAAGCCCGACGCAAATCAGGACATTCACAATTGCGGCACAACTCCACAACACATGACGGAAAAGGGGGGATACGACCTTTGGACTCACTTTCGAATAGGTCGGTTGCGAATTTCTTTGCCCTTCCTACCATTTTACTGCATTCGACCGCATTACGTGCCACTTCTCGACTACGAGAGCACAGTTTCTGAGCGAGCAAACAGACACTCACACCTATTTCCGCTTTTGAACTGAAGGGTCGAGATGCTGGATAGGAGAAGAGTGGAACAGTGGCTCTATTAACCAGCAATAAACAAAAACTCTATCCACTGAATCCAAACGCGCAATTCAAATCTCGTTAAAGTAGCCCCACGCATCATGCCGCATTTATTATACCAGCAGTATTCCCCTAAAACGAAAATCGTTCCTCTTCCCTTAACAAGCCCACTACTCTCTCTATCCTTCCCCTTTTAATCCACCACTTCTGATACTAACATCATCCCCACCGTTCTCCCTACTCGCCCGAAACCTGTCACATTCCCCACACAACTCACCAGCCAAGCAACCGACCACTCAAATCCAAATACGCTAATGACATAGAGGCGGTGCGTTAGAGTTTTGACAGGCTTCACAACAACTACAGTGGCTTTGGATGCAGCTTTTTCGCGGTTGGCGAACGCGGAAGACAGTGGATACATTACACTGGGTTAGTGGGTGGCAGCATCTCAGTGTGGAGAGTTGTGTAAGAGAGGGAAAAGGGTCGGGGCTTTGGGGAAGAATTATTCTCTAAGTCTCTCATTTCATTCCAGAAAGAGGCGGGCATACGCACATGCTTAGAATTTAAAACGCTTCTGTTCAAGGGCGCTAGAAACCTCCGCGACAGCACACGCTTCAGGGTAGATGTTATCTAATCTTTAGTTAGTCCTTGCCCCGCCCCGGAATTGATTCCTAGCAAATAGTTTAGAAGCAACACAGGTGCATTGATTAAATTCTGCTTCTGATCATTGACTCTCTGCTTGCTCATCCGATCCTCAATCGCACGCACTTTCTTAACGTCATAACCACAGCTCCAGAAGGTGTTTGTTGCGCCGTTAACATGTTTTGTGAATCTCGGCAGCTGTCCACATTCTTGGAAGCTTCGGCGCTGAGCTTTGCGTGGAGGAAGACTAAAGATTATAACATCAGCATTGCGTGGTTGAGTGAATGAGGGTTGGTCGATTGTTGTGTACCCCTAGCATTAGCGTAGATGGACAAATTGTAGGTAGTACTGTTATGGATAATCAACGCTCTGAATACTGCTTCTTGCAGACAGGGAAGGAGGTGCTGGGACGGGAAAGCTGTCAGGATACAATGCTAGCCGTGGAGGTAATGACCGGGGGAACAGAGTGAGAGCACGTCTGGTACTGGGCTACAAGGTTCGAGGAGGACGGAGATGGCACTCTTGATGAGTAGAGTGGAAGCAAGCGATGGGCTTTTGATAAGTACATGTATCAACAGGGATCAGAAGTACGGATAGAATCTCGATTTAGGAGTAGTCGCGGAAGTGTTGATTTGTCGTCAACCATACGGATGCCACGTTGACGGCATGTGCTGAAAGCGAACCATGGCTGCTGCATTGCTTGGGCTTGCGTACCTTAGATTAGCTGGATAGCGGTGTGGGTCGCCAAGAGAGGGAAGTTCTGTTCAAGGAGGGGTGTAATGAAAGACTACGCTTGATCACCCCCCTCACGTCAGTGCATCCCGCTTCTTCTCTGCAACCACGACCGCGACATCCGTAATGCACCCACCGTTAAACCCTCCCAAATCGTACGGACAGCTACTCACCGCACAAACCACATCCTGCAACGCCTCAAACTCGATATAATCCCCAGGCTTGCTACTTCCTAACCTCTTCAAGCTATAATTCGGTGTATTTTGAAAACAATTAAACGGTTCCGCGATCTCCAAGATATTCTGCATCGCCCAGCCACCCTCGTTCATTGCCTCGAAAATATTCTGCGCACATGACCGATGCCCCTTCAACCCTTTCTTGGTATATAAAGAGGGATAGCACGACATGAAGGTCATATCGTGGACTTTGACTGTGTCTGCAGTGACGCGCAGAATCGGGCGGTCGGCGTTGGTCCACAGACATTCTCCGATACTGGGCTGCACGCCCGAGAGATGGTAACGCGTGTATGCGGTACTCATTTTTTCGAGGAGGGTAAAGGGGCTAGAGTTCACCCAGGCCATGAAGTCGACGACTTGTTCACCATAGAGATCGATGATGCGGAAGCGAGACCCACGCTGGACGGAGAAGGCGTGGCCGTGGCCGGCAGGGACGATGTGTTTGGTCAGCGTTGTGTTGGTGCAGAATGTCGAAGGCGTTGAACTGGGCAAGGTGGGAAGGAGGGGTTCGGAGCGGGCCAAGGGTGAGAGTGGGGCACGCATGGTGAGATAGGGCGTTACGGTGGATTGTAGCTAGGAGAGGGTCAATTGGAGGGAAGTGATATGGCACTATGAGAAGGAGAGAAATTGTGCTCGAGAGGCTGCGGAGTGGTGTTGGCAGGCTATGTTGATAGCTGGGGACATGACCTGATGATGCTGGACAGCTTCGAGTTCGCTTAGAGTTGCAGTTTCCGACAACCTTTGAAGTGAATGGCAAGTAGTTTACATTACCCCTATGATATATTGCTCGATCTCCAACACCACACTCATCCATCTGATGCTGTTTACGCTTGCACTACTCAAATTTGCTTCACTATTTTAGTCTCCCGGCCTGGCTCCCGGCCTGGCTCCCGATCCACCGCCGTCCGCACCTACTCCTTCCCCTTTGAATCTACATCTACAGGGTGCAATCTATCAATTCCCCTCACAATACCATAACTGGCAGCGGCAGCTAACACACCAACAGCCAACGTCTGCACTGCACTCCACACGGCGCCTTTTCTCGTCGTGCCCGTAACAATAGCCTTTACAAAGCCAAAACTAAGTAGCATGACAACGGTAATGCCAATGGAAACAAACAGCGCCTTCGAAACGTCCTGGATGGCGAAGTAAGGAATCATAGGAATTAAGCCACCGAGAAAGTACGAGAGGCCCATGACGAGGGCGCTAATGTAGAGCCGGGAGATGGCTGGTGCAGTGAGGTTGAGTTCAAATTGCATCATAAACTGTATCCATTTGTTAACTATTGTTTCCTGGAAGGCATAGCTAGAGACAGGAATTACATCGCGCGAGCTGAAGCCCTTGTCGATGAAGAACTTAATCTCATCTTACGATGCAAGAAGCGAGAGAAAACAAGAACATACCCTAACCCAGCTCTCCTTATCGCCCTTAAGCTCCTCCAATAATGGTTTCACGCTGTCACGTTTGATCCCGTAAGGTTCGAAGATTTCGTAAATCTCCTCTTCCTCCGCTTCCGGCATTTCCTCGACTTCTTTACGCTCACGTGCTTCCTCGACTTCGTAGTGTTTTCTTTCTGTGAGAGCGGCGAGATAGGCACCAAGACCCATTGATATCGCGCCTGCGAAGAGCTCGGCCAGTCCGCCAATGATGACGAGACGGGAGGATCCGATGCTAGGGGAGGTCAGGAGGGATATTCATTTGGAGCAGCTTAGTGAAATGGCTCTGGATTTAGAAGAAGTTGAACTGGAATACCATCTAGGGGAGGCATTCGAAAGGGAAAGGGGTTCATATTCACGCACCTACTTAACCCAGCCGTGAGCGCAAATGGCACCGTCAAGCCATCCGCAAACCCAATAATGGCGTCCCGCACAACAGCCCCGTTCTCTGTGTGTCTCTCCGCATGGGGATAAGCCTCGAAGCTCATGCCTTGTCGTTCTGTAATGGCATGTGGGGCCACTGCAGTCGTTTCTGAACGATTGTCCGGGGTGTCGTGAGTGCCTTTGGGCTCGAGCTCCATTGCTGTTTCGGTGGTGGCCATTACATTGAGGAATAAAGGACAGAAAGGGAGTAGTTGGGTGCTTAGCTGGTGGTTGCAATGGGAAGGAAGAGGCTTGATATATAGCGGGAGGAGGGGCGTAGGAGGTAGAGAGAGGGATATGTGTTAAAAACGGGACAATCTTCTTCAATGTCCAGGTTCTTCCCGTTTGTAACAGTGAATAACACCAATATTGGATAGAGTAATGGAACGGCAACCAAGCAGTGACAGCCCACGTGGTCTAGTCCTGTCCTCGTAAGATTACAAGAACGACACCAGTAACGTTGCACTTTCAATAACCACAAGCAAAAGGATTAACAATTCTGGACACACCGCGCTGCTACAGCGCTCTCTATTTAAGAAAAATTCCTTCTTCCAATGTTGTGGTGTCGAGGATATCAGATGTACTCATCCTGTCATTATCAGATCGTACCCAGCCAATGAAAGCGCACTCATTTCAAAGCAACCTTGGCTGCTGCAAGACAAAACGTGAAAGGGCACAAAGAAGGAAGATGGTCTTACGCGATGAGGTGCACAAGGTTTGAAGTGTGGAGTTTGTGCTTTTCTTGGCTAGCTGAGGTAACGGTGACGTGAGGAACCTGAAGGAGCTACCTCAGCCAGCAAAGTTGAACATCCTCGAGGGTTGCATTGGACTTTCATTAATTTTGATTGCGGTAGGGAACTGTGCTTTAAATTGTTTGTCGGCATCAAGACGAGCTTCAGAGTGTACAAACGTACAACTGTTCAACTTCGCAAAGAGTGCTCCAAGCTCCACAGTATATAGCAAACAATAGTCTGCACAAATAGAACCACACGAGCATGTCGCACACGGCGTTTTGGGTATCAAGACCAGAGAATCGCGAATGAGCTTTAACTAAACCAGATCCCCAAAACTCGAACTACCGGAGAAGCGCCGACTAAGGTCTACGCTACATGGTACTGCATAGACAAGCAGGCTAACTATACACTCGAATTATATGTCATCCGTCCACGAAAGTACGTTTACCGGAGGTTTACGGGTCATTGAAGTCTACTTGCATTAGCTAACTTGATCACATGAGAGAATTTACGACCTAGCCATTGGTGGCTTACATTGTTTGAATTGCCACCGCGCAAAGACGCGAGACTCTGATGTGCTTTGACAAACTCACGAAACCGTTGTCCCGGCTCACCAATATCCGTCGTTTCGGTCAGATATACACGATCATGGCTGCTACTGATATTGGCTGTTGAAGCGCCATACGTGGAGTGACATGTGCTGGTGGCTTTCGCTACTCGCACGTCACTCTGATTAGAATGAGTGTAGGCTCGGGAGAAGGTGTCCATATCTTCAATGGGCTTTTTGGGGAGCGAATCCCGCGGACGGTCTCGCTCTTGGCGTGAAGCTGGAGAGCTAGTACTGTGATTTTGGCTGCCCGAAGTCCAGGGAAGAGACCGTCTGGTCGGCTTGCAGCCTTGGTCCAAAGTGGAGGGCGGATTCGGTGCTTGTGGTCGATCTTCATACTCTCCTATGGCCTGTAAAAGTGAATCGAGACCTTTAATAATGCCTTTCCTGTAGACTAAATTCTGGACGTGATCCTTGTAGAAGCGGTCATATGAGACCCACGTCTTCCCCGCACCCATACATTTCGCCACGTAATCTTTGAACTCTATGCGGTCCCGAATGATGTAGTCATCCCATTGGTGCCTTGGAACCACTGTACCCAGAGATGCGAGATTGAGTAATGTCTTGCATTGGTTGATAAAGTGATCCCAACTTCCAGTGTAGTCTGGGTAGGCGCTCCTGAACATTTCGAAAACTGTAGAAGATTCCGTGTCGGTTTCAATTTTGAGGGCTTGTAGCTTCAACGGCTCCATTCCGTGTGCTGCTATCGACTGGACCAGGGAACACTCCCGTCTTGCATCTGTAAATGTTCGTTGCGTCTTGGGAAACTGCTTTTCGGGGTTCTGCAAGTTCTCATCTTCTTTCGCAAAACTTTGGGAGGAATCAGAAGGAGGGGGGTGGGGACAAGGAATCCTACGCCTATGACCGCTAGTAGGATCAGTTCCGAGCTCTACTCGGATACGTTGTACCGCTTCCTTTTTCTGCCGTTGGAAAGATGCGATTGGATCTTGCGTCAGTGGCTCCGCCCCTCCAAAATCAACAATCTTGATCTCTCTTCTCTTTGTGCGAGGCAAAGTAGCCTTTGACGGGGAATCGTTTAACTTTCGCTTGCTGGGGATAGAATCCGAACCAAATACCTCCACCGCTTCCGGGTGTGGAGACGGAGCGGATGTGCCAGCCGTCCGTGGAAGATGGGATGCCATGTGCCCAGGTTGAGAAGATAGATCCAGCGGTGGCATCTGTGCTGATGCTGGGCTCGGTTCTTCTTGGGCAGTTTGCAAGTTTAAAGCTGTTTCAAGCCCTGGGGATACTTGCTGCTTCGTGTCCAGTTGCGAGGAGAGGGCGGAAGGCCGGATATGCTCTAGTTCCGGCGATGCATCTCTCATCAAAACGTCGCTGTCGTTAGTCGATTGGAAGTGAACATGTTTCATCCCATGTACCCAGGGTTCGGAAATAGAGGACGAAGGACGACGTGTATCTCCTGTATTAGCGAGACCGAGGCCAGTATTAGATGCTGAGGACCGAGGTTGTTCATAAGTGCTGTATACTATGGAAGTCGGTGTTGTTTCCTTGGATGTGCTACTCGATGTTTGATTTTCAGTTGAGACTAGGGGAGTAGATTGTCCGTTCTTGTCCTTCAAGCATGGAGTCTCATTAACATGTAATATAGGCCGCACAGGGGCACCCTCCGAACGCATTACAGGATCGTCAGCCGTCCGGATAACAGGCTCTCCCTTTGCCAAACCCTGGTCTTGGCCAAGCCCTTGTGGGACAGAAACTTCCATATCGTCATCCGAATCATGTGAAGCCATGGGAATGTCTTGCTCTTCAGCGACAGGTGGCGATGATGCCGGTTGTTCCATGTGCTCATCGTTCGATGAAAGTACGGATGTACTGTGCCGAGATGGATGGAGTATAGCGTCCCCATTCGTGTCATTTTGATCTAATGTCTTTTGAGGACTTCCGAAACTACTGTCTGAAGGGAGTCCATGATGTATCCGAGATCGGAGTTGGGGCGGCTCGGGACTTGAAGGCCATGATATCACGTCAGAGGATGGCTCCTGTTGGAAAGGGAATTCAGCGTCAAGGACTATTGAAGGCTTCTCAGCGTCTGAACCTGACTCTTCCTCCGTGTCCATCTCCGACTCGGAGGTCTCCACATCGACAGAGGTAGTAAGCTCCTCTTTCTGGATCTTGAGGTCCTGCCCAGCCCGTTCATCAAGCTCGATCAGAATCCCAATCGGAATGTTAGCGTCGGGGAACCGGTGTGGGGGTGCTGGCTTTTGCCACGCTCATCTTTGTCAGCCTCTAGAAGACATTTTTTGATGCGAGAAACCTACATTCTGGCTTGGACAACAGTTTTCGCTGGTCTTTGGCCACAATCACAGCATCATGAATAAATTCTAAATCCTGAAGGTGGTTAGTAGCCACATACTGATTCGGTTGCAAAGGGTGAATTACCCGCATCCAATCACATTCGGAATCGTATATGCCTTGCGGAGAGTCATGCTCAAAAGTCCATCCCTGCTACCGGTTAGCTCCCGAAAGATCACAACAAGATGTCACTCTCACCGCCATCCATACAGCCTCCGAGAGGCCAAGTTCGTGACCAACGTGCAAGTCATGCTTAATTGACGGATTACAAGGTGGGTCTGCTTGCTCTTCTTCGTCTCCATCATGGATGATCACGGTCTCTTCATTAAGGCGCACGACCTAAAACATTAGTATACGGGGTTGGATGCATTAGAGGGAATTACCGTGTCTATGCTACAACCGTCAGGGAGTTTGGAGTTGTGCTGAACTGTGGTAGCCTGGCTAAATATTTCCTTCAAATCAATGTCATCTCTAGGGATTTTATCTTTACTCTGCAGCGGCCGCTCCTCGAATACTCCATTTCGTGAAGGATCGACATCACTTGTTGCGCGGAAAGCAACTGGACGTCGATGGATGAGGTTGAGAAGATCCTGGTGGGTTGTAGCCGAGGTATGCTTGGCCGGTTGCGAGCCTTCCTTTCTAGTATTCGGCGGTGGTATAGGTGGGACCGCCTGCGTCCCGAACGGCAGCTGCGAATCCTGTGTAGCGTCACCCATATTGTCACCGACGCTAGCCAGTGGCAGTGGCCGATAGAGCACCGGCAGCTTCTCCTCCTTTTGTTTCATTCGAATATCTTGGATCTTCTCCATCCACTTCTTAGCGGATGGCGACGAATTTACAGGCACCGGGCGGCCTATAGACGGCACTTTTTGGCCGTCTCGCCAGTCAACGCCTTTGAGAAGTAGCGTGAGTTTGCGACTGGGAGGTCCGAATGTGGCAATCCTGAGCGCAAAATCGTGAATCGATATTATAGCCGTAAGATGGTTTTCGACACATCTTTTGCCGCCGTACCGCGTGCGGAGAGTCTGCTTGCACTCAGGAGAGACTCGAGCTTCGACTGAAGAGATGCCGTCTGAGATGATCAATGGAGCGGTCTATGCTTGTGATGGTCAGTGTCAAAGTCACGATAGATAGGACGGCAAGGACGGCTCGTTCACCTGGAGGACCTGCACGTTGCGAGCGTCGGCTGTTTCCTCCTGAAAGATTATGTCGAAGTTACTTTCGTCCTCGTGACACACGCCTGCCCAGCCAGCTACTTGTCCGCGGCGATTATCGTATTTATGTTCTAGCCAAATAGCACTCTGCGCAAGTCCTCTTTCAATTGTCTGCCCGAGCCAGGGCACGAGAGAGTCCATAATGCTGCGCAACAGCCGTGGTGGAGCTGTGCAGTGCTGATTTGGTAGTCTCGGTCTCGGTCTCGGTCTGCGGGGTGCGCATTGGTGACGCGACGGGCCGGCTTGGCAGTTCCGCGTCCACGTGATGCGTTCCGGGCTGCGTCATCACATCCCGAGGACTAAGTTACATTCACCGACGCTTAAGCTCCGCCAGCTCGACCGCATGCATCCATGGATCGCCATCCTCGTCCACATCACCCACCTCACTCACCAGCACCACCAACATCACACCGCCCGTTCACGTGCCCGTACTCTCCATAAAAGGCTTGGGGCAATATTTCCACTATTGCTGCTGCCTCTGATGCTGAACTGCGAACCCCCCACACCTGATGCTGCTCCTCGACGAGTGCTGGCACCTCCCGCCTCCATCCTTCCAGTGCCTCGCCGCCTGCGCCGCTTCCCGTAGAGATCCCCGGCGTCCACGCTGCCGATATCATCATGGCTAAAGACTCCCGCGGCTCTCTCCAGCACACGCTGGACCACATACACACGTCTGCCTCGCGCTCAGAGGTCCTGACAACCTTTGACGACCTAGCAGCCCCTGCAGTGTCGTCCTCTGTGACCGAAGTCAAAGCTATTGAGCTGGTGCAGGGGGGTTTTAGTGGCCTTTACAGCCGCATCAAGGCCTCCGTGGGAGGTGTGAAGGAGAACGGTGTTGACACTGCAGACGATGCAGTTGTTGGAGGCAGTAAGAATAAGGCCGCGACAAAAGCGGGGCAGACTCCGAAAAGCCCCACTAATACGGCTGTGTCGTCCCCCGTTGTAGTCTCGGTGCCCTCCTCGAGGCTGCAATCGCCCCTCGTAGCAATCTTCCCCGACAATCCGCTGCCACCCTCACGGGACTCGAACGTGTCCAGCTCCGCTGTGTCGACGAGGCCGTCGAATGGTTCTAAATCTTCGCTTGCCACGACCAGGTCGAGGCCGTCAATAACCTCGAGCGCTGACCCTGCTAAAGCATCTAGGGACGACGATCCCTATACCCAGAGCCCCGTCAGCTCCCACTCCAAAGCACCGAGCGCATCCGCCCTTGATCCGCCTGCAAAGGCTGTCTCGTCAATCATGACGCCCTCCCTATCTCAAACCAAAGAATCGCCCCGGCACGCACCCGTCCAAGACGAGCCTTTTCGACCCCAAAAAGGCGACATGGATCTTAGGGATGAAGAAAGCGATACGACCGAAGACGATCTCGTCATGGTGGATGGTGGAGGCTTTGCCAATGACAACGCCAGATTTGCCTTCTCCCCGGAAGGTCCGAACGATGGATTAGCAAGTATCAATTCTCGCGCAGAGCACCAGTACAGGTCTTCTTCGTCCGCCACCAAAGGGGACACTTCCGATACTGTATCTGAAATTACTGGGATTCCCCGTTATACGACAAATGCTCAGACGCCAATGCTCGCTCCAGCACCGCAACGTCCCCAATTGGTCCAGGTTGGCCCCTCACACTTACCAGGATATCGGCCTTCAAGAGCATCCTCGTCCGATGGCTTAAGCTCCATCATAACGTCAACGACGGTCCGGAGTCCGGGAATCCCACCGATTGAGGAAGCGAAGCAGCTACCCAAACCATCGTCTAATAACCTCCCTAACAATGCCTTCTCGCAGATGCGGAGGAAGATCCTGGACCGAGAATTCTGGATGAGAGACGAGAATGCGAAGGACTGCTTCAACTGTGGAGATGCCTTTTCCACTTTTCGACGGAAACATCATTGCCGTACTTGTGGACAGATTTTTGATGCCAAGTGCACGTCTCTGGTGTCTGGTAAAATGTTTGGACAATCCGGAAACCTTCGCGTTTGTAAACCGTGCGAAGCCATCATTTACGGCAATGAGGACGACTCTTCCGATTATACAGATGACGGAGACCAGGGCTCTCTCTATGAGCAAGATGAACCACTGGAGCTCGGACAGGGCCAGTTCGACCCTTCAGAGAGTGACCATACGAAGATTGGCACACCAACAATTAGCATTCCCATGTCACGAAAAGCAGGTAGCGAGAAGAAACGTCGATCTGCTGTGATTGAAGTCGCCCCTCCCACCCTTGCACGCCCTAGCTCCTCGAGATCGCTCCGCTCCCTGAGTGGTAGACCGCGATCTTCAAGCCATAAACGTCACCACTCTCGTCACCAACACATGCGCAACGTTAGATATGATGATCGGGCGCCATTTCACCAGCACGGCTTTGAGATTGGCCGCAACCGGTCGAATCTACCCGCATTCCATCATGACAACATTATTGACCCAGACCTCGCACCTTTCATGTCGGATGAAGACTCTAGCGAAGAAGAGCAGGCAAGCATTTTTGCAGCCCTGAGAGGAGACTCGCCTTCACATGCTAGCCTGGATAGTGAAAGGAGCGGTCTTGGCGGGCTTTTCGCGGCCATGAGGAAGGGAAAGTCTAGAACTGGTGACCGAAGCGTAGTCAGCGGAGGTCATGCGCGGGATACCGACAATGCTAGCGTCACAAGTCGTCACGTCAACCGTAATTCACGGAGACGAAACCTTAGCGTTAGCAGTGTTGCTCACCCAAGGCCTTCACCTAAACGTTCCAAAAGTAATAGCCTACTTAGGTCATTCGGCCCTAGCCTTGGAGGTACGGGTTCAATAGTGCAGTCACCTACCCCGCTACCCCAACCTCAACCAATGCTTCCTTCAGGGTCGAAGATTACACGTAGTGCCTCGATGCGTGGTGGAAATGCCCCTGCCATTGAATTGAATCAAGCGAGTCTGGAGCATGTACGGAAGCTGTTGAAGCAGTTGCTCCAGGATGCTGCTATACCGTCTGTTTCGAGCTGGGAGAAGGCACTCATGCCAATCTTGTTGCAGTGTACAGACGATGTCAATCCCGACGTTCAACGGCACGACGATATTGATATTCGGCACTATATTAAGCTCAAGAAAATTCCTGGAGGCAAGCCTAGCGATACATCTTACGTTTCTGGTGTTGTATTCACCAAGAACATCGCTCTGAAAAGTATGCCGCGCAGCATACCGAACCCGAGGATCATTTGTGTCACCTTTGCAATCGAATACGCTCGTCACCAGGCGCACTTCCTGAGCCTAGAGCCGGTCATTGCTCAGGAACGAGAGTATCTTCGTAACCTTGTGAGTCGGATCGCCGCCTTGCAACCTCATGTCTTGCTCGTGGAACGCAATGTGTCTGGTCTTGCGCTTGAGTTCCTGGAGCAGGCGGGCATTGCGGTCGCCTACAACGTTAAATTCAGCGTGTTGAATGCCGTGGCAAGGTGTACAAATACCCGGATGATTTCTTCAGTGGACAAGCTAGCCATTGACCCATCTCAACTTGGACGCTGCGAGAGTTTCGATGTCAAAACATATGTGCACAAGAATAGTAGAAAGACTTACATATACCTCTCTGGGTGTCAGCGAGAGTTGGGCTGTACAATCGTTCTCCGAGGCGCCGATATGGAGAACCTGATGAAGCTGAAGCGAATCACAGAGTTTCTGTGTTACGTGGTCTATAACTTGAAGCTAGAGACCTGCCTCATGCGCGACGAATTCGTCCTAATCCCTTCGACTTCCAGTGGTGGAAGCTTGACATCGAAGAAGCAAAGGGACGAGTGCGCGCAGTGTGCGCCGGCCGAAATTTCTCAAGCCTTGATCGATACTGGATCTACCACTGGCGCTTCAAGTAAATTGCCATCAGATGCTGTTGCTGCAAACACCACCGACGGAGCACAACTCACCACAGGGGAGCTCCATGTACCACATGATGAGCCTGCGCCATCGTATTACAGCGAAATGGTGGAGAAGCACAACACGAAAATCCTCTCTGCCTCTCCCTTTGTCAAATTCATGCAGCCTTATCTACTCATGCAAGCCCGTGAGCAAGAGAGGAAGCTGAGATATCTCAAGAAGCTGCGGGATCAATACTCCCCGGTCGACGATGAGAAGGTCTCTGAAGAAGCAAGCCAAAAATTCGAATTGGTACAGCCAGAAATGGTACATACGATGGTCGAACAGGCTTCGAAGCAAGTCCGTGATTTCCTCCATGCGGTTCATGCAGCTGAATACGACAAAGCCCTGCACAACTACCAAACGCAGAAGCGCCAGTGGGAAACATACCTATCTGGAAACATGAACTTGTTCGATCCTTTCAACCACCAGAAGATTGCAGTCCTCTACAGCGTCGTCAATTCCATCACGTCAACGCCTTGTATTGGGCCTGAAATCATCGCTTTAGGCTTCTATCGCGAACATGACTATACCGATGGCTTTACCCCTGATTGCACACTTGGGCAATATGTCGAAGATTTGTGCACTGGCGCTGGGACCCTCTGCGAAGTTGATGGGTGCAATCGGAGGCTGTTTGATCACCACCGACAATACGTCCACGGTGAAGGACAAATGAGCATAATTGCTCAGAAGTATCCATCCAAGATCCGCGGTTTGCAGAACACTATTCTCATGTGGAGTTGCTGCAGAATTTGTGGCCAAGAAACTCAAGTAATTCCCATGTCCGAGAATACTTGGAAATACTCATTCGCGAAATATCTTGAGTTGACCTTTTGGAGCAGCGAGCTGCACCCTCGAGCTGATGTTTGCCCTCATGACATACACAAAAACCATGTTAGGTACTTTGGGTTCAACAACGTGGCGCTTCGAATCCAGTACGACCAGGTTCAACTCTATGAGGTCATTGTGCCGAGGCAAACGGTCACATGGAAAGTCGATAGTGACCTAAGGTTGAAAAATGAGTCGTTTTTGAAGATTGAGGAGAAGCTGGACCGGTTCATGACCTCCGTCCGCGCCCGGCTTAGGAGCATTCACGTCGAGAGCGTAATTCCCGAGAAAGTCGAGATTTGCAGAGCAGAGGTGGAGAAGTTGATGAAGCGCGCGAATGAAGAAAACGAGTGGTTGAGGCGCAAGCTCCAGCAAAAATATATGGGCTCAAGATACTACGAAATCATCCCACTCAACCGAGCAATTCGGGCGATACAAGAAAAAGCGATCGCCTGGGACGACACGTTCAACGACTTTGAGCAACAATTTTTCCCGTCCGAGAAGGATATCAGGCGACTAGCGGCGCTCCAACTAAAGAGACTCTTCTTAGAGCGAGACGAATCTACTAGCTCCCTTACATCGGTCGAAGAAGGTGCTGAGCCTGGTAACGAAGACTCTGAAACAAACGAGAAAGGGGAACCCCTTGCTTTAACGCCCATGCCCTCAACAATGTCTCCGGAGCGCGCGCGAGATATGTTGACTTCGGTTGTCGAAGAAGATCAGTCCCATGGTGGGAAACAATCCCATCTCGAAGAGAATGCCCCAGCGGAGCCAATTCCTACCACTAATTCTCCACCTGCTCACCCAGAATTGCCGATTCATATGTCCATTGAAGCGTTAGAAAGGGAGGATGTCCGTCATCTTGACCTCGCAGTGTCTTCAAATTTCCCAGAGCATGCCGTATCGAAGGAAGAGCATATTCTGAAGACACCAACCCTTTCTCCAGAATCACTAGTTCCCCCCGAACCAGGATCACCGACCCCTATCGTCCTCCCTAAAGTTAATCCTATCGACAAGAGTGCAGCAGTTGCCGTCGAGAACATGCAAACATCCCCGCCCTCAACGCAGGCGTCAACTAGCACACTCGAGTCCAAGATTCCGAGATTGGTGGATACTATTCGGCGTGAAAATGCGGCTCGGCCTGTTGCAATGACCCGAGCACAGTCTCAGCCCGGTAGTATCCCAAAGCGGGATTCAGCGTCAAGCACTTCATCAAGCACCACGGCTGGATCAAGTACTGGAAGCAAAGTGGACGCGCTCAGTATCACTTTGAGCGAATCTGCAAAGGCACTCGAGAGACGAATGGCTGAACGCCTCGGGTATCCTTTCAGACAAAAATCGTCAATGATCCCTCGATCCGTGCCGGCCAATAAACAAAAAGTGCCAACAAAGGTATCCACCCTAGCCAAACATTTCGAGCAGCTTTCCCGCGAATTTGAGAAAGAGCGCCAGCGTGAGCGACGTCAGCGTCAAGAGCGAAGTCGACAAGCCCGTGCGTATCCTCTTGCATCATCAAAACCCATCGTCGAGGTGTACAAAGATGTCCACGAAGCTGTTCATGGTCATAGCCCATCGGATGAAGACCTCCAACCTTTGTCGCCAACGCGTATCAGCACGGACAACAGCACACTCGGGGATAGTTCTCTGACAGAAACCACTGGTCCGACTACTGCCTCTCAGTCTCCAGTAGAAGAACGCCACACTAGAGACTCCGCCGCAAAAGCTGGAGAAGGCGAAGAAGACCGACCTGACACTGGCAACACAAGCCATCCTCCTTCTGACGTCGAGAACGAAGCCAGTGACATCGAGAACATACTCGAAGAGGTTGGAATTCCGGAGAGCATTGCGAGCTCACAGCTTCTGTCTTCTACCGAATCGCAATTAGAAAGTTCGCTAGAGTTGCCCAAGCATGAGAAGACCACTCTCATGAAAATGCTAACCAGTTTTTGGTCCGAACGTTCCGCGAGCGGTTGGGCGCCTCTTGATTATCCTTTCCCAAACATCGACCATGTATGGGAGGATTCGGACATTATTATTCGAGAGGATGAGCCAAGCTCCATCATTGCCCTTGCCCTCTCGAGCAAAGACTATTTAGACAAACTGGACGCTTTCCGTGCAGACAAAACGGTAGCTGAGAAAGGCGTCGGAGGTCTCAACGAAACCGAAGCATCCATCGAGCGCAATCTCCTCAACGAATCCAACGAAAACATTCGCTATAGCTTCATGAACCGCGGCGTAAAAGCCCAATGCAAGATCTTCTATTCCCAATCTTTTGACGCACTTCGTCGCAAATGCGGTGTCGCCGACCGGTTTGTAGAATCTATGTCACGATGCTCAAAATGGGATTCGAAGGGCGGTAAGAGCAAAAGCATTTTCCTAAAGACGCTGGATGATCGCTTTGTCCTCAAATCTTTATCACCGATCGAGGTCAATGCTTTCTTCCGCTTCGCGCCCAATTACTTTGCCTTTACGCACCAGAACCTTTTCAAGAGCTTGCCGTCGGTCATTGCGAAGATGTTCGGCCTCTTCCAGGTCCAGATCAAGACGCCCACAGGCAGGGATTTCGACTGCTTTATGCTAGTCATGGAGAATCTGTTTTATGACCGCGAACCTAATCGGAGGTACGATCTTAAGGGCTCGATGCGCAATAGGAAGATCCAGGTCACGGGGGAGAGGGACGAGGTCCTTCTGGACGAGAATCTGGTGGATATTATTTACAGCGAAACGCCGATTTTTGTACGCGAGCATACTAAGAAGTTGCTGAAGGCGAGTGTGTGGAATGATACGCTATTTTTGAGTCAGCAAAACGTTATGGATTATAGTCTTATGGCAGGGTTTGATGATACAAGGAGGGAGATTATTGTGGGGATTATTGGTAAGTCTTACTGGCAGTTTGTCCTCCCTCGATATCATATCCCCCTAATTTCCATATCCATCTTCGGCTCTATTTCTATTTCCCCTAGCTCCCTAGTGTAGCACTCTACTAACATCCCCCTCCTAACCCAACAGACTGCATCCGAACCTACACATGGGACAAAAAACTAGAATCCTGGATCAAAGACCGCGGCAAGAACAAGCCCACAATCACTTCCCCCAAAGACTATCGCTCGCGCTTCAGGATCGCGATGGAGAAATATATTCTCCAGGCTCCCAACTGCTGGCACCAGTTCTCAGGGAGAGTGGGTGGTGCCGCTGCCGCTGGGCAATCGACTAGGATGATGAGGTTGGATAATAGAGAGGCGCAGGGATTGGAGGCGGATGGGGACGAGGTAGCTAGGGTGGCTGGGGGGAGGATTTGAAGGAGGGAAGAGTGGTTGAAATGGGAGTGTTAGCGAACAATTTGTGTGATGTTTGATGTTCGGTGAGAGCCGTGACATGATTGATTGAGTGAATGAATTCTCAGAGCATAGCGCGGGCGTTTAGTTGGGTTGAGTTCGTCAAGACAAATTATCGCATCCCTTCACGAGCACCATTTACCCTAGAGCTTAGATATCCCATGGCTTACATGTAGCCAGCCGACTTCACTGACTTGGCTTTCTTTGCAAATACACATGATATTACATTTAAAGACTGACAATAAACATCGTCTCACCCCACCACATGTCTTAGTGCTGCATAGCAAAAGATAAATGGTTCTGTCCCAATACTTCATCGCCTTTAGATTAGGACGGGGCAGAAGGGCTTAGTATATACACCTCGCTTCCTCGTTGTCACAGCAAGGATTGTGGATGGAAGAAAAGTTGCGACGAAGGAAGAGAGGTGAGTATATTGATCAGAACCAGACAGACGCAGTCTACGCACCCCACTCCACTCTATATCGTAAGCAAGAACAGAAAACCCGACTAGTGGCGCTCGGCTCGATCGCTCAATGACATGACTGACTGACACGCTATGTAAGTGTGACTGAATGAAAAACCGGGGGAGCCTATTCCCCCCCACCCCATCCTATTTCATGCCAGCTTATATCATTGATTCGGATCATTCATGCCAAACCCCAACCCGACCCAATCATCAATTAATCACCCAACAGGGGTCTCATCCGTTGCAAGCAGATCCTATTCACACTCAGATCAGAACTAACTCTCCTTCCCACCAGGCCCGCCGATTGCCTATGACAGTTCTACCATGTTATTCTAGGATAGGGGAGGTAGAGAACCGTTGGATAGGGTACGCGGACGGGGATTAGGGTTAGCTCATGCCTTCCCCTTTGCCGCCGACGACGAAGCCTTTTCCTTCTTCTTTTCTTTCTTGTGGTCATTTTTATGTTCTTTCTTGGCTGCGGCTTCGGCCATGAGTTGCTCAAAAGCCATGAAGTCGCCTTCTTCGTCGGGGTCGCGCTCAGCCTAAAGGCATTCCACGTTAGCATGGGTGGGTGCGATTGACAAATCAGGGGCGAGGGGGTGATACCTTCTGGCACATTTCGCCAATAATAACAAGTGCCTGGGCGCGTTCTACCCTCTTCTCCAGCTTGACTTTCTTATCATTAAGCGCATTATCGCAGACGTCACGCAACACGCTCTGAATCTCGAACTTGCTGCCTCTCCAGGCGGCCGCTAGGATCTTGCCCGTGACTTTCTTCTCGTATTCAGCCTTCTTCTCATCCGTCCAGTCCTCGCCGCCCTTTTCTTCGAGCTTGGCCATTTCCTCCATCGTCAGCTGCGCGTCGATGGCGGCCGACATGGTATTCCATGTCTCTTTGACCAACGTACCCTTATCCTTGACCCTAGAAAAGAAGCCTGAGATGCCGAGGAATTTCTGGGATTTGATAAACGACGTTGCTTTCATGAGGTACGTGGCTCCAATTGCGTGCAAGATCTCCAAGCCAAAGCTCTCCATCTTCAGGTTCTCGATCTCGAGATGTATTTTCTCCTTGAAAGCCGATGTGACATCTTGACCCTTGTCCGTCTCGGTCCAGATGGAAATGCGCTCGACCAGTTTCGTGGTGAGGGCAGCGACGCGCTCGTCTCGGATCCGTTTGCGTTCGAGCTCAAAGGCGGCAAGTTCTTCGCGCTGTTCTTTAGTAAGGCCTGCCTTCTTTTTCTGCTTCTCACGTAGCTCTTTCTCCTTGTCTGTCATGCCTGCAGCTTCCATTTGAGCCTCTTCGTCTGACTTGTCCATGATGGCTGGTCGAATGGGTATCGCCATGCCGGATCGGGGGGTACTAGTCCCGGAAATGGGCGGGGTTGACTGAGAGGGAGTTGGGGCGGCGCTGGCGGCGGGGGTCTCGATGTAGGGCGGAGGCGGCGAGTGCGAGGCAGCATGTGCCCTTTCTTTTGCTTCTGCTTCCACCGCAGCTTTGGCTTCTGCTGCAGCTTCAGCTTCCTTGGCATTGGCGGGGGTAGATGCTTCTGCTGGTGTCGTACCGGTCTCTTGTCCGGCAGCACTCGATGCCTCGGGCTTTGCGGGATCGGATGCGGACGCGGCGGCGGCAGCGGCTTCCTCCTCTTCCATTTCGCGCATGGAAATCTCCATTGTCTTGGTGAGGTCCTTCATGAGCGAAATTTCGCCGATCCTGATCAATCATTCTTCTGTTAGCAGGAATTTCTTGGCCACAGAGGGCGCATGCGAGGCTAGACATGGCATACCAATCAGTGAAAGCGTCTCCGCCGAAGATCATGGTGAAGAACTCGGCGGGGTCCTCTGTCGAACAGTCAGCGCTTGAACCTCCTGGGCACCTCACCTCTCAGCCTAGGACGGGAGGCACTCACCGAACCCGCTGCTCGGCACAGCGCTCTCCTTGCCAAACTTGTCATATTGCTTCCGCAGCTGCTCGTCACTGAGCACCTGGTACGCCTCGCCTATCTATCAAGGTGTGAGCCCCACCTTCACCTGCGAACTGTGTGTACGAAACCCGCGAGGGCGAGGGCGGGAGGCGGCCGACATACTGCTTGGAACTTCTCGTGTGCTGTCTCGTCACCGGGGTTCTTGTCTAGCACCTCGTCAGCCTCAGCAACACTCAACGCAAATGCTTGCGAGCTTTACCTGGGTGCAGCTTGATAGCGAGTTTGCGGTAGGCCTTCTTAATTTCCAGCTCCGTGGCTGTGGGCTGGACCTGCAAGGCATCGTAGTAGGTGGTATCTACAACCATGGCCGCAGGTTGTTGGGGGGAGGGGAGGGGGGTAGCGGGTAGGAGGAAAGAAAGGGTGGGTTTGTTGTAAGCTTTTCGGTCGCGAGGCAGCAGACAGAGGGACGACAAGTCGTACTTTCTTTTCGCACGGCCGTCGTTGCCGCGCCTCACCAAGCCACACCAGCGACGTCACAACCTAGGCCTTGGCATTGCCTATAATCATGGCCATGTATACTTAGGTACTCGTTTGCTTAAGTCTGTCAAGTGAGAGAGGCCTTCTATCGAAACCAGAGTAACCGCCACTCATATCGGCCAGTGACTGCCCGTCGTCATGGCCATCATGTAAACCCATCGAGAAAAAAAAAAAAAAAGACCAGAAGACGCATCCGTCGCCGACCCATGCATACGCCATGCTTGAAACCCAACCCTTGTCATGTGAGCCCATTATGAAATTTTGTTTTCTCCCCCTAAAGCAGTGCAGACGGACGTTGAGAAGAGGTATGCAAACTGAAGAAAATGTGCGGTTAAAGTACATCCAGACCTCTTCCCAAGAGCCGTCATAGCATGTCCACAGACTGCCGTGGTCATCGATTAGAACTCGTCAGGCAAAGGCAGTCGTGCCAGCCCAGCCAGTCATCAGTCTTGCTGGTGGTCCGTCCGTTTGTTTCCCTCGCCACGCTTCTCTATGCGACAAACTTGGCCTTGGCGCGCGTACTGCCGGCGTGCGCAGAGTCCGTGTGTCCAGAGAATTCCACATTCTCATTCTCCTTCAATTGCAGTGCGGCCTTGAAGCGACGGCCGATCTTCAACAGGACTTCCTTCCCCTGCTCAAAAGTCCTGCCTTTGCCCGCTTCGCCGGGGAGCGCCTTGCCCACTGTTCGGGTCCAAAGACCGATGCGATAGAACCCGCGCCGAACGTTGACGACAACACCCATAACTTCGTTGTCCTCTTCGTCCTCGAGGTTCTCTCCGATCGCCGCGAGCATGACGTGCAGCCAAAGTGCGTCGATGTTGATCGCTTTCTTATCCTTGAACTGAAAGGCCCACTTGCCCCCATGTTTGTTCTGCGAGTCTTCCCACTCTGGGCGTACGCCCTTCTTGAATAGATGGTAGTCTGACTTGAGCGCGAGATCCGAGGTAGGTGTGATGTTGTTCTGCATTGCGGTTAGCAGGAACTGGCCACACTGTGCGGCGGGGAGGTGCTCACATAGATGCCCCAGAACTCTTCGACCGAGTCGAACGAGATGACTTCCTTGAGAAGCTCGTTCCAATTATCGCCCTGTCCCCGTTAGCGATGCACAGAATAGTGCCGGTCCAGAATGGCACTTACCTTGCCACTCGGGGGCTTCGTGAACCACAAGGTCCAAGTGTGCATCAGAGGATGCTTCACATTGAAGTTGTCTGGGTCATCAAAGACAGTCTTAATTTCACTATCGTTGGTAGTAGCTGTGGTTGCCGTTGACTCCTCGGCTGAGCCATTGGTGTTCTCTGACGGAGAAATTGGGATCGTGTCCAGAGGCACCGGTTGCTGCGGATTCGGCGCAGTTGCGACGTCAGCCATGTTGAAGATTCAAGCAATGAGGCTGGTCGGGAGTAGAGGGGATATTGACGACGAGCGCGGCTGTGGGGGTGATGGCGGCAGGTGAGGTAAAGAGAGGCACGACAGTTGATGATCTTGGGCTCGCACCAGGCGGAGAGTCAAGAAAGAAGATCGCGGGCGGAGGCAGATGAGTTGGTGAGTCGATGGGACGAGGCGCGAGGAGGCAGTTTGCGTGTGTTTTGCAGTTTGGGTGTTCCTGCTCGTTGGTGAGCGGAAGAAAATGCAGGCGCTTTGGAGACGCAGCGGGCCGAAACGCACTAGGCCCGATTCAGAACATTCAGTTTCACTGTCTTCTGCCTCATCAATAATCAAACATCATCGATCACGGCCAGAACCGAGGAGTGAAGGAGAAGTTGGTTTCAAAGTCTTGTATTCAATCTATGAATACAGGTGGGATCATGTCCACGCCGCCACCTCCAGGCCTAGCCCACTGGTCAGGACAATCCCAAAGGCAACCTCGTCGCCGAGCAAGGCGTGTCTTAATATAAGCACATCTTCGGCACAACTACAGCCATTGAGTGACCGAATTGCAATTTGACATCCGTGCTATTTACATCACGTACCAACGCTGTACTTGCCACAATGCATCAGATATTAGTAGTATTCACTGGTTGCAACCCTACCCAAGGGAAGCAACGCCAGACATTATGATTACATATAAACATAGATATACGTACCCGCTCCAGGATTAGAGTTCCCCATGACCCGAAGTATCTCCAACGACTTTTGTAGAGCCGGTCAGAGCCCCGAACTGTTCTCGGAGCTGACCAAACGCAATGTCGAATCGGGCGCCTGCCATCCACGCGACAAAGAGCTGCACAAACGTCAGTGATGGCTGCTAGCCATTCGTTTACCAAAACTCACCATAGATCCAGAAATGAGAAACAAGGTAAGGAAAACCGCCATCCCCATATATATCATGTCCCACTTGGCCTCCTCTGCTTCTGCCTTGGTCTTCGCCTCCTGCTCGGCGCTGATGGGAGACGCCTTGTCTACGGGCTTCTTCTGCGATGGGAAGATTGATTCGATGAATTGTTCCGTCTGCGAATTATGTTAACATAACGAGTAGCATATCATTCTTTGGTGCTTTACCTTTCCACATGCCATGCTGATGCGGAGGAAGTTGGGGTCATGCGGATTGTTCTTCTGGTGGATCTTGCGGAGATACTTCTTGAACACATCGCATACCAGCTGGAGGTTTTGTGTCGACTCGATCATCAACTGGCATGCCTCTCCCTTCGTAATTTTAACATTCTTCTTAAAGATGTCGTGATTCTGGAAGCATATTTCAAGGGTAGCGATGGCCATGGATTGCGGTATCGCGCAGAAGTTGAACACACTCTGCTCCTTGATACCAGCAAGATAGTATAAGCAGTCGTCGGCACGAGATAAGGCAGTCAGGATCATCTCCGAGCTTGCACTCAGAGCGAGCTGCTTGTTTTCCGGCTTGAAGAGGTCTTCGAAGTTGTTGACATACTTAGACCAGATCTGCTTTGGCCAGAACCGCCGCTTGTCGTCTAGATCTTCCTTGATGTCTCGAATAATGTTGACCTGCTGGAGGAACTGGCCCATGGACTCCATGAGCTCAGGTCGTTTCAGCAGGGCCGCATTTGCGAGGCCGCCTTCAACAAACAGACGGGTAAGACCCTCGCCAACAAGCCCAGCTACATAATGGCAGTAGAGTTCGTAATCGGCGATGGTGTTGACACCGTTCGTGTTGTGCTCCGCATTGTTAGCATAATCTGCCATGCCGTTGCCCATCCTCTTGGTGATATCCTTGATGATTGTACGGTATGCAGGCTTGATCTTCTTGAATTCTTCCACAACAACATTGAACTCGACAAGCAGTTGCCTATCCTTCTCGTTCGGGCCATTCTCGTTGCACGTCCATCCATCCTGCTCCAGGATGTCCTGAAAGTTCCGCAAAATTGGCTCCTTCTTCTCCAGCGGCAGTGTCATGTCATCTTCTATTGTATCCAGGCCACGCAGAACGAGATAGAACAGACAGACTGGGACGAGGAGTTCGGGGTGCAGCTCCTTAATGACCGCGGAAAAGCTCCGACTCGTCTTGTCAAGGAAGAAGAAGCATCTCTTGAGCGATGCCGGCTCTTTGGACTCATCGCGCTCGTGGACGGGGTTGTGCCATACTTTCCTGTGCGCCGTTTTAGTAATGCGCACAAAGCAAATGCACGACGAGGGTGTGGTATTGGGGAGTGAAGAATTGACGTGAAAATAACGCAGCGCCGACTGCACTCCGGCAGCCGAAAGTACTAGTGCGAGGAACATACCATTGTATGATCGATCTGAGCTCTTGAGGGTGGAAAGTGTAGTATATCAAGCTCAATGGGCTCACCATGGTTGCGAAAATTTAAGGAGACGGTAACGAGGAGTGTTCCACGCGATATAGGTGCGGGAACTAGAGGCTGCTTCAATTGGACGGCACGTGAGGAAGTGAGGAAAGAGGGGATGATGAAGTCACGTAGTCTACTGGGCGTGCATCGGTAAAGGAAGGGCGAAGACCTTTGATGGATGGGGTCGGGTGTGTGCTCCTCACCGATTGCTCACCATCACTTTTCTTCTCCACAGAGGCCACCTGCATCTGCAAGGTTGGTCATATATGGTCCGTGCGCCCAACCGGAATCCCGGTATTTTTCCGTCCATTCATCCTCATCCTCAAGACCCCCCCAAAAAACAATAATATGTGCTTCACCTCTTCGACCTGTTGCTAGCTTTGGGGACGTAGTCTCTGAGATGCGAATTTCTGCCTCTCCACTAATCTCTCCTTAAACCCGCCTGTATATCATGGCTTCCACTACTTTTACTCCACATTCCCCGCCTAAATCACCATCCCTCAACGCCTCGAATAGCAAGAATACATAAAACTCGCCCCAGACGACACTACCTCCCCCTTTACATCCACAAAACTCCTCACACACTCAATCCAATTATTACTCCCATCCGTTTCCCTTCCCGCCGATACAGAAAACCCCTTGCACCCCGGCGCCGCATAGAAATCGAAGGTGCATTCCACGCCCTCTGGCGTATTCCCTTTCCTATACCCTCTCACAGTCGTGAAGTTCTTTGCATCTACGCAAATGCCGCTTGTCACGTTGGGGAAAGTTTGAAGATCCCCTCTGCACGCGTATGCCGAGTATGTTTGGACGAAGCCGATTGGGATGTCACTTTGTGATGGGCAGGGGCTGTAGGCATTGCCGCGGCCATTTTGGTATGCGAGGACGGGGAAAAGGGCGAGTATCTACAATGATTTTCAGTTCAACTAAAGCCGAGATATCAAACTAGCGTCTCAGGGCTCACCTTTTTTGCAAAGTACATTTTCGCATCTACTGATAACTTGTGCCTGGATCTTCAGGACTTTGAGAACGAACGTTGTTCAAGCCTTAAGATAGTTCATCGTCTGCTATTTTATAATTGCCATTGGGGTGTGCAGGAACACATCTGATTCCTGGTGTCGATCAATCTACCAAGCTTTACCCGACGGACCGCACCCTTTCTTTCATCTCGAATATATCACGAACCACAAATCGGATCCAGAATAAGCTCATCCATTGATGTAGTGTTGGATGGAAGGGCGTATGATAGGTTATGTTTGTTTCCGTCGTTAGCGAAACGATTGTGTGAGCCAGCTTCTTTGTCTCAATGTGCCACATTTGCGCGTACTCTGGTAGCCTCCGTACGAGGCTGTTCTATTGAGCAGGTTTATCACATTGCTGGAGCGGGCCACCTGTATCTCCCTAACCCCTTTAACAAGGGTTATACGAGCGAACGTCTTTGTCTTGTCCAGGCGTGTTGATAGCTTAAATCACAGTGCTCAAGTAGCAGTGTTACGAGTTGGGCGTCACTGAGTGTTGCAGCTATCGCTATGCTGTGACGCACCATCGTACCGGAGCTTGACCTACTGTGGGCGGACACGCAGACATGCCCGCACAAACCCCACCTCTTTAAAATGAAAAGTAAAAAGACCACATTGTCATTCGCTCAATTGTTCACAACTTCCTCTAAATGCACAGGTTAGCTGCGTCTACAGTAGGGTTTCCAGGAGTTAGGATACGAGAAACGGTTAGGGTAAACGTTAACATGTTAAAAAAAAGTTTCTGTAAGTGATAGATGGTAATTATCTGGAAAGAAGTGAGCATTTCCCATGCCTGAAACTACGCAGTCATTGCTAGCTCCTCCAACTCCTCTACTTCCCCTACCCTACTTTGCCACCTTCAAATTCACTTCTCTCAAGCTCCTTCCCTTCCTCTCATTACTAACCCAAATATCTAGATTAATCCCTGCTCCCCCGGAATCACTGTCCCATTCTCAACAGCTGCCGCATGACCCCTCGCCAGCATTCCATAAACCGGCATATACCTATCCAGATACGGCAGGACTTCTTTAGCCCCAGGAGTATTCCTCCAGTCACGCATCAAATCACACACGATGGAGAACAAGCTCACAAGCTGGACGCCGGCCTTCTCCATGCGCGAGTTGGCCGTGTCTCGGACGAGAGCTGTCGTTGTACCCGAGGCTTCGATGTTGGCAAAGACGGAGTAGCCTTCGGCGCGGAGAGAAAGCGCAAGGAAGGCGGTGCACACGTCAGTTACGATGCCAGCGACGATGATTTGTTGCTTGCCGGTCGCTTTCACGGCCGCGCGGAATTCGGGATTGTCCCAGGCGCTGCGATGGATTAGAAACAGGAAAGGAGGACTAGGAAGAGGACTGACTTGACTTCGCCCTGGCGTTGGATGAGGGGGGCATCGGGGTACATTGCTAGCATCTCCTTTGGCAGGGGACCATTCGGACCTGTGGAGGCAACTATTAGCCAGAGTCACAGTTGGGAATTAGATGAGGCATACCTTGCTGAGCCGAGGTAGTCAGGACAGTGGGCAGATTGAAGAGCTTGCCTAGCTCAGCATGAGCCATCATGTTGTCACGGTAGAGCGTAGCATCCCAGTCACGGCTGAGCTGGTAGAGGCCGACTTGGAGATCGAGAATCAAGAGCATCTACACAACTGTTAGTAAGACCACTTTGCAGGAAGGATTCTTAGAAGAAGTTGGACATACAGAGTTGTTCTTGTCGATCCGCTCCCAAGGAACAGCTGGCATATGTTAGATCCATTATGACGTTATACAGCAAAACTTGGACTCACCATCACCACGAACGACGTTAAAGAGCCCGAAGGAAAGCAACACAATGCTTGAGCCGAATTTCATAGCGACTTATTAATGAAAGCCTCTCTTATTTCTTGCTTGAAATAGTCTTGCTGAATATGCTAGAGAGGAGTGAGCGGTGTTAGACTTCAATGCAGGAACTTGGGAGGCTTTATATACCTCAACATCTTCACTACTCCCTCCCATCAAAGCATCGGTAATCCACATCCTCTTAATCCAGCTAGCATATAAGGCCCATCACGATGTCAATTCTTTCCCGCTTCTTAGCCCACTGCGAAGTGTTCGTCCAACTGCTAGATCGTCAGGCCGACATGCATAGAAGATTGCATCGTGACGTTTTGCCGCTCGTCGGTCGTCAGTCGATACGAAGAAAAGCCGTTGTGGTTGATATCAAAGGCCTGACTAATTCGCTATAACCACCGGGACATGTGGGTATCACACCGAATGGACCAAAACCATGAAGGGCCAGGGAGGAAATCTTGCCAAGGTCTCGGACATCAGACCTAGGATCGCCTCGAGCATAGTCCATGGTGTTGAGTGCAGAGCTTGCTGCTACACCAGCCCATGTGCAAGGCCCGATTTGGTGTTTGATAAAAATTCCAGTAAATGGGGCTACGAGAACCCATGGAAGTAGTTGAGTAGCGTCTCGCTTGAAGTGGATGCTTGATGCGGCCGCAACGGATACCCCCGCTCTGAACATGCACTTCCCTGCAGGTCATCAGCATTCTGTCACCGCTTTAGCGTATTTTGAAACGACATGCCTCCTTGTAAACTTTGCTTGTTAGTGGAGTTTGTCGATTGTAAGTCCGAAGGTTGTTAGTCAGGGATTGAAAATCCATTGCAGAAGAGAAATTCTTCACACTATGGGCTTGGGGGCACTCAACCATTGCGAGACTGGGTTATTGAAAGATGCGGCGTTCTGGAGATCTTGAAATGGTGGGAAGTCGTTAGGGTTGGCAATGGTGCAGCGACATGTTTCGTTTTCCAATCAAATACAAAGAACGGCCTGCCATATCTCGCCTTCCGCGGTTCTCTTGATGTTCGTTCTTTCGATATTGGCTATGGTGACCCCGAGTATTCCTCTCCAACCCTGATCGAATTTTGTATGGTCGCAACTTGCCACCGTCGACGATTTCCTAATACTTTATCCCTCGACCTAATTTCAAAACTCTGATATAAGCGAAATGGGGGGTTTTTGTTGCACGGTCCTTCTGGCCGTCGATGTGACAGTGGAAGGTTCGGATTGGATAGATGGCATGGAGATACTGATTTGGTCTTGATTGGGCTTCATTCCCCTCACGCTTGTTGGATAGATAAAAACAACGACTTGAATTAGTAGAACGTTAAAGAAGAGCGAAATGTGGCCAATGATATTCCTGCGTTGTGAACCACAGATGGGTTCAGGTCCACAGCACCACCACGTTTCCTAAACACTTATCGTATACTGCGCATTCCAATATTACGAGTAGCGCCCAGCCTCAATTACCATCGTGAAGCAGGGTCTAGTGGTAAGCCGACGCGAATTAAATAGAGCATGTTGTCACATAGCGCGGAACAACTAGGGTAGGCTCTATCTATTCGATATCTTTCTAGAACTGCAGGTGAGTCAACGGGATGCTAATATCTGTCTGAATTACCCATCCTGTCACGTCTCACGTCAGTTGTTAAGATGCAATGTGAGGACAAAAACGACTAGGACCTGGAAGAGAATGTTCATTGAGGAAGGGCGTGACGAGGAATGGTTGTGGGGGAGAGGGTGGGCATTTTAATTGGTGCTCACTCCAATAAAGCACAATCATGAAGAGAACGTAGAAATGGCCAAAAGGTTACCAGACGTTCGCTCTTCACCTTTAAACCTCTTCCTCGCGTTGCGATTTGGGTATCGTGTGAATCGTAGACGAGGGAAACTCTATGATGCTATCATTGCATATTTGCTAGGCGGTATCGTGGAGCGAAGACGTGTACTCAGCCGTCAATATTCTGTCGCTGATATGTCGTTGTCGGAAGAGGACCAGGGGAGCGGTGACGACGAATGAGAATACTACAGGCACGCTCTTCGTTGTTTAAATATAGCCATTCACGATATATAAACGGCTAATCAAGCCTCGCATTCACGGATCTAACGATACGCTGAATTACGGTCTGATGAAAGAGGTGGCGGGATGCTTTTTGAAGAATACGAAATGAGGCTAGTAGGCGGACCAACTTACGGCCGGTAAAGCGACCTTAAGAGCTGCTGATTGGTCGAGAAAGCTACGTCCGAGATCATGACCATCAACTTCAGATCACGAAACCCTCACGGCTTTCCTCACGGCTTTATTCTTCTCCGTGCGTGCTGAATATACGTGCTGGCTGCCATATCACTCTATGCGATTTCCGCCTCGCCTCGCGGAGTCGGATAGATAGTGCAAATGTCGGGCAAGATTTGTTGCGATGAAAGAGATACAAATAGGTCACTACTCCCCTTTGTTCATGTCATCTTAATCCGTTACAACGCATACCTTCGTCTTCTAAATAATTATAAACCTTGACATCCGTATTGGTTATCTTATCTAGTAATAATGGTATTCCTCGACTTAGTCAAGTCTTCCAACACAAAACTTCCCTCCCACTTGGTCGCTGTTTTCGTAGGAGGCACTTCTGGCATCGGCGAATATGCTCTTAAGGCCTTCGCTAAGCACTGTAAACATCCTCGAGCATACTTTATCGGACGGTCTCAAAAGGCTGCTGATCGAATCTCATCCGAGCTCAAGACCCTGAATCCTGATGGAGAGTATATTTTCATGAGAATGGACACGGGATTGCTCAAAAACGTCGACAAAGCCTGTCAAGAGTTGAAAGCGAAAGAGAAGGTTATCAACATCCTGTTCATCACCACAGGTACACTTTCCAGTGGAACAGACACAGAAGAAGGTTTACACCTAGCGGCGTCATTGATCGTCCACTCACGAACTCGGTTCATGCTCAATCTTCTCCCACTCTTGCGCGCAGCGCCAGACCTTCGACGAGTCGTTTCTGTCATGGCTGGCACTAAGGAAGGCCCTTTCGTGAATGAAGATTTCCAGTGCAGGAATGTCCCACTCATGAGAGCACGTGGCCAAGGCGCATCCACCATCACTCTAAGTCTAGAAACTGTTGCAAAGATGGCCCCCGAAGTGTCCTTTATCCACGACTTCCCTGGCCCCGTCCGCAGTAACATAGCCCGAGACCCAGGCTTCGTACCGTTTATATTGAAAGCTATCTTTAAGGTCTTCGGTCCCCTTGTCTACATTCCAAACGACGAATCTGGAGAGCGCCACTTGTACCTAGCGACTAGTGCACAGTATCCCCCACATGATGGCGAGGCCTCTGGCGTTCCTGTAGGTGGTGGTCTTGCTATTGCCCACGGTACCAATGGAAAGCCCGGTAGTGGTGTCTACACCGTTGACCAACATTGCGAAAGCGGAGGAGCAAAAAATGAGGAGCTCCTGGCGAAGTTGAGAACGGAAGGGTGGGATAAGAAAATATGGGATCATATTCAGGGGGAGTTTGTCCGGATTACTGGGAAGGAATCTATTTAGATTGAAGTTGCAGGAACGGATGGGTTTAGTGATCGTTTAGCCTCCTCCAACGTGGCATTCTGTTTGAAGTGCATTAGAAAGCGTTAAATATTTCATCTTAATGAATTGATAGAATCGATTGAATACTTCCGTCAAGCAAATGAAGGTGGGCCTAATATACAATGTGATATTAGTCGGGAATAGTACTAAACGGTGAAAATAGCTAGGGGAGAGTGAACTCTAGAAGGGAGAGAGGAGAGATTTAAATTCTGTCAGCCTAGTCGTTCCTGACTAATAATTCGGGGTTGTGTTTGCTCACTGTGATGCAGTGGGATCGCCATGCCAATTAAGGTCGGTAAGACCAGAAATACCAGTTCAATGGTTTAAAAAATCGCACACTTGAATGCCTCCTTGAGGTGCGCAATGTTGGCGCGAACTGCTTCTAGATCCTTCTCTTTATCCTCAACCTTGTGCATCAAACTTCAATAGCTTCAGCACATCTAGCAATCTCTTCTTCCTTCGGCACATCGTCATTTATTGAAGAAAGAAGATATTGAACGTGTTTTGTCTCTTGGATGTCCAACTGGCACGTTGAAGGGCTAATTATCTTTTCCCAATCCTCCAGGGGGGCAGTTTGAAGGAGAGCTTGGTGCGACGAATACGGAGTAGCGGACTCGAGGCTGCTTTAGTATATTGAATTTTCGAAGCTAGCATATGCAATCTGTCTTGCGGAGTGCAGGAGGGGGATTAAAATAAAGCCACTATAGAGATATTAAAAAGAGTTCAAGGTAAGATGGTGTAATAGAAGAGTTGGTAACATGATATGAAGCAAAGAAGTGAGTGATCTTTAAGCTCTGCGCAGAAATTCTTCTTATACAATAGTTACAGTAGTAATCATGAGTTATTGTTCAATTAACGTTAGCTGCTTTCTTGTTTGTTATTCTCACTAGTGTGCACCCTACTGATAGCTATTCAGACAATTACCTTATTCTTCACTTCTTCCTTTCACCTTTCCAAGATCTCTCCTGTATGACATGCAAAATAATATTGCAACAAATTGATTAGTTTTCTATTTCTTTCCTATTAGCTTCTGTGCTTGTTTTATTATTGTTGGGCAGTCTTTTTGATTTTAAGGTTGGCTCTATTACACTTCTCGCGACCTACTTTACCGTCACGTGATGCATCGTTTGCCTTGTCCAAACCCTTCATCGTGATTGGCAATGTGTTCGAGACGTGGGTGCTATGAGAGAAATGGTATGTAGTCTGAGGAGCTGGCTTCGCGGGAGCTCTTCGTATCACGACTGTACCGCTCTGGGCAGGGGAAAAGGGTTTGAGGGTCCAGGGTGTCTTGGCGGGGTAAGCTTGTTGTCCAGAAGGCCTGACGTATAAGTGAAGAGAGTACAGCATCCAGTACGCCAATTCATGTCTTTTGAAAGGTGCAACCCTTTGGAACCCCTAAGCAAGCGCTCGTTTTAGGACGATGTGACAAGATTGCGACAATTCTAAGACTAGCGAAGGGAGTATCGTTGCTTATTTTGTATAGTGGCTCGGAGATTGAAATTCCTCCTTTCATGGTGTTAGTGGAAGTAAAACCGTCGAGGGAGAATGAGAGTGGGAGATGTCTAGGTTTGGCCGGTTGGATGAGCGCGGAACCGGCGGGTTCCGGAAACCAGAAGCAGCTCTTCAGCAACCACCAAATGGACGCGACAGCACTCACACAACATCCCCCGCTCTCTACAGTCCGTCATACAGCCTCCTTTGATGTCTCGAACTCTCTCTGTCACTTAACCATCTTTGTCCTACTATTCGGTCTCACCGTTGACCTATTGAAAATTGAGAACCAAGTCACCCTACCTCGGACCCAATCTGCCCTTCGTGGAACATCCTGAGTACATTGACGAACAATATTATATGTGCGCCTGTGCAAGGAATTCGCAAGCCCTTCGTCCACACCCTTTCGCCTTCGTGCCTTAGACTTTTGGGTACATTTCTGCTTCCCTCGCCACTGGTATTCGCAGCATGGAACGCCACAGCGTCATGGTCCAGCAAATACAAACGAAAATACGCGAGTTCTACAACTCCAAGACGCCGTATCGAGTCTATCATGGATCTACGAACAGTACGCGTCATGTCGCATTTGATCCAGACCGGATTGTGGACGTGAGCTCATTGAATCGCGTTCTGCATCTAGACCTGGAGAAAAAGACCGCCCTCGTCGAACCGAATATGCCAATGGACGCCCTTGTAAACGAGACGATAGGAGTGGGCCTCCTGCCGCCTGTTGTTATGGAGTTCCCAGGGATTACGGTCGGCGGCGGCTTTGTTGGCACAGCTGGTGAGAGTAGCAGCTTTAAATATGGGTTTTTTGACCAAACAGTCAACTGGGTTGAGATAGTACTGGCTGACGGTACACTTGCCGTTGCCTCTAGCACCGAACATCCTGATCTCTTTAGGGGTTTGGCAGGCAGCTTTGGTACTCTGGGCGTCCTTACGCTGGTCGAGCTGCGCCTGATCGACTACAAACCATACGTTGCTTTAACGTACTACCCAACATCGAGCATCCACAGTGCCATAATAAAACTGAAAGACGAGACAGCCCGATCCGATAACGATTTTGTGGACGGGATCCTGTTCACCAAAGTGAAGGGGGCAGTTGTATCTGGACGGCTGACTGATTCGTGTCAACAAGCCGGTAAACTTCAGCGATTCGCCCGTCCCTGGAACCCATGGTTCTACCTTCATGCCCGATCGATTGCGGATAGGGGAAAACCTTTTAGTGAAGTTGTCCCTACCAAAGACTACCTCTTCCGCTACGATCGTGGATCTTTCTGGATGGGGATGTACGCCTTTCAGTACTTCCTGTTGCCCTTCAACGCTGTAACTCGCTGGATCCTGGATTATTTCATGCATTCGAGAATCATGTACCACGCAATGCACGCCTCCGGCCATACCGATCGCTATATAATACAAGATCTTGCACTGCCAGCGCTGAACGCGTCCGAATTCATCAACTTCATAGATTCAAGATTTGGAATCTATCCTCTTTGGTTATGCCCACTTCCCCAAAACACTAGAGGCTCTATGGCCCACCCAAACAGTCTTGCCAAGTCTCGAAACATAGCATTCCAAGCATCCAGCGACGGCGATGACCCGTCCAGCGACAGCTCCAATTCAGCAGAGCAGTACATCAATGTTGGAGTTTGGGGCCCCTATCAGTCCAGCTATCCCGAATACGTGAAGGCAAACCGCGACCTCGAGGCAAGTGTGCAGAAAATGGGGGGTTTAAAGTGGCTCTATGCTCGGGCTTTCTACACAGAAGAAGAATTCTGGGAGATATACGATAAGCGCAAGTACACTGCTCTTCGCCAAAAATATAACGCTAGCTCTCTTCCAACGATCTACGAGAAAGTTCGAGAACATTCCGAAAGAGATCGCGAAGAGAATTTCTACGGACAGGGCCTGAAAGGACAAGTAAAGCGACTCGTGCTCAGCACTGCATTCATGAGGGCTGTTTACGGAATTTGGAAGGCCATTCGCGGCGGCGACTATCTTCTCAAGCGCAAGAGGGAGTAAAGTCAGCCCCACATGGGTTAGTTTACACAAGGGAGTCGTCAAGACAACTTTTTCAGTCTACTCTGAGTGGTTTCTCCTTAAGTTCGTATTCGTTGTGCCCCCAAAGATTTTCAAGGAACTCCTAGCTATTCTAATAGATATTTATGTAACGAGATAGGTGGAATAGTGGATTGAAGCTCCGTGGCCGTTTCTTTAATTCCACTTCCCCCCTCTCCAATAAGGCACTGTTCGCCAAAGATTCATAGAACCAATTCGCCTCAAACGTCTGCATAATATCTTCCAAATCGGTCGACCGTTTCACTAAAGGAACACCACATGAGGGTTCTCGAGCCTTATGCGATTTTCTGCATTTTTATCGATGCGATAAAGTAGACTCGTGAAACTAGACTTCCTTGCTTCTGGGGAAGTCTTGCTACTTGGGGGTCTGTGTATTCTTGGAATAGCTTTTAGGAATGGATTAAATGTTGAGGGAGCCCTATTAGTTTCGATTCCTATATATTAGAACGAGTACATATGTCAGAAATAGCCAAGATGTGAAGATCTAGTACCGGCTATGGTCTCCGCCATTTCCTCGGCCTATCGTTTTTTCATGCATTTAATAACCCGCCACTAACGGCGCTTCACAAACTATGAATCAGCACCTTTCAAATCTTGATTGGCAGCAGACAGTGTAGCCAAGGTCGGCATGTCTCGTACTGACCGAATCGGATATCAGCACGGCGTCTCGGGTACTCGGCCATTGGCACAGCACCGAATGCGAAACGGCCATCGAAGCATGGAGATACCAAATCCATCGGTCACTTTCATTTTCTGTCAGAGATACCTAGTGTCATGCTTGACATTTGAACATATATAAGGTAGAAGCGGGAGTAAAGCTGCCTGGATTGCAGCATCCAAACGATCCTCCCACATTCTCCATTCCACAATACAATCGAGGACTTCAACATGGCATCAAAATCCACAAAAGTAGTCAAGATCGACGACGTCTGGCAAGTCGAAGGGTATTTGGCTCCTGATTACATCTGCTCTTCATATTTTCCATCTAAAACAATTCAGGCGTCCACGCGAAGGTCTCAAAATCCTCTCCACCTTGCAACCCTCCAATCTTCCTGGCAAGATCATGATTGTTGCTGAAGTCAATTTTCCACCTAACGGCGCCACCCCAGCCCACCGCCATGGTGGGGCTGCTGTAGTAGCGGTTGCACTCGAGGGTACGACCGTGAATCAAATGAATTGCGAGGAGCCGATAACTTGCCCTCCGGGAAGTTTTTGGTACGAGGCTCCAGGATGCCATCATGTGTGGAGTGAGAACATGAGTAAGGATGATGGGGCGAGGTTTTTGGCCATTTTAATTGTGGATGAGGAGGTTGTACAAGATGGAATGGAGGGTATTCTGGTTCTGGATGCGGAGGTGGAGGCGAGGGAGAAGGGAGAGTAATTATAAGAAACTAGGAATTAGGCAGTAAGGCGGATAGGGTTTTGCTATACTATGCATCCAATTCTGGACCTATGGGATCAGCAATGGGCTTAGGGACTCATAATTCAATCTAGAATAGTACCACACCTACGTTTCATGCCTTGAGAAGGTTGTTATAAAGGTTTCATGCACTCTTAGGACAAAAGCGAAATTAAGTCTGTGCAGCCTATAAGCGAGTATTGGAGTTAAAGCCTTGCCCACGCGAGAAGATCTTCATGTATGACGTAGCCTGTAGCGCCAGTACGTTCTTAATAGCACTCGCCACAGGCCAAATTATTTGCATTCAAACCCCCTCCCCTAATTCCTACTATCCAGCTGTTTCAATTTTCACTGAGAGTCAAGTCATGCCAGCTAATGCTCATCTCTTGCTCTGTGTGGGGGTTCCGATCCTTTCATTTCCTGTTAACAGCATGGCGGGCTAGGTAGAAGGTCAGGTAGTTGCACAAGCAAGGTGTGGTACATCAATACCAACCTCTAAATATCTGCTACTACTATTAACAATGTGGCAAGCTAGTGCCTCCGTGTAGTTCCATATTTAGATATCTCCTTCTCTCCGCAAATATATAAAGCGGTTCCCTCGTGACGCAACATCACATTGCGGAGCAAGTTAGGAAGCAGCTATTTCCTCCTCTCGATTGAGTGCGAAGGCTAGAAGTGGATTAGGTATAGCCCGGACGATGGGTACATTGATGGAACGTTGAAACCGATGGTAGAATTGGATCAAAAAGTAGACAAATTCTGATACTACTGCAGCAAAGAGGGTCACGGAACATCCAGCGAACACGAACACTCCCGGAAAAAAAAAAATTGTTTTTTCTATATACCAAAGGAGTGTGAGTGATAATGTAACCAAATTAACACAAGGTAGTTCTGTATAGACTTATAGAGGCTCCTCCACATCCCATCAGCTCTCTTTTAGGCTCTACAGGCGTCGTATCAGAGGAAACGCGCAGAGCCAACTTTCTGAGCAAAACACTGGTCGGGATTTCCAGGATGAAGATCGAAGTAGTTACCCTGATTGACGGGACAGCCAGGGAGGCTGTAGACCCTCACTGCATGAATTTGTTAGTATTCCATCTTTTCAAACGACCATTTCCGCTTGGGGGTGTTTATTTCGCTTACAAGTACGAGTAAGATGGTTCCCAGTCAAACTAATGCTGTCGTAACCGCCAGTAATGGTGTTGGGGATGCAATCCTCCGTGTTCTGAGCGAACACGATGTCATCGACCAGACGCTGGAGGCAGGCAGTGCCCGCAAAAAATTGACCATAGACGGTCGGAGTCGCCTGGCGCTCTTGAACGGGTGTGCCGGGAGCGGCTTGAACTACCACGGAGGCGAATAGGAAAGAAGCAAGAGCTTTGATCTGCATGATGGATATGTTGGAAGTAATTGGCCTTTGTAGGTAAATATAGGGGACTAAGAGATGGATGAAGAGATTGAGTTATGATGGGTGATGTGGGAAAGATGGAAGGAAGACATAGCCTTCTTATACTTGCCTTTGGAAAAGGCTGTGGGCCGAGTAAAGAGTGCTAAGGCACATAGCTGCATGAATACGGTGGGGAGTGAAAAGTCCTCTAATGTTCTTCATGAGCAGTATCAGGTCATTTAGGATTGTTAGTGGCCAATAGAAGGTGAAAGGCTCTGCCACAAAATGTTGCTATGATGCACATCTCCCAGTGTCTGTGATTATGTGTGAATATGAAAGTGTGCTGAGCATGTTGGATTATCGAACTTCTCACCGCCGCCACATCCAACAGTGATTATGGGACATGCTTTGGGTGTCAAGTGAACATTAGTGTTCGTGCTTCGTTGCCTACTCTGCTGTTGGTGGACAGAGTCATTGAAGATTCGGGATGAGTGGAGAAGGGTTTTTGCGTCATGAAATCACTGTGGCGTAGTCTTCGAATGAGGATGAAACTTCAACCTATATGTGAGGTGCTAAATGCTCTGTGCAAAACATGGTCCAGCGCACATGATCAGGGCCAGTAAGCTTCTGGATTTGAAGGGAAACTCCAACATTGGCGAAAAGCACGGCCCTGCATTTGGTTAACGCTCTTTCTTATTCTAGCAACAGGGTTAACAGATTGACTCTACTCTAGTTATGTTCCACGCTACATGATAATATGCAGTATTTGAAAGTTTTATTGAGAGTAATGTTCCAAGTTTATCTTCTCCGAGACAGAAATCTGCTACAAAGCTACTATGCACGTGTTAAACCCCTGAGAAATCTGGTGGACTAGGGGCTAAGTTGGTTCTGGCACAGCTAACTTCGCCGCAGACCCGGTTTTGGTGATCAACATAGTCGTTCCCAACTGCTACCATGGTCCGTGAACAGCCAGCACGAACCAAGCTCTTGGAAATGCTCCTACCAGGGGGTGGCCACAAGGAGCTGCGGACAGTACTGGTGGCACTCAGAGTCAATCATTAGTAGATTGATTTGCTGGGGGATGAATGAACGTAAGCGGGATGCGTACTGCTAAGCTCACGCAATAAGACGGTAAGGGATGTTCTGCACGCGGCCCGCAGTTTCCGAAATATTACAAGGATGGCCTCCCAGAAGAACATGTTATTAGGGACTTAGGTTCTGAGAGGATCTATTCAGTTTAAGCCTAGTGGAATAGAGTAGTGAGATGGCGAGGGTGTGGGTTTAGAGCGTGCCTACAGTGCAGGAAATTACCTGCTAGGGGAATTAATGAATTGATAAAACAGATTAGAGACAAGAATAACAGGTTTTGGTGGAAAGAAATGAGAAATCACAGGAGGTTGAGAGACCTCATCACCCAATGGGATGAAGGAGCTTGCCTGGGGTTGTTGGAGGTGACGTTCCGTTATGTTTTCCCTGTGTATGGATGGAATGAAATCACATCCTAGGACAGCCGTGCCTAAGAAGATCGAGTGAGAAGAAAGAGGTAGGTTGGATTTAGCAATACTGCGATTAGCTGCGAAAGCTGTTGCCCGTGCTCTGGTTTGGTAGTTACCTGGGAGAGAGTCAAGTGCAGATATCAACTTGGCAACGTCCTCAGACTTCCCTACGCCTGTGGAGTCGTATTGCTCTATGGAAGAGATGCGTTTCTGTCCAAACTGAATCCGTAATCTTTCATTTACCGGGTGATTCTCCAGCCAAATGGGGCTGATGGAGTCGGGGAATGTCGGCGAGCGGGGAGAGTCCGAGTCGGCAGGGTCGTCTATTGGTACCACGAAGTATAAGCTGAAGAAACAAACAAGTATTGATCTCAGCAGGTTCAGTCAGCCACAGACACCTCTTTGTGGTATGGAGATACATTGACGATGCACTGTGATAGCCAAATGGAGCAAGCGGGGAAGATCTTTGACGTGGCGTTTCTGGTCCTCGCTTTTTTCAGCCCGCCCCCCAATCTTTTCTCGCAACCTCTTCGTTCCACCAGACCACGAAACATCTATCTGAACAGTATCGTGAAAATTCGAATCAAGCTGAAGGGCCTCTAATTCGAAGAAGAAGCTCCTTGCAAGCCCTAAAAGTCCAACTGTAAGAAATATACCGTATTTCTACCCGATGTTGATTCTGTTTCTCTCCTCTTGCAGGCTCTGGCAACCTTCAGCTTCTAGTGGCTTGCCTACGATATGCAAAGGGCCTTTGGCACTCACCGCTATCCAATCCACAATGCCTCACGATTTCCACGTAGGGCTGGGCGACTACCCGCCCATTGCGCAGTGTGAAAGGTAGCCAAATACTGCAGACCTCGCAGATTCCCTGCATTTTCTGCGTGATCTGAGAAGGCATCTGAAGGTATTTCAGTTGGGTTGACAAGATTCTGTTGCTGCATCGCTGCTGTCGTCATGCATCTAGCCGTCTTTTCATTTGGTCTGTTGTTCGTAGTTGCATCAGCGGGCGACTGGCCTCACTACAACGACCACCATGAATCTGCCGACTCAAAGGAGAGCTCGTCTCCATGGACTTCACCCTTGTTTCCTGGCCCGCATTATCCTGAGCAAACACCATGCTCAACTACAACTGTTCCTGTCTACTCCCAGCATACCTCTGTCACCCCAATTTCGACGATTACACAATACTCGTCGTTAACCCTAACATCAACTGCGTATCCTTCATACGGCCGCTCTAGTTCATCCAGTTCAGAAGCTAGTCACGTGCTCAGCTACCAGTCAAGCTTAGTGACGAGCCATACAGCTACTACAAGTTTAGCATACACGAGCGGTTCCTCCATTTCAAAGTCAACGTCGTCATTAGTTCACCGTAGTTCTTCGATTAGCGGTACCTCTTCGGGCAAGACTAGTTCGGTCTCGTCTACCAGCCAAACGCCCACAAAGTCGACCGCTTCAGGGCCCTTCTCGGTCCACGTTTTATCATCCTCAAGTGTGGCCACAAGTTCAGCCAAAACTAGCATCGTCAATTCATCTTCCGGCAGCCTGGTCTCCACACCTGCTATTCCAAGTTCACCCAAGTTCTCTACAACAACTTCATTGGTAACACCACCACCCACAACGACGACTACCAGAAAATCTTCCGCCTCTTCATCACTATTCCAATCATCTTTCTCATCTTCATGCCGAATCTCAACTACCACCGTTACGATTGCATCGCGTGGTAGCGTCACTACTCTACCCTGCACGGTAACTCAGACACCCCTCTGCGGAGGAGGAACGCAGTATGTCACAAGCATCTTTCAGATCTATACGAACATTACGAACATTTCGGCCGGCGGTTGTTGCACAAAGAACATTACGACGACGGAGACTCTGCATCTCCCATGCACCAGTACTCCAAGCAACCATGTCACCAGTTCTTCTGGGGCTGCACCTACGAGTTCAATATCTGGATCTCGTTCCTCATCAGGCAACTGTCCACCGCCAGTAACGGTCACCGTCCCTGGGGAATCAGTTATCTTTCCATCGTCCGCACCAACTAGCTGCGCGACCCTGCCTCCTGTTGTATTCATTGTTACAATTACGACGACTACAACCTCGATCTCGACATCAACAATCACGCCCCCGTGCTCGGCGTCCACTGGATCCCAGGTCTCGGACTCTATTAACTTTACATCTCAAAGCATTCCAGTAACTACGTGCCCAGGGACTATCACATCAATCACGGTTACGAAGGACTGCACAACTCCACCGCAATGCCCTACACAGACCTTATGTCCAAGTCTCTCCTGCTCGACTTCTTCATGTCCTACTCCAGCAATCTGCCCGCCGGTCACTCCGACTACTTGTTCAGGAACTACAGTATATCTAAGCTCATGTCCGGTAGGGACACTAAGCTCTAGTCTACCGTCCTCCTCAGGCTCAACTTCATGCTCGAGCTGCACGCCGATAACTGTTTACCCTAGTCAATGCCCTACTATTACACCAACGACCTGCCCATCCTCCAGCACTAGTCCTCCAGTAGGCGTATCAAGCAGTTCGGTTTCACCATCCGGCTCAAATTCAGCACCAAGCTGCACGCCAAACACAGTATACCCGAGCTCCTGTCCTCCAAATACTAGAACCACCTGTCCGACATTCTTACCCTCAACAATCTACCTATCATCCTGTCCTCCACCTACAAACACAAACACCAACACCAACCCAACGCCAACCTGCCCATCCTCCCACCCCTCAACAATCTACCCAACAACCTGTCCACCCATCACAACTCCAGCAAACTGCCCTTCCTCCCCCTCCTCCTCAACGCCCCCCACCTTCACTCGCCCCTCCGCTAACAGCCCAACCCCAACACTCTGCCCCGTTTGCCACGACCACAACCGTACCGCGCTGCTAGTGCTAACAATCTTGTTCGGGGTCGGGTTACTGTTAGCACTGCTGGGGCTAGCCGCTGCAATGTGGGCTTTGCATGGACATCGGAAGCGTAGGGTGCCAGGGACGTGTGCGCAGTGTGGGCAGCCGTTTGGGGGGTGTACCTGTGCGGTTACTGGGGGTGGGGAGAGTTAGTTTGGCGGGATGAAGCGGGGCGGTCGTTTAAGAGTATATGCAAGCGATGGAGTTGGGGTTGCAGTGCGTATGAATGAGAAGTTGATGCTTGTTCAGATTTGGGTTGTAATTCTTTGGTAGTCGGGTAGGGGTTGTGATTGGGTCGATTAGGGGTAGTGACTTTAATATCCTAGATGTCTGGGGAATAGCCATAATAGTGAACGGATTACGCGCATTCTCCAGTGCTCCATAAGAATATATATGTATATATCATATCTATGCGTGCGCACATGTGTGTGTGTGTGTGTGTGTGTGTAATAAAGATTTAGTACCCGAGCCAACGGACATAAAACACGAAGTATAGACAAAAATCAGATCCATCCGAAAGGCGATATGCAGTGACAACAACCTCAGCAACACAGAAATCAACATACCACTCATTATTTTAACCCCACCCTGGTCTTCACCATTCTTCTCCCACTAACACAACATCGCTATTTTCCTCACCTCTAATACACTCTACTCGGCTCAGCTCTGCTTACCCTTCTCTAATCTACAACAACCCAACAACCCCCAAAGCACCAAGCACCAAAACCTCAAGGTACCCAGCGTTAACACCGACGGACACGGCAGGGGCAGCATTCTTTGTCGCAACAGCGATGGAGGAGGAAGCGGGCTTGGAGCTTGAAGCAGCAGCCGCGGATGAGGAAGCGGGCTTTGATGTGGTGCCTGCGACGGAAACGAGGACAGAGCCGGAGGCAGAGGAGGCGTGGCTGGTGGACGTGGCAACGGCGAGGGTCTAGAAGAGAGGTGAGCCGGGGTGTGGGAGTGGAGTGGGAGATGATGGCCTAGGAACAGAGGGGGAAATAATAGTCTAGGAGAAAGGGTAGAAGAGCATGGTCTGGAAGTGGAAATGGAATATAACAGCCCAGGAGTAAATGGGGAAGATTATGGCCTAGAAGTAGAAGGCGAATGCTTAAGAACGGGAAAAGACGGCAACCAGATGATATAGAGCTTGCAAAACGTGCAGACTGTGCGCTCAGGTTGCATAGAAAGGAACTTACCGAAGGAGTTGCCGCGGGCGTAGAAGTGGATAGTCTGGAAGAGCTGCTAGATGCAACTGAAGAGACTGTTGCAACGGAAGCGGAGCTGGATGCCCGGGAGGAAGATGAGGAGACCTGACCCATGGCGGCCGAGGCCAAGGCGGTGAATGCAACGAAGAATGAGGCTTTCATTTTGGAAGAGTAGTTTGACTCGAAAGGTGTTGGTACGGTGGTGAGGTTTTCGTGAGGATGCTGCGTTCACGGAACTCAACTGAAGGATGTGGTTTAAAGGTTGGCTGGTAGTTTGTGGATGGTAGCAGTAGCAGTGGTGCCGCGTCATGGAGGTTATATGGCAACGTGGATGCTTTCAGAAACAGCACAATCTTACACATGTTAGCGTATAGTTTATCGAGAGGTTGCCATAGATGTCGAAAGAAGGCTACAAAACAACCGAAATTCAATAATCGGGTTTCCGTTTCTGATGGTAATCAAGCGAGCGGGGACGGTGCGATGTGCGCGAACCCATAGGAAAGAAGACAGTGACATGCCGAACGATGACACTACAGAATAGTGGTTGTGTGTACCCAAAACAGAGTCTGACACTACAAAGAAGCTATTGGGCTGGTAACAAGACTAAGAAGCCACAGCAAAGTTCTGGAATCCGGTTCCAAGATCTATAGAGGTGCAAGCTTGGGCTAAGAAGCAGGGCCGGAGTCGTGACATCGCCGCAGTCCATTGAATAGTGGAGCCGCCGCGTCGAGACATGCGATTGTCGACGGTGACGATCTCGGCGCCGGAAGATTGGGAGGCGACCCCGAAGCCATTCAGCCAGCTCTTTGCATGAGCGTATTTTGATGCCACTCCCTGGGCCAGAGAGAGGGAGTGGAGGCAGGGGCATCGACAATTCCTCATGTCCCATCCTCCTAGGAGATAGGATTAACATAGAGGAAATGGTGGTGCTGAAACCTAGCATGGACTACATAGATTCCACGGAGAAGCGGAAATGGCCAACCAGAGGGGCCCAGTGGGATTTGCACTCTGGAGTCGGCTCTGTGTCGTGATGTATTGGAACGTTTGCCTCATTGCAAATGGCGTAGACTAGACTAAGGATCTTGTGAAGAGAGTGGCTGGAGGTCGGCAGAGGGATATGTGAGGCACTTGAGGCGAGTGACGAGGGGGGAAGGAAGGGACATGGGGAATGGCGCGACCATAATGGGCTAGTCCACATTGAGCGTAGCTTGGCATGTACCTTGGATCGTTGAGTTGCGCTTCTGCCGGCCTTGAACTCGCGAGCAGCTGCAACCGGCCCACCATAATTCGGCGAGCATGGCGAGACTCAGGCCCAGTCGTCTACTTTTTACTGCTCTCATTGTGATATTCCTCTTCTGGACCCTCTTGGCCCGTTTCTCTTTCGCTAGAGTGAGGGGATACTCAATTCTAACAGACCCACCCACAGCTACCAGCCCCGACGTCTCCCATGTCTCCCACGTCTCCCTGGGAGAGGAATGCTCCCCCTTTGCCGGCGGTGGAATGGACAATGTAACCATCGTAGTGAAACTCGGAGCAGCTGAGGTGTCGTCAAAGCTGGCCGCCTATCTCGATGTCATCGGTCCCTGTAGCCCGGACCTGCTGCTCTTCTCAGATCGGTATGAGACCTACAAGGCCTACACCATCCTCGACGCCCTTGCCAACCTCCCAGCCGAGTACAAGGGCAACAACCCAGACTTTGCCGCCTACGATGACATTCAGCGCTCGAACCGGTCCCTCGCGAAGACGACCGACGGCTGGAAGCTCGACAAGTACAAGTTCTTACCCATGATGGACATGGTCGCGCAATTGAGGCCTCATTCGCACTGGTTTTTCTTCGTCGAGCCGGACACCTACGTCAACTGGGACAATGTCTACCGCTTCCTCGGTGCCTTCGACCCCGACCAGCCCCTCTACTTTGGGTCCCCGGTCTGGCCCCCCAAGAAAACTGTCTTTGCGCACGGTGGCAGCGGCATTGTTCTTTCGCATCGTGCTTTGAACAAGCTGATAACCCACGGGCAGAAGTATAGGGGCAAGTACGGTACGCCTGGCGCTCACCAGTTTGGGAAGAATCTCTCCAACGAATGCTGCGGGGACGAGGTCCTTGCCCAGGTGCTCAAGGAGTGCGGTGTCTCCCTCCGCGGCTACTGGCCCATGTTTAATGGAGAGAAGCCGACTACAGTTCGGTTTGGCCCAGAGCACTGGTGCGAGGCCATTGTTACTTTGCACCACCTCCAGGAAGGTGATTTTGCGAAACTGCATGCCTGGGAAGCTAGCCGGCAGCATCCGTCAACCCCTCTTACTTTTGCAGAGCTCTTCCGTTATATCGAACACTCTGTACAGTCCCAAATGGACGATTGGACAAACATGTCCGAAGACGCCACCTTCACCACTCCCCATTCAGCCGGCGAATCCTTTGATAACTGCCTCGACACATGCTTGAGAGATCGTAAGTGTGTCCAGTACGAGCACTTTGGGGGTACGTGCCGGCTCTCGTATACTACACGCATGGGGCACGAGAGACTACCAGAGGGCAATAAACGGTGGACGTCTGGATGGGTCAAGGACAGGATTGAGGCATTCAAGGCTGCCCACTCCCCATGCCTGGGTGCCCATTTCGTCCATCCAAATCCATGAACAATCCAGCATTCGCAGCCAATCTGGCGACGAAGGCATCCCCCATCTCTTTAACGATTAACCTCCATTGCAGGCGTTTTATATCCAAAGGCATTACGGTACATCAAGGTTCAGCATTACGAACAGGATATGGACAGTTTATTATCACGGCATTCTTCTTGACTTTGGGATGGATTTGCATACTACTACTTGAACATCACGACTCTGCAACTGGACTCTGGAACTGGGACATTGTAAGGTGTACAGAGGGTCGGCTTAACTCGTTAGGCAATTTTGCCTCTCTGCTCTCCAATATTAGTATTGGGGCATGAGGCTAATGCTTGGTTCTTTTGATAAACTTTGTTCACCGCGTTGGCTCTTTCTATATTAGAAAATGCGGCATTGATGAATGAGGTGCCCTTAGCCTCGCACCTTCTTTGCAAGTTCGCACTGCGTCTGGCTAGAAGATTAGGTAGGCATTTTCCTCGAACCCACAAGATCCAACCGTTTCTACTACTGAGTTCAAAGCTTCGCTCTCCTATCTTCTCTATCTAATGATGTCAGCCCACTTCTTTGGTCTTTTAGCTGCTTACGCAGTATCTTCCCAGTTGGATTCTTTGGGAGAGCTTTTACCTCCCACACACCCCCTCTTAATTTCTTATACCCGCTAACTTTGTTGTCTACCGTCTCTTGTATCTCCTTCAGAGCCTGTTTCCTCACTATTTCATGGGTTAGATGTTCTTTGAGAATTACATAAGCGGTGGGTAGTTCCGTGAGCTGCGTTTCGTCGAACACAGCCCCAACGCCGCTTTCCATGACGTAGGGGTGTGAGTTCAGATATGCTTCCAGCTCTGATGGGCTTACTTGGAAGCCCTTGTATTTGATCAGCTCTTTTGTTCTTCCCACGACAGCAATAACACCCTTGTCAGAAATGGTGCACACGTCGCCAGTATTGTACCATCCCTTTACTGGAAACGCGGATTTATTAGCCTCGGGGCTAAACGCGTAACCCCGCGTTATATTGGGCCCTCTTATCCACATTTCCCCTGGCCCACCAACTGGCGCATCTTCCCTTCCATCATTTATCCTCAATACGATCTCCAGATTTGGTAATAGAGGACCAACGACGTCCTCTGGTTGCGCGTCGCCTGACCGTTGATATGCAACGTATCCCGCCCCTTCTGTCATTCCGTATACCTGGTTTATCCTCCACGGAGCCTTTACCATCAGACGCTCCAGCATCTCTTTCTTGAATGGTGGACCTCCGCAGTCGATCTTCTCTGCTTTGGAGAAGTCGTATCGTGCTGCGAGGTCTGTGTTTGCAAAAGAGAGGACGACTGAAGGAACACCTTGGAAAATCGTGGGTTTAACGCTGTCGACGAGCTGGCCAAAACGCTCAAGATCGAATTGCGGCATTGCTGGACGGAGTCAGAACTATTGTCTCATGCTTGATTATATGTTATCCGATGCTTGACTTACCATGATGCAGAATCCCCATATACGGTCCAAAGAACAGGGGAAACGTAGTATTCCCAATATGAGCAAACGGTGTAAAGGCCACTATTCTACTCCCCCTGTGGAATTGCTTCGCATCATGAGCTTCCAACTGTTTCACATTCGCAACGAAATTATAGTGCGTAAGCTCCACACCTTTCGGCTTACCCGTCGTCCCAGAACTGAGGTGTATTGTTGCGAGTCTTTCCCTCGTGTCTTCGTATTCCGGTATTGGCAGCACATCCCCTGGGAAGAAGTCATCCGGAATATGCAGATATCCCTTGACCCGCTCCACGACTGTGATGATGGTAGGGCGGCTCCATCCCACACCTTGGGCCCTAAGATCTTCCTCCGCAAGGTCAATCGCTTCCTCCACCTTTGGTACCACAGGACCATAGACTATGCAGTATTCTGGCCGTGTGACGCTAAATCCGTGTGCAATTTCAGAGGCGACGATTGCGTGGTTGATTGGGCATACGACGCCTCCTAGCCAGAGTATGGCATGCACGATTTCGATGTAGTCGACACTATTAGGGAGGATTACGGCCCAGTGCGACTGGTCTTTAGAGTGGAAAGTGCTACACAGGCCGTGGGCGATTTGGCCGGAGCGCGAGCGGAGTTCGCCGAGGGTGGTGGAGCGGTGGGTAAGGGAGTCGGTGGCTATGAGGTGCGATGGTGGGAGAGATGGCCGGGTGCTAGTATGGAGCAGTTGGGTTAGGGAAAGGTTGGTCGGAATGGGGATTTGGAGAAGGGAGTGATAGGTTCGCATTGTGATGGAGAAGATGCGAAGAATCGACTGAAGAAGCAAAGAGGAAGTACCTCAAGAGTTGGCAAAGGAATACAACAACATTCAAACACTCGAAGCGCAAAACCGGCGACTTGAGTCGTGGTAGAGCTGAAAGTCAAAGGAAAGGAGAATCCTATTGCTCCAAGCTACACGGTCACAACTTCAGGGACCAGGCGCTCACCTTCCTCGGGAGCTGGCTTAGGTGCCCCCATGCTCTGCAATATTTACCCGGCCGTCAAACTCCCGTTTCGAAGGCTATCAACGCGTTCCGTCTATTTGGACTTGGTAAGCTACCCCGCAGCTTTCCCGCAGCTTTCAGCTCGTGCGTGCACTAATGATTCATCGCGGGAGTGAGCGCCGACATCGCCAAAAGCCCACCTTTCCGATCAGTCAAATCCCAGATTCGATGTAAGGAAAACATTCATCCCCCGGATCTTTAGAATGGTAACTCGGTAGCCCGGCACGGTGCAGAGCTATGGAACGTCGTACGAAAGCTTCATGATAGGACTTGGGAATTTCAAGAACAATCGAGCTGGGTTACGCAACTTCACCTTCCCAGATATTCTAACAGCTTATCACGATACCATGCCCCCAAATCGGCCAATTCGTATCGGCAATGCCTCAGGCGCAATCGGGGACGGCATCGACCAAATCTACCGGCTCGCGCGCGACGGCGACATTGACGCCATAACAGCCGACTACCTCGCCGAGTTTAACATCGCCTGGAAAGCCATCGAAGTCGCGACATCTCCTGACCTAGGCTACGAACCAAATTTCCTAGAGCAGTTAGCATGGCAGGATGGTGCGGCCGCGAAGCTGATTGCCCAGCGGAGGATCAAAGTTGTGCATGATGGGGGCGCGTTGAATCCGGAGGGTTTGGCTCGGAAGACTGATGAATATTTCAAATCTTTGGGGCTGGAGGGCATGAAGATTGCGTGGGTGAGCGGCGATAATGTCACAAAGATAGTAAAGGATGGGAAGTTGGGGAAATTGATGCATCTCGATCAGAAAGGTGTCGAGCTGGGCGAGCTGCGACATAAGATTCTAGCAGCGAATGTATACACTGGTATGGCGGGTATAATGTCCGCACTCTCCACCGGCGCCGACATCGTCATCTGCGGCCGCTGTTGCGACGCCTCTCCTGTCATGGGCCTCGCTGCATGGTGGCATAATTGGAATATTACAGACTACCAGCAACTCGCCGGATCCCTCCTTGCAGGCCATATTATCGAATGCGGTGCGTACGTCACGGGTGGCAATTTCTGTGGCTGGCGAGAAATCGAAAACATGCATCACATTGGCTATCCGATTGCGGAAATCGCAGCGGATGGAACGAGCATCATCACCAAACCAGAACATTCAAATGGCGCTGTTACGGTCGATACGTGCAAAGCCCAACTACTTTATGAGATCCAAGGCCCGTATTATCTAAATCCCGATGTCACTGCGCGCATTGATAACGCGAGATTAGAAGAGGTGGGTAGAGACAAAGTGCGCTTGACGGGTATCGAAGGGTCCGCACCGCCACCAACGTCGAAGTTGGCGATTTGCCTCATGGGCGGGTGGCAGGCGGAAATTGCAGCGTACTGCGCGGGACTGGATACGAAAGAGAAGTTTGCACTGATGAAAGATCAGGTTAGGCGGGAGATTCATGACGCTGATTTCACAACGTTTAGTATGGAGGTGTATGGGAGTAGTCCGGTAGATCCGAGGACCCAGCAGGAGTGTACGGTGATGTTGAGGATGTTTGCGCAGAGCGAGGACAAAGGTGCTATTCAAAAGTTTAGGCGTGCAGTATTTTATAATGGCATGCAGGGGTATTGTGGTCTGCATCTGGGCATGGATTGGAGGACTATGGAACCAAAGATGTATGTCAAGTACTTCCCCAGTCTGGTGCCGTCCGTCGGTGTACCACTCAAGGTACACTTTGTCGATGCACCTGGCAATGTTCTCGATGTACCTGCGAAGAGGAAAGAGGAATACGCAACCGCCGTCCCTGAGCAACCCTCCTATGAACCCGAGAATTCTACGAATCTCGATGAGTTCGGGAAAACGGTACGGCGGCCATTGGGGGACATTGCATTCGGCCGCTCAGGTGACAAAGGCGGCAACGCAAATATCGGGCTCTGGGTTCGTGATCGCGCTGCTTGGCCGTGGCTTCGGTCTTTCCTTACATCGGCCAAGCTCGTGGAGTTGCTGGGTGATGATTGGAAGGAGCGGTATTCAGTAGAGAGATGTGAGTTCGAGGATCTCATGGCTGTGCATTTCGTGGTCAAGGGGTTGTTGCAGGATGGTGTTAGTAGCAGTAGCGTGCTCGATGGGTTTGGGAAGAGTGTGGGCGAGTTTGTTAGAGCGAGGGTTGTGGATTTGCCGGTGGGGTTGGTGGAAGCAGAGAGTAGGAAGAGGGAGAGGCGAAGAGGAGGGAGGTTGTAGATATTTGGTATACATTGACGATATGAAGAACTTTTTTCAATCGCGACTTTGGAGACTTAGACCTGCTTCCCATGAACGGCCTCGCGAAGCTGTCAGCACGGTAGAGAGTAGTATCTATCACGTGCCGTCGCTCCTGGAGGTTGACAGCCGAGCTGCCGGAATGCTTTCCCGCGACCGAGCTGCTTTCTCTTCCACCCGCATTCTACATTCAAAGCGGTCACTGAGCTAAAACAAGCTCAATGTGTTTGGTTCGATGTCGCCGTATTAGCCCCCGGCTTTTGTTGAGTCAAACTGTTGTTTTCTATTCATCTATCTCTCAAGATTCCTGCTCTGTCATCTATCACTGCATCTCGCTTTTCGCCCGTCGCCAGATAGAATAAGCTCCCGATGGCCTCCAAAAGCGATAAGCCTGTAAAAAATGCGTCTGGCCGCTACGACAATGTCGATTTCCACAAAGCCGTGGGCTTCAAACTTCCAACCGTCAAAGCAAGCTATAATCGACGCGACATTCTACTCTTTGTACAGTCCCCACCTTCACACAATATGCCCATGTAATACAGAGCTGATATCGCTTCAGGCAAACGCAATCGGCTGCACAAAGTCCGAGCTCCACTTCCTCTACGAATTGCACCCAAAATTCTCCTGCTTCCCAACATTCCCTATCAACCTCCCTTTCAAACAAACCTCCCAAGACGTCTACGATTTTTTCGAGCGCGCCCTTGTCACCGACGTCCCTGGTGTCCCGACCTTTGATCCAAAGCGCTCCGTCGATGGTGAGCGCGGGATTGAGATTCTCAGACCCGTGCCTGTGAGCTCTCAGGGTCTGGATCTGGAAATCAACGCCGAAATTGTGGGTGTGTACGACAAGGGTGGGAACATGATTCAGGAGGTGGTGCAGACAATGCGAGATGCAAAAACGGGCACTGTTTACGCGAAAATGAGTGCGAAGGCTTTTGGGATTGGGCAGGGTGGGTATGGAGGACCACGAGGGCCTAACACCGTCTCCTATAATCCTCCGGATCGGGCACCGGATGCTGTCCATGTTTTTCAGACTACCCCGGAAACTTGTTTATTGTATCGGCTGTGTGGAGATTATAATCCTATCCATGCTGATGATGAGTTTGCGAAACAAGGCGGTTTCAAGGGGGCGTTTTTGCAGGGACTGGGAACGTGGAATATTGCTGCCCATGGACTGTTGAAGGAGTTGGGTGAGAGCGAGGCAGAGAGGTTAAAGAGCTTCAAGGCAAGATTTGCTAATATTGTGTACCCGGGCGATGCCTTGGAGACGCGGATGTGGAAGGTCGGGAGCAAGAGTGGCGTGGATGAAGTTATCTTTCAGACGGTGGTGCGGAGTGATGGGCGGGTTGCACTGTAAGTTTTGCGAGCTTCTACATGACTGTAAAGATGAGGGCTGACGATTATTTCAGGTCAAATGGGTTCGCTAAGATTCGGCAGAGCCCTTTGAGGAGTAGTCTATAGATTTACATGAAAATATATACAGCAAAACGTAGCTTCTCGCTTCATCTTCTATAGCCTACTGGCCTTCCAACAAGGCTTTCTCTTCTCACTAAAAGCTTTCAGCCCCTCCAAAATATTCTCCCCCTTTTGCAATTCCGCAAACTCATTCTCCATTGTAATCGACACGGCTTCCTCCACAGCCGCCGACACCCAGCCCTGTCTCAATCCCGCTCTCGTACATATAATCGCATCAGGGCTATTCTCCGCAATCTTCGCCGCGTACTTGACCGCCTCCTCTACCACCTTTTCTTTAGGCACCACTTTATTCACAATCCCCCACTCCATGGCTGTCTGTGCGGAAATCGGCTCTCCCATTAATGCAAATTCAGTCGCACGCTGCAGCCCCACCGTTCTAATAAGCCTTGGTAACGCACCCCCTATTGGCGAAACTCCCCTCTTCACCTCTGGCAACCCAAACACTGCCTCCTCACTCGCAACCACCAAATCGCAGTTGACGACAAACTCACAACCTCCTCCCATCGCGAGCCCATTGACCGCGGCTATGACAGGCTTCTTCCCTCGCCGCCGACTCAGCGGGGTGAATTTCGGCGCATTGCCCATGCGCTTTGAAGGATCGGCATCGGCCGACATGGACGAATTCCATTCTTTGAGATCGGCGCCCGCGGAGAATGCGCGTCCTGTGCCGGTGATGATGGCGATGGAGAGAGAGGGCTCCGTATCGAGCCATCTCCACACACTGTCCATTTCCCATTGTGCGGCTGTTGACATGGCGTTGAGGGCGGAGGGCCGGTCCATGCGAATTAATAGGACGCGTGGGGCAGGGTAGGAGAGTTTAAGGAAGGTGGGGGTTGGGGGCGGAGGGGTGTTTGTTGGGTGTGGGTGTGGGTGTGAGGGCGACATTTTGGATAGGACTGAGGCAGGCAGAGCTTGGGAGGGGAGAAGAGCTTAAGGTTAAGAATAGTTCAGAGGTGAGAGTTGGAGATCGAAGAAGAGAGTCCAGGGAGTTCAGACCCCAGAATTTCTCTCATGCGAATCGAGATCCCGAGCCTTGGTCCTCGCACTACCCTTTCGTTCCCTAAGCTTCTCGATTCACTTACATTCATGAATCATTACACATATCCCAGCAGTCTCTGAATGTCTTGTGTTAGTGTCAAGAATCCTTCCGGGTTTTTAAATCCGAGGTTATGGTCCAGGATCCTCGTAGGGAATTGAGGGGTACGCTAATGATTCATTAGCACGAGCCGGGGTTAACGACGAATGAGATTCAGATCCAAGAGGGACTGAGATAGAAATGAATCATTGAGCTTGAATTCTAGGTGATGCTGGACCTCGGTGGTTTCTGGACTCTGATGAAGCTTCTAGGGTAAGCTTTTGAGGCTGAGGGCTATGAATGTTTTCATCGTGACTTGAGATTTCGAGCTTCAACTTGGCTTCTTTGTTAACGTTCCTTTCCCCAGCCTGTGCCTTTATTTGAGGCTTTATATCGGTGCTTGAAAGATCGAAGCTTTCAATTACTTGCTTAGACTTCACAAATTAATTCCTCTCCGTGCTGGTGTCCTCGAATTCTCTACTCCGAACCCGGCGCAATGACAACTCCACGTACAAAAAACCCTATACCAGACTGGATATCCACCCCCTACCCACACGTCCAACACTCGCTAATCACCTTTCCGGCGAAACATATCCTCCTCGTCACCATCAACCGCCCCAAATACATGAACTGTCTTCCCGTCGAAGCCACACTCGAGCTCGGTGCACTCTGGAAATGGTACGACGCAGAGCCTGAACTGCGGTGCGCCGTCTTCACCGGGGCCGGGAACAAGGCGTTTTGCGCTGGCATGGATTTAAAGCAGAGGCTAGATATCATACACACAGATGAGATTGCGCACGAGTATCCCAGTGGAGGATTTGCAGGGATGAGCAATAGGACGGGGAAGAAGCCAATTGTAGTGGCTTGTAACGGACATGCTCATGGTAACCATAAATTTCCTTTCCTAAATCTGCCACGGATTTTCTGACGTATTGGAATACATAGGTGGTGGCTTTGAAGCAATCCTCAACGCAGACGTCATCTTCGCATCTCCCAACGCCACCTTTGCGCTCCCAGAAGTCCTGCGCGGCGTCTCTGCGCTTGCGGGCGCTCTCCCGCGTATCTTCCTCCTCTTTGGTAACCATCGCGCTATGGATCTTATACTCACCGGACGCCGTTTATCCGTCGAGGAAGCTCTTTCATGGGGGCTGGTGAAGGAAATAGTACCGCAGGAGAAATTGCTGAATAGAACGATAGATTATGCAAAGGAGATTGCGAGCCTGAGTCCTGATAGCGTTATTATTTCAAGGTTGGCGGCGCGAGAAGCGTGGGAGACAGGTGTTAGCCGGGCGACGATGAGGGGGCAGGAACTTTGGGCGGAGAATATGCTGAGGAGTAAGAATGCGTCCGAGGGGTTGGCGGCTTATAGGGAGAAGAGGCAACCGAGTTGGAAGAGGAGTTATTTGTAAGTTTGGTTGTGTTTTTCATGTGTACAAGGTAGATTGGGGAAATTCTTGGCGCCAACTTTTGATTGATTAGCATGTTGCCATTAGACAGTTTCACAACATGGAAATAAAAGACTTAGATAAACTCAGCTCTCTGCTGCTGTTTGGAAGTGGTGAACTTTCAATAAGTTATAATTTCCCCTGCCGTTCCCTCGCCAGTCTCGCTGGCAGCATCCGCCTCAATACCTTCCCATTCCCTGACTTTGGAATTTCATCCAGAACTATCACACCTCCTCGAAGCTTCTTATACGGCGAGACTTTTGCGTCGACGTGTTTTCGCACATCCGCTGCAATCGCGTCTCTGTCCCTACCAGACGCTTTCGCATCCGGCGTAAGAGCAATATACGCAATCGGAACTTCAGTTCCCTGATCCTCATGCCAAAGCGCGCACACTGCACCCTCGCTCACGTGGTGATGAGAGTTGAGAATGGCCTCGAGTTCTGCTGGTGCAACTTGATTGCTATTTTGGCGTCAGTCTGAAATGGAAATAAAAGGACCAGGCTCTTACCCCTTGTACTTGATCAACTCCTTCTTCCTCTCCGTCAGCCACCAAAATCCTTCTTTATCAATTTTCAGGATATCTCCCGTTCGCATCCACTCGCCATCAAACGCCTCACGCGTTGCTTTTTTGTTTCTCATGTATCCCTTGAAGATACTCGGACCTCTAACCAACATCTCTCCCTGTTCTCCCTCTTGCACATCCTTGCCCTCCTCATCGACAACCCTCGCTTCGATGTTAGCGAACAGACGGCCCACAGAGCCTATCCGGTACGCCGATTCCGGCTTTAACATCGTGATATGCGTTTCCGTCATTCCGTAGCCTTGGAAGATAGGTGCGGACGGAAAGTGTTGATGGAAAAAGGTAATGATAGCAGGAGGCAATGCAGCACCGGAGCACATAATATATTTAACGCAGTTTAGGCGGGAGAGATTGAAGGTTTGCTGTTTAGCAATAGCTACAGCGATCGTCGGGAGGATGCGGAGAGCGGTTACGTTAGATTTGGCTGAGAGTTCGAGGAAGGTGTCGAGTGTGTAGCGTTTCATCAACATCGTGTAAGAACCGAGCCACGTGCCCATTAATGCGACAGTCATGAGGCCTAAAAAGCATTAGATTCAGGTATCTGGAGTGAAAATTTTCGCTGCTATACCGTAGATGTGACATAACGGAGCAAAAAATACCCCTCTGATACTACCATTCCAGTAATTTGGATCAGTAGCTCGGAGATCTAGTATAGAGGCGACGAGGTTATAATGCGACAATTCGACCCCCTTTGCCTTCCCACTCGTCCCCGAACTGAAGCATACAACTGCAGTATGATCTCTGCTGTCTCGACTTGAGAGATCAAAGGGAAGCAGGGATTCTGTCTGGTCGAATAGCAATGTGGAAGGAACAACCTTGAGGGTATTAGTAATTGGTCTTTCTCAAAATGACACAAGTGGCTGCGTAGCCATACATTCTTGAGCGAGGATTGGCTATCGTCGATTGAGATGGCCTTCAGTCCGGAAAAGTCTGGCTCGCTATTCACCGCGCCGGAAACAGTAGGCCAGGTATTAGCATCTACAGCTATAGCCTGAGGTTGGGATATATCTAGGCAGTGCGCAATTTCGTATTCGGTGCTCAGTGGATTTATCAACCTAGATTGCACGCCTTAGTATTCGGCTTCTCTTGATAACTACAATACGAGAACGTACACAGCTGTGCTTCCACACCATAAAACTGCATGTATCAACTTCACAACTTCAACCTAAAAGAATATTAGAAATCAAGCAGTTTGGAGCATTGTGAGATACTCTTACAGAGTTAGGCGCACAAATGCAGACCACATCCCCTTCACGAAGCCCCATCACGTGTCTGAGCCCATATGCTCCCTTGGCACTCTCTTCTCTAATACCAGAATAGGTAAGCTTCTTCCCAGTCCAATCATCCTCACAAATGACCTTGCCTGACTCCACATCATCGGGATTGTAGCGCTGAAGCAATTGAGAAACAGATACGTTTGTAGGGATCTGGGGAGGTGGATAGTTTGATCGGTAAACCCGGTGGGCAGCCATCGTGTACAGTAGTTTGTCGGTCTAAAACTCCCTGATGGGAACGAGACTGAGTGGCCAGGCCATGGCAGGTTTAAGGATAAGGCTTTGTATAAGGAAATCGGCAGCTCGACGAATTGCCGCAGTGATAGGGAAACTGCCTTCCTCGAAATGCAGCCAAGCAGCCAATCTCGCCCGCCCAATGGCTACCCCTCAGCCCCTTCAAAAGACTCCCAGTACTAGCGCAATATGCTGCCACGATGTTTTTTTAAAGGTAAAAAGGGAGATGACGTGAAACTAATGGGGCGCGGCAATGAATCACGTGCCGTCAGATGTCGGCAAAGGTTATCCAAGCGGAGTGGATCACTGCGGAAATCCTGCCTAACGATGTGACCATACTCGTTGAATGAGACGTTAAGTTGACAGGATTATTTCCTTTTCGAGCTATTCAAGAAGGCCTTGTCGCTGCTTACTGAGTTCGTCAGGGTTCAATTAAACTCATTCAATTGTTATCCATCATGGCGAGCTTCAAAGGCAAAGTCATCGCTATAACCGGAGGCGCTTCCGGTATAGGGTTAGAGACTGCGAATCTGCTAGTATCAAGAGGAGCGAAAGTATCACTAGCGGATGTCCGGGAAGGGCCACTTCAGGAAGCCGCACTCGCAATTCAGAAAATGGGTGGCGAGGTTTTTACCTTTAAATTAGATGTCCGGGACCGAAAGCAAGTAGATGCCTGGGTATCTGCCACAGTCTCTCATTTTGGCAAATTGGATGGCGCGGCGAATATTGCTGGTGTAACAGGAAGAAGCATTGGGGTTAAGAGGGCGGATGAGTTGGAAGATGATGATTGGGACCTCGTCATCGGTGTAAACTTGACTGGATTAATGTTGGTGTCTCTCCGATGAATACCATGGATCTACGTCTAATTGCGCCCGCTAGGTATTGCCAGCGTGCTGAGCTTCGGGCACTGAGAGAAGGTGGTGCGATCGTAAATGCTGCCTCTGTTGCTGGGCTCCAAGGCCGCACAAAGAATGCGGCATACTCGGCGAGCAAGCATGGAGTAGTTGGTCTGACAAGAAGTGCTGCTAAAGATATGGGTGGAAAGGGCATCCGCGTTAACGCCATTGCGCCGTAAGTTATCCTTGGTCTAATAAATCGAGGGATCTAACAAAAAATCTTCCTAGAGGAACCATTGATACGCCAATGGTTACCCAAGCAAAGCAACTGGCTGGGTTGGACCCTACTGTACTGAAGCTCGACAACAGCTCAGCGGCTTTGAAGCGACTAGGGGAGCCATCCGAAGTAGCACATCTAATAGCCTTCCTTCTAAGCGATGAATCTTCGTTCATCACAGGTGCTGTGATGTGCATTGACGGAGGGTGGAACTGTTGATAAGTTCGCTAATATTGAAGTAAGCGTATCGAAATCATTGGGTGGTTAAACACGTGACACTTACCAGATGAGGCCAATTCTACGAGCTGATAAACGTGCAGTTGTAGTACAAGCGGCCGTGTTGTAGCATGTTTCCCAAGAGTGAAAGTTTCTTAGTGAAAGGACAAGTACGGAGGCAGTCAGGACGACTCAAGAATCAAAGCTTGGGGCCATCCCAGTGAGTCAGTTTTCGGTCCTTCTCGACACCTCGACCGACACACCGGGATCCCCGGTTCCCTGCCAGAATCACGCCCCACAAAAAGGGCGAAGGGTCGAACCTCCAGCTGAGATCAGAAAGGAGCGTGAGCTTTTCATGCCGAGACGAGCGACGAAGCCCTGTCGTGGCAGAAATAGCGTAGAAATCGTGGAGTCCCCGGATGTCCTCTAGTTGGGCATCTTAGACCTCCTGTCCTCTTCTCCGGGACATCTCGCTTTACTAGCTCTCACAGGGCGTATATGATTCTCCCTTGACCTCTCCCTTCGTCACGATTGCTCTCTGGTCGTCACTCTCTGCCACCGACTTTGTAACCGAAACTATGACTGCGAAGAATTCGACCGAGACACCGTTTGAGAAAGGAGAAGTGATCGAAGAAGAGTACGCCCCACCGAAGGATTCCGACAGCCTGTCAATCAATGATGCAGCGAGAGGAGACAACCTCCCAGACAACTACTTCCTCAGTGTTTCATTCATCGGGACTCTTATTGTCAGTCAATATGCGTCTACCATAAAACAGGGGGTATGTATGCAGGGACTTTGCCTTGCACAGATTGCTGCATACATCTTTTTGATTCTCCCGACCAATGTGTTGACCTTTATAGATGAGGTATGTCGCTCGCAGGTCGATTCTTTTAGCCCCTACTTACACCTTCTTCAGGACATCGGACCAAGCAAGAACATATCATGGGTCAACATTGCAAGGACCTTAGGTTAGTTGCAAGTTGACCGTTCTGAAGCTTCGCTGACAGCTGTGAAGCGGAGAGTACCATGTTTCTGGTGTCTGGGCGGTTGAGTGACCTCTTTGGTATATATCTGATTGCAGTCTTCCTAGGGCAGCACTTTCTAATCGTTATAGGGCGTCGTTGGTTCTTCATTGGCGGGAATTGCGTCTGCCTGATTGGTGTCATCGTTGGGGCGTGTGCCAAAAATGTCGATTCGTTGATTGTAGCCAGTGCTGTCTATGGCTTGGGAGAATGCATCCAGCTGAGCTTTGGTGTGGCCATTGGAGAATTGGTAAAGAACAAACACCGTCCGATGGTAGTAAGTGCTCATCCCTGTAGTTATTCAGACCGGCGCTGAAAAGAGCAGATGTCGTTCATCTTTGCGACTTCCGCCCCTATTGCAACGTTTGGGCCGAAGATTGCACGTGCGTTCGTCTTGAATCCCTCATTAGGGTGGCGCTGGACATACTATCTCAGTGAGTTAGGAATACGAATTGTTAGGGATTTCTGGGACTTAGTTGAAACAGACATCATTGTCATTGGTGTGGCAATCATACTTCTCTTCTTCTGCTACCATCCACCAAACTTCCGCATGTTGCACGAGCATAAGTCGAAGAAGCAACAGATGAAGGAGCTAGACTATCCTGGGATATTCCTTTGGGCTGCTGGATTGGTATTGTTCTTGATGGGCATTTCCTGGGTACGCCGTTGCCCCTGAGGAGCGTGTACGAACCGCAACCGCTAATAGCATCAGGGAGGAGGCTTATATCCATGGAAATCAGCCTCCGTTATCTGCACAATAGTGATCGGCGCCATGTGCCTGATCGCTTTTGGCTTCTGGGAGGCCTACGGAAATACACGATATCCCCTGATGCCCATGAAGTTCTTCCGCAATCGGGGCTTCATATCCCTTGTTGCATGCGCCACAGGTAACCTCGCAAGAATGTCTGAGTCTTGTATTAGTACTGACGACGAACAAGTTGCATCCATGTTCTACTATTCGGCGGTGCTGCTGTGGCCACAGCAAGTCTCCACCATGTACACATCTGACATAAATTACGCAGGCTGGCTTTCGGTGAGTGACTCGATGGCCAAACATCGTATCTTATCGTTGATTGAAATCCTAGTGCACTGTATCCGCAGCAACGGCGCTTGGTCAAGTCGCCGCCGGCGGAATAATCAAGATCTTTGGAGGAACCCGATATTGGCTTATAATTTCTGCTTTTGGAATGGTTGCCTTTGTATCAGCTTGTGCTTCATTGACACCAAGTACGAAGAGCATGGGTATTGCGTTCACTATCCTGGGACCATTCTTCGTAGGGTTTATCGAGCTGGCTGCTCTATCTCTTGCACCACTTTTCTGCAAGGCAGAGGATATCGGCCTTTCATCTGGAATGCTGGCATCGATCCGGGCAGCGGGTACGTCTAAATTTTTCGTCTTGCTTCCGTAGCAGAAACCATCTCTCTGCGCGCTAGAGAGTGTTGGGTCCAGCGATCCAGGACTTGAGCTGACGTGAAAAGGTGGTTCAATCGCAGTTGCAGTGTATACGACCGTCCTAACCAACAGACTCTCGACGACAATTGCTAGCGTCGTTGGTGGCGCGGCTGTTAATGCAGGCCTTCCAGAGTCCGAGCTTCCAGAAGTGCTGGCTGCAATTTCGGCTGGCACAGTTGCAGAGGTTCCTGGAATCACTCAACCAATCCTCGCCGCAATCACAAGCGCTGTTCCCACGGCCTATGGCCAGTCATTCAAGACGGTATACCTCGCCTCACTGGGGTTCGGAGGTATTGCCATTGTGGGTAGTCTGTTAACCGTGGATCCGAAGAAGCATCTCACTGACAAGGTCGAACGGCGAATGCATGGCAAAGCTATTGGGGGAAACATCGAAAAGGTCAAGCAGATTGCAGAAGTTTAGCTGGGGTCCGAAGACTCAACTTGTGGAGGGTAGGCAGCTTTTAGCAAAGGTAAGAGCCTATCAAACACCGAGCGAGCCGTACATTAGTTAAAAGCTATTTACTATGCAATTTGGAGAGGACTTCCCATCTAGATTTGAGGTCAAAAATCCTGTTATTTTCTATTGGCAAACTACAGGGCGCGGTGACTTGTGCTGGCTTGAAGCATCTGAAGGAAGAGTGAAGGAAGAGTTGGTGAAGGAACAGTCGTGAAGTGCAGGAGTGGGGATCGAGTCTAAACCGAACTTGGCTAGTAAACCCCGAGCTTTGCCCGAATGAAGCTTGAGGACCGCCCTGGACGGCCCTCTGGGCCATGGCCGTATACTGTACCGACATTGCTGTTTCCCATGTGCCGTATCATTAAATATAGCCTAAGTAGTCACTTGGCATCGTCATAAGGCCCCAAAGCCGGCCCGCTCACTCAGAGGCTTCTCCCGGGCCGAGCAGCGTGGCCCCTCCCCCCACCCCCCCCGGAAACCTTCAGCCATCAAACAGCACGGTCCCAGCTTATGTCGTAGAAATGCAGGTCATGCTCCAGTAGTATGCCAGAGATGCGTCCCTTGTACCTGGGTCGATGTCCTCTCAAGAAAGCTCGCTCTTACCTGACCCCTCATTATAACTTCGTTCCTGGCTGCTATCTCTAGATCCCACCAACATGCCTTCCATTGTAGTCATTGGACACCTCACAGCCGCCAACAAGGAGGCTAGACAGACTGTGAGCAATTCACCCAGTTTTCATGAGTTCTACCAATACTGTGGCCAGGTTCTTGACGCCCTCACCAAAGTCAGCCAGTACTCAAAGCAGTCTGAGCCTGGCGTCCTCCGATATGCCATCACAGTTCCACGAGATGTTTCGGATGAGAAGTCGATATATGTCATTGAGGAGTATGCACCCTCTTTCGAACCCTCGTAGCCTCCGAATTAACACCAATAGATATGCCGACCAGGCCGTCCTGGATTCCCACATGGGGAGCAAAGCCGTCACGGACCTGATTGCCTTCTTCACGGCCAATGGCGACCTCTTCGGCGGAGCAACTAATGTCTCTACTTTGGAAACCTCGTCCGCCTTCGTCCGGCCAGAGATCACCAAATGCAACGATCCCTTCATGTGCTACGCATCAATTGACTACAAAGAAAGCTCGAGGGCGGATGCGCTGGAGGGTTGGAGGCATGTTACGTCGGAGACGCAAAACAACGAGTCGGACACGTTGAGTTACGCCATTCTCAAGGACAAGACGAATGAAATCACTATCAGTACTATCGAAGCGTACGCGAACGAGGCGTTTTTCAGGGAAGTACATGCGAAGAGTACACATGTTCAAGAGAACCGAGCCAAATATGGTGAAGGACATAGAACCGCTTTCAGATTCGCCTTCGTAAAGATGGTGGCGGGCTATCTATATAAGGATAAGAGCGGATCAAACCTATAGATTAACAATTTGAATGCCTACCTGCAGGCAATTGTTCGCAGCTCTTCTCAGCCACAAAAAAAAAAACCTACGAATAGCCATAAATACCCTTAATGATGTGTAGGGTCGGGGCGGTTAGGGATAATGCAAGAGATCTTGGGGCAGTGAGTTCCATTCTGAGCCGGCTCCTGACAATTGCTGGGACGGAAGAACTAGAGGGGTATTTAGGTCTAATGAATCATTAGCGCGTCCCTCGTAACGGGTCCCAGATGATGTACAACGCTGCGCCACCTGGGCACTCCCCACGCATCCTCTCACCACCACAAATTTGTCGGATCTTCTTCCAACCAGATGCGGCATGCCGCCTCAGACGCCTAACCCAGGGCGAACTAAGCAATCAGGAAAAGATCCTGAGGCCACCTTCATGCAGGGTGCTCAATACTGACTGAATTTCGAAACGTCCAACTGTTTTCTGCTGCTGACGGGTATGCATCTCCAACCACACACACCTCCTGGCCTGTCGACTGTCAGGTGCCACTGGATCTTTTAGGGTATACCATGGATATTGTCGGATATGCGGTTACATTAGCCTGACAACACTTATATACCCCCACTTTCTACTTTCTTCTGATACATCTTGCACTCCCCTTTGCGACTTGATACCCCTAGGTACAGTATCTTCTCGTTTGACTAATTCACTTCTCCCGCACCACTTTCACTTCCCACAATGGCTCCTCCAGTTGAGAACGGTGTGAGCGGCATAGTCAATGGCTCCAATGGAGTCAACGGCGCCAATAGCGCGCACAAGAGGCCTATCTACATTGCTGGTTGTTCTGGAGGTGAGATTATCCGACCCCGTTATGGTCTCTGGAACAAAATCTAAGCCATGCTGCTAGGCGTTTACGATAGGAAACGAGCTATTCATGACATGGCAAAGGTTTGGTTTATCGTTCTAATTTCCGAGCCCCAAGGTATTGACAGCCACAGAACGAGCCCCAAGTCGATGTGATTACTGGAGACTGGATGTCAGAGTGCAACATGACTCTCCGCGGATCTGACAAGCGGGATAAACTTAGCAACAAGCAATTATCGGCCGTTGGTGCTGCTTACGAGCCCTACTTTTTGGAGGAACTTGACCCAGCTATTCCATGGCTCGCAAAGAACAATACCAAAGTCTGCGTGAACGCCGGAGCAAGTGACGTACAAGGACTTGCAGATGCTGTCAAGGAGTTGATCGCGAAACACGGCGTGGATCTCAAAGTTGGATATGTTGACGGTGACGACGTCACGGATGCCGTCTTGGACCTGTACAAGAAAGGCGAGAATTTCCCAAACCTTCCAGCTGGAAAGAATATTCAGGACTGGGGTTATGAGCCCATCTGTGCTCAGTGTTACCTTGGAGGAACTGGCATCGCCGCATGCTTTGCTGGTATGTAATGTCTACTGTGCCTGATGATTTGTATGCTAATGATTGAGGGTATAGGAGGAGCCGATATTGTCGTTTGTGGTCGAGTCGCTGACGCTTCTGTGACTGTCGGTGCTGCGATGTGGTGGCACGGCTGGACTCGAGAGCAGAATGTCCAAGAGCTCGCTGGAGCTTTGATGGTTGGTGAGTATTTGTTCTCCCTACATGCGATTCGTGCATCGCCCGCTCATGGAAATTTGAACTACAGGCCACGTGATCGAGTGTTCCACATATGCTACAGGAGGCTATTACAGCGGCTTCAAGGACCTAGGAGTAAACGACACTGACATGGGTAAAGTCTAGGGTGCGCCTGTGTGATTGCTCTTGTTAACCGTTAGCATACAGGTTATCCCATCGCAGCAGTCGAGCACAATGGTGAGGCAGTGATCACCATGGAAAAGGTACTACCCTACCCTACCATTCAACCTTGAGCGCGAGAGAAAGCTTATTGCATACGCAGGGCCGTCACGGCTTGGTAAACACCGCCACTGTCGCTAGTCAACTATTGTACGAAATCCAGGGACCGTACTATTACAACTCCGATGTCACTGCCCAGATTGAGAATGTCAAGCTTGAGCAAGTTGGAGAGAATGCCGTTCGAATCTCGGGAGTCGAGGGACAGCCTGCACCCCCGACTACCAAAGTCGGAATCACAGCAAAGGGTGGTTATCAGGCAGAATTTCATTTTTTCCTCACCGGGCTAGATATCGAGGAGAAGGCAAAGATGGTTGAGAGGCAAACACTCGCCCTAATGGGAGAGCATGCCAAGAGGTTCTCGTGCCTGAAGTTCCAGATCGCAGGAACCGTCCCTCAAGACCCTCAGTCTCAAGATGAAGCTACAGTCGACATGCGCATCTTTGCGCAGACTCAAGACCCTGATCTTCTGTCCGCTGGTGCTTTTGTGGACTCTGATCGAGGCTCATTTGCTCGATTCTGCATCGAAAACTTGCTGCAAGGTTATCCAGGATCTACCATGACGCCAGATATGCGGCAGGCAATGGGACGCCCATTTTTTGAATATTGGGTTAGCTTAATGCCTCAGACATTTGTCAAGGAGACAGCTCATTTGCCCGACGGCATGGTCGTCGACATCCCTTCTCCGGGGCTGACCAAGGAGTACGACTTCAACCAGCCTTCATATAACACTCGCAACCCGGTCGATCTCTCGTCTTTTGGCCCTACCACCCGCGCTCCTCTCGGATACGTGGTGATGGGCCGTTCAGGAGATAAGTCGTCAAACGCTAACCTTGGCCTCTTCGTGCGTCACAAGGACGAGTACGAATGGCTCCGAACCATCCTTAGCGTCGAGAAGATTCGTGAATTGCTTGGGAAGGACGATAAGGGCAAGAACATCGATCGGTGCGAGATGCCAAACATCCTGGCGGTGCATTTCCTGCTGAGGGACCACCTAGATAGAGGGTTCAACGCGACAAGTGGGTATGACAGCTTGGGCAAGAATCTGTGCGAGTATATCCGGTGCAAATATGTGGATATCCCGAATAGGTTCTTGGAGCGCGGTCGTATTTGAGTGCGCAATGGGACCACCAGGATAGCATTCGTTAGGCGTTCCAATTTGATTCATGAATGACTGCAGAATCGTACGACTGACGAACATCAACCCCCCAGTCCTGTGTCTCTTCCTCGGGAGCTTTGATGATACCATTGGCTTGGCTAGCGCAAGCCCTCCAGAACGCTAAAGCAATGCATTCCCCATGACGGCCATCAAATTGCGGGGGTCGGATAATCGCCGCCGCTCGGCTGCACCCTGCTTTTTCCCCAGACCATTGAGCTGAACCCCAGTTTCATGAAGCTTGAATCCTTCTTTTCCTGCAGCTCCCGTGAGGCAGAAGTTTAATTCATCCATATGTCAACTCTTCTTGCCCTTTTCGAAACTCTAGCATACAACTCTCCCGCCACCCTCGGCGGGTCCCCAAGGCCGGAATGGCATCGACTACATCCCCAAGCGACACCACCTCCCCGGCAACAACCTCGACCCAAAACCCTGACTACGAGAACCTCGAACGCAAACGTGCCCGCGACCGAAAGTCGCAGCGCGCCATGCGCGAACGTACAAAATGGAACATCCAATGCCTCTCAGAGCAAGTCAACCACCTCACGCGCGCCCTCGAAATCGAAACCCGCGAAAAGTCGGACCTCTACAACCGTTTCCTGGCCGTTTCGGAAGAAAACGACCATCTCCGGGTCCAAAAAGCCGCACTGCAGCTCCGGCTGCTTGGTAACGGACAGGAACAAGACGGGTCGAGCCCGATGGCCTTGCTCGGGGCAATGCTCCCCTACGAAGCAATTCCTCTCAACACAACGCCGACGTGCATGAGCGACCAGATATTGCAGACATTCGTGGAGAGTCGGTGGGAGGCATATGCATTCCAGACGAGTGGGCGAATCGAGAGTTATCCTGATAAACCAGATCTGAGTGCCTTATTTGACGGCAGGCCGAATCGGAGGGTGGATGAGACGAGCGCGGTAGTGGGCGACATTGTGAGGAGTTACACTGAGATTGATACGCTGCCAAAACAGGTTGCTGTGCATTATGTTATGAGTACCTTGATGAAGGTATGGATGCCTTTGGATCTGGACGTGTGATGCTGACCAGGTGCACAGTGGCAGGTGCTAAGGACCAAGCAGAGCTTTGAGCAGATGCCGGAGTGGCTGAGGCCGGAGCCTGCGCAGCTTGAGAGGCCGCACCCTAGTTGGATTGATCGAATCCCTTGGCAGGTGACTTGTTCAATTACTATCGACTTAATCTCTAACATCTGGTGAAGGCCAAAAGTTCGAACGTACCTCATCGACCATCCTGAAGTCAAATTCGATGACTTTGCGTCCGCATACTCGACCTCCTTCCTCATTCGCTGGGAGTACGACCCAAACCACGTCATAATCACCACATCGAACAACGAAAGAGGAGGTATTTTAATAAATCCGATATATGAAGAGCATATTCGGCAGCTGAGAAACTGGACTGTGGAGGGAGTCTTTAGGAGGAAGTTCCTGGAGATGTCGGAACTCGTAGACAGCTACTCGAAGCCTGGGAAGTGAGTGTCGATTCGATTTTCCAGGGGCTCATGACTGACGGGCGACCTGCGATAGTATCCCGTGAGCGACTGGTTGGTTTTTGTTCGTGAAAGAGAAGTAACACTTGTGATCGAGACGGTCGATACCCACACCCTTGCGAGGAAGGAAAGTCGTGCGGGAAGATACCCCCTGGGTGTGCTCTTATCTTCACGTCCAGTCGCTGCTGGGCAGCATCCGGACTGAGTTGCTGCAAGCTATCTTCGCATTTCTGCATTATTCCGAGTTCGTCCTCGTTGCATTGCATTGGGAGAGAATTGAGGGAAACGCAGCATCAACGAACATTTCAGCTGTGCCACGAAGGGTTAAAAGCATTGAAGCAGCTGATGCGTCTTACGCGCGAAGTCACGTTGAGATAAGCATACCTGACCTGGACACTGGAAGCTTTTATAGCGAAATATTCCGACCACCCGGAACACACTTTTAGCACATTCTCTCACTAGCATTTTGCACCATGATTCCACAATCGCGTGGACATAGCAAATCTCAGACTCGTCTATTCCGCATCTAACGAAACCTGCAGTAGTTTCATGCAAAGCTGGATACCATTCCGGCCTAGATTCCACTTTGATCAACCACAATGGCCCCTCCTCACTCATTCTCACTCAGTCTCGCTCATTTCTTCTAAGTGACTAATAACGCCCTCGTCTACCAATACGAACTCGGCATTGACTTAATTTATATTTAGCTCCGCGCGGATGGTCCGCTGTTTTGGGCGACAAATTAAAGCTTGATTAGCAAAGGATTTGGTGGGGTACAACAACCCCCATCTGAAGCTCAAACCCCAACTCCGCCACTGTCTTTGGGCTTCAGGTGATTTTACATGCGACAGTCATGGGCAACATCGAAAACGAAAATCCGGATTTTATCAAATTGGACCTTCCGGCTGGTATGCAACAGACCATGCCAGTGGCGCCTGGGAAGCGGTTTAGGAGCGATGAAATCGAGATATCGCTTTGTGAACAGAAAGATGTAGACCGCATCGTAAGTTGTTCTGCCTTCGCTCCTTCCCATCCCATCCCTTCCCGCTCTCCTCAGTCTTGTCCCATTTCATTTCATGAATAACTCCTACTCCTCATGTCTAGGCCGAAGGCCTTTACACATGCTTCCCCGAAGTCTGGTGGTCTAAAATGGAACCTCCGTCAATGCGGCCGCCCTCTCAATCCACCCGCGAACGCCGCCTAGCAAAACGTCTCCTTCCCTCCTTCAGCAACCCCAACATGAACTGGGTCAAGGCCACCCTGGCATCCACTGGCACTATCATTGGCATAGCAGGCTGGATGGCGCCCGGAAACCCCATTCACAACATCTGGCGACGTTCTGCGACGGCCGCGTACAACTACCAGGAACAGATGTCCTGGAGCGATGAGGAAATCGCAGAGATGTGGGAGGGTGTGAATCTAGAAGCTTGGGAGGCACAGTTTGAGAAGGATGATGGCCTTCGGCGGGACGTGCTAGGGGACGAGGGACATTGGTATCTCGGGCCGCTTTTCACGTTCCCAGAGTTTCAGGGCAGAGGGGTTGGGAGGTTACTGTTAGACTGGGCGATTCAGAAGGCAGATGCTACAGTCCCAGTTACACCCTTGTATCTGGAGAGTGCGCCAACAGCCAGGGCGGTGTATATGAAGGTCGGGTTTGTCTCGGTCGGGGAACATAATTTTCTGAGGAGGGGACCGCGAGCGGTTAAGATGGAAGAGAATGAAAAAGGCAAGGTTGCGGAGGTCAAGGCGGTGGAGGATGAGGTGGAGGAGGCTGCTAGAAGACCGGATTGGGTGGGAAGTTGAGATATCGGAGATATTAGACGTGCTGCTGTGTAACTGGCCCACTCCCACGGTACATAAGCGCTGTAATCGCGCTCTCACTGGCTATTCCTGCATCCTTGGGCGTATATGTCAGCGCTAGGGCGCGCATGTACGATCTGTATCCGATCTAAAGCGGAGAACAACCAGGCTATAAAGGTGGGTATATAACTTGGCTGGACATCTACCCCACCTTAGCTTTCGCACACATCACTACACCTAACTGTCAAAGCCAAATCCGAACTCTCTCTTTCATCCGCTAATTCTCCACTATGGCTAGCAAAAAAGAAGTCATCAACTCCTCTTCAATCCCCACCCCCTTCCCCGTAATGCCTTTTTCGGCTGCCGTGAAATACAATGGTATGGTATACCTTTCCGGAAACATCGGCATGGATCCGAAAACGAATGAACTCGTTGACGGAGATATTAAAGATCGAACTGTAAGTCCCCTCCTTCGCTCCTTTGTACTGAATTATTCTGGGCATTAAATTAAAGGTAAATCTGAGTGTACTAATCAGGTGCCTAGAGAATGATAATGACCATCATAACGAATGTGCTCAAGGATTCGGGTTCAAGTATAGAAAATGTGGTCAAGTGCAATGTGTATCTGAAGGATATGAAAGATTTTGCGGCTATGAATGAGGCGTATTTGGAGTTTTTTCCCAAGCCAGAGGAGAGACCTGTAAGTCCGTCCATAATTTATAGCGCAGATTGAGGTTTGGAGATTCGGGCTTTCAAGACTAATAGCTAATGGGGGCTAGGCAAGAACATGTATTCAGGTTGCGGGTCTGCCGTTGGGGACGGATGTTGAGATTGAGTGCATAGCGCATTTGTAGGTTTTCAGGAAAGGGGAAGTGAAGAGGAGAAAGAGGGGTTATTCTGCAGAGAGCATCCCTTGCATAATTCAAGGCAATTAATGTAATCTGTTGAGGGTTTTGCAATTAGAGTTCTCGGCTTAGGTGGGAGTGTGGTGTGAGGAACAGTGAGTAAAATCTGTCAGCAGCTGATTACTTCTGTACTCGACCGGACAACCATACCCCAGGTCGCCCGGTATCAGTTTACTCGATTCCAGCCGCCGCTGCCGCATGCCGACCTTCGTGTTCCCGCGACTGCTCGGATGATTAGCGCCTCATGGTTGTCCTGGCGTTGTCTCTTTCGAACGCGCTGTGAGCCCCCTTCAATTATCTCGATACCCTCCCAATGAGCTGAGAATTTGTGCAATAGACATCGAAAACACTCTTTACAAGCGGTATCACTCGTCACCTCCCCTACAGGCCTCTCGGTTCCAACAAAATTCGAATCATCGATTGCTGCCAGGACGAGACTCACAGCCTAGCACTTTTATTGTTTATCAGATACCTCTTGCAGTTCGGACCCTTTTGGTTAGATGGAGCCATTGGTCCTTCTGCATGGAGTTAAAGCCAAATTGTCACTGTGACAACTTGACCCCGAGATATCCTAAACTCTCTACTTGTCAATATGTGAGTTTCACTCAAAATTTCTATATCAGTGTGCAGATATTGACCAAAGACTGAGCCAGCCTAGACGGATCATTCTGCTATTCACATTGCAGCACCATACAGAATTCCCAATGCTCGTATAGATCGTTACAGTATGTATCAACAGGCTGATGTTGAAGAACGAGATCATCAAGTGGGCTTGATAAAGGATATATTTCAGATGAGCGACGGGACTGTCGTCTGGTTAGGGAAAGCATACGACGATAGCAACCAGGCGTTCAAGCTCATCAAAGAGTTGGCGATGGCACCTCAGGATCGCGATGCGCCCAAGTGGCGATATCCTGTGTGTAACAAAATCCATCTATATGATTTAACATGGTGAGTGTTTGAGAAGCTCCTCTAGCAGCCTTGGTTCCATTGAGCTTGGGATTGTACAGGAAGAAAAGAGATATTGAGGTAGCTCGTGGCAAGTAAACTATCACGTGGCATAGCTCATACAAGATGTGCAATACGCTGTAGACCTGGGAGTCTTCAAGGCTTATGGGGGTGGTACTACATTCCAGGCACTTCATCTGTTTGAGACGCGCTCAAGATTTCGGAATTATCACCTACCCGCACTACATAATATCCAGCTACTAAAGTGATCGTTCCTGGCGACTAATGCAAGAGACAAGGGTTTGGACTCTTCTTCCTTGTTAGAACAAAGGACGTGCAGGCCATAGGGATGAGTCCAGATTGCAGCTTAGATGTTGAACAGCTATATAAGAATTTCACCCTGTCTCTTCTTGGGAAGCCCGATCTAAGCGCATTTAATTTGAGCGGTGTCCGCAATAAGTCCATGGGAAGAAGCCTGCAATCGTGGGTCTCGGACCGGCGAGCATCTCATCCATCAGGATCCTTAACACATCAGATTCTCCTGATTATGGTAACAATTTCTTTCACCATGTCCCTTGCCGTGAGGCCCAATGCTTCAAAATCTATTAATTCACCTCCTATCTTCAATCATGTGAAGAAATTGCTAGGCCTCCATGGTCTACAATTCGGCGAGACCGAAACGGTAGGTGCACTGTCACGAACTTGCCACCTCCGTCACGTCTCCCACATGTCTGGGCTCTTCGTAAATTCCACGACATCCTCAAGCTTCTTAAAAACTATGAATATGTAGCCTAGGCTTAATCATGGGGGCGCAACAGTGTCACCAACGAAAAACATCTCAATAGGTGCTGGCAAACGCTTTGCACTGGCCCAGACCTTGTATCCGCATGCAGAGATCCCCGATTCAAATACTACATTATGCTTCGCTCTCTCTACCCCTCTCTGCGCTTCACTGTGAGGTCGCTTCCCGCGATCGGAAGAAAATACTTAGTATATTCGCCTCTTCTACACTATGTTCCAAGCTCCGCGCCGCGTTATAGGCCGCACGCCTACAAAGACCTAGCGTATCGAGTTTCCCTGCAGAGTCGGTTAGCAATTATAGAATGATCTCGAGAAAGAAGAAGGGATGCGTTGCACTAGGCCAGAGACGGACTAGAAGGGGGGATCGTAGTGACGTATTTAGGGACGGTAAGATCCCTTTGGCTATAAGAAAAGTGGAGGACGTTTGGGTTTTAGTTAGAGAAACCTCTATCTATAAGCTAATAAAAGGAAGGGATGGAATGATATAAAGGCTGGGCTAATGCGGCTCAAATAATGGACGATCATATGGCAGGCTCTCTACTCTCATATATTATTACAAATTAGATTTAATGCAGAAATCAGCATCCTTATGACATAGTATCTAATTCTAGCAAGAAGCCTCACCCACCAATTCCACTCTATTCATATTCCACAGAAGGTGATAACATACCATGCACCAAGAACTCCCGTGCTATTCCCAACCCTCAACTCCCCTTCTCCTTCTCCTCTTCCCTTCTCTTAATCTCCGCAACCAACCTTGGATAAAAATCCTTCACCATCCCAACATCTACAAATTCGCTCCACTCCACAATCTTCTCGCCGGCTTCATCAAACTTCATCTTCCAAACATACTCGTTGTTGTACTCGCCAACAGGCGTTTGTCCGAGCGCGGTAACAAACATGACGATCTTTCTCTGCACCAAATCTTCGATGACGTCGTCAACGCGGATCTGGAACGAAGTGAAGAGGCTCTTCATGCTTGAGAGGTTGGCGAGATATTTCTATGACAGATACTTAGTATTCATAGTGGGGGGGTGGAATTAGAAAAGACAATACATACGGCATTCGATTGGGCAGGGAAATTGAGAGAGAGAGGAAGGATTTGGCGCATGCAGTCTGGAGCGCGAAGGGAGAGAATAGCATCGTTATCCATGTTGTTGAAGGCGCAGACCAGAGCATCTGCCGTTTGACGTTGGCGAGAAGGCATGGCGGCAAGCTGTCCCAAGATTTGAGTTGATGTAACGTCTAGAACGCCGAGAACGTTTGATGAAAAAGGTAGTCAAAAGCAATTGAAGAAGCAAAAAAATGAAGCAGTAGTCGTCCCATTGTGAAGAGCAGCGCTGGGAGTACATGTACTCAACCAGCTTGCAGATTGGAAGACCCTTGCTGCAGGATTAAGCCACAAAAGCTCCGGCTGAGTTTGTTCCGAGGGACTGGTTGGTGGGGGCGGGGTACTTGCAGGTTGGAGGGCGAAGTGGTGTCCAGATTTAGATGTTCCTTTTTACGGCAGCATTGATCTAGTTGAGAAGAGTAGTAGAATATTCTTTAGAGCTCTCTCTAATTTTACCAAGAGGATTGATAGATCTAGTCTACCCCTAGTCCCGTTCTGTAGTAAGTGTTGATATGCTAGCGGACGCGGCACAGATCAACGGAAGTAGTTTGGTGTAGTTGGCTTCGTAATCATCCACGCCTCATCCAGCGCCTTCACAACCTCGTCTGGCAAGGCGCCCTTCTCCAGATCTCTCAGATTGCCTTCTAAGTGAGAAAAGCTGGACACACCGATGATAACTCCATCATTTCCGCCCTTAGCTCTCGTTTTGAGTCCCGAATGGTGGATACACCAGCGTAGAGCGATCTCCAATAATGTCAGGTTGTGCTTTTGAGCCACAGGCTCGATTATCCTCAATGCCTCAAACGTAGCATCTTTGAAGTACCTGTCGCGATACATTGCCCCGGTGCGTTCAGAGGTCTTAGAGTATCGACCTTCGACTGGGATATCTTTGGTCTTATACTTGCCGGAGAAGATACCGCCAGCAAGAGGATTATAGATCACGATGTCGATCCTGTACTTTCGGCAGCAGGGAATCAGCTCAGTTTCAATCGATCGCGCTAATATATTGTCAGTATACGAATGTCCACTAGGATTTGAAACAAAAGAGAAGTCTGCATCCTGTTTCTGCTCCTACCAAGTATAGTGGACTAAATCCACCCTGCTAATTAACCGTGGTAGTTATAAATGCACCATACTTACTGATCGCATTATACATGGCCTGATATATCGTTGGCTTTACCCACCCCCTCTCTTTACAAATGTTGTATACTTCTGCAACCTCCCACGCCGCAAAATTACTTAACCCCAACTCCACAAACTTCCCTTCCTTATGCAACTCATTGACCGCTCGGAGCGTCTCCTCAAACGGCACTGAATGGTCTGGCGCATGCAGATAAAAGATATCCACCGAGTCTGTACCCAATTCACTTAATGACTTGTACGCATGCTCTTTTAGTCGCTCGGGCTTGTGAACGCCAGGTTCATAGGGATAGCATTTTGTGGCGAGAGTTAGACCACGGTCTTTCCATTTTGCGTCCTTTGTCCAGGCTTCTTGTTTGCCGCCAACGTACACCCGGGCGGTGTCGATTTCATTGTAACCTTGCGATTGGAAGTAGTCAAGACATTTGGTGTAGTCTTTAAAGTCGGTTATACGCGCGCCGGCGGATTCGTCAGGGCCTGGTACGTGTTAGTGTCTGGACTCAGAATTGTGAAGGAGAAGAACAGCATATTCGCGCCAACATAAGCAGGGAGGTGGGAAATGTTGAACTTATTGCTAGAATTAATAGGCGTATTGGGAGGATACAGATTTTTGCGCAGAATCAATGTATGTTGTACATACCAAATGTCATCAAACCGAGAATGACACGGTCCTTTGGATTCTGGGTAATCAGAGGCATTGTAGCACAGTACGAGCCTCCGTATAGCAATTGGAAGATTGCGGATGAAGTATACTGTTGGATTCTGTGATCAAGGTAAGATGATGTAACGGCTGACAGTGGGGTATGAATTCCCCACTTCAGGGATTAGGTAAGCCGACGTTTCTGTCGTCTACATACACACTGCACATCTAGAATCACAACAGAACATAGTAAGGAGCTTTTGTTTAAGATCCTAGGTTTATCAAGTGATTTATGACGCTGGCCTGCCCTGTTACTGTCCCGTGCAAAGCGCTAACATTTTGTACAGGGCTTTACCGAGTAAAGTATATATGCTCCTACCATTGTTTCTCAATAATGCAAAAACTAACTTCCGCCCTGCTGTAATGTAATACCCAATGTTCTTGTGTGGGACTTTGGGGTTAGCCAGCAAATGGCGAGAGAATGAAGCTGGGCACCATTCGCTTGGACTAAGCCTGCCGTCTGCATCTAAATAGTTCTAAGTCTTGGTAACGGGATTCAAAGCCGAATGCTTGAACTAAGGGGTTTCGACTTAATCCATCGTTATGCAGAGTCGCCTTGACATGACCTTGACAAATTTTAGCGGGAACAATTGTAGTATTGCCTAATGTACGCGTTTTCTTACCCACTGACACTTCCCCTAACTGCCAATGCAGAACACTTCGAAAGGCTGGCGTTCTCGCTCTAGCATGCTTAAGGCTTTTCTCGCCAAACCCTTCATTACATATCTTAGGCAAAGACCGCTTGCGTCAACCTAATCTAAAAGTTAACTTAATGTGAACTTAAGTTGTAGCTCAAGACATTGTAAAGTTGAAGAGGACCCGCGCTCGACGGGAAGGCAACACGGTTCGCGCCTTTACCGTCGTATTCTCCTTCCTGTTTGAAGCTGTAGGAAGGAAGGCCGGGAAAGAGATATAGGACCTGGCTGGATATGAATGAAATCCTGCAGTAGGGCGTAGCTCCCACTTTGCAGTACAGGCTTCACCCAGCAAGAGTCGCAGCATAACCCTCTTCAGACCATAGTCAGCCTTGAGAACAGATCGCTTTTCTGGGCCTTTGCCATATAAATAATAACGGACCCCCATGGGGCACTTATAATCTCCTATGAGTTAGGTTTTGATGTTTCCTCTCGTGTGCCAACTGACCTTTCACCAACTGATACTTCTAGCGCTAGGGAATAGAGGCCTTGCCGGCTCAGAGCAACGCTATTTCCTAGATACTTGAAAAGGTTTCCGAGACCTTGAAGGCATGGGCTTCCTAGGCGCGAACCCCGAAGGACAAAATCTGGAAGCTTCGTGAAAAGCCTCCTAGATAGATCGCAACCATCCGTCGTGGCTACTCTAGAGGGAATGTCCGGGGAACCGCCCTTGAGCACTCAATTCCCAAAAGCTAGCTCTTCAGCCAAATTCCTCGTGCAAAACCTCTATCGCTCTAACGACTCGAGGGTAGAGAGGGCTCCGATCTCGCAGGACAAGTCTTGTGGTAAGAATAATAAAAAATGAATCTAGGCCTCTCTACTCACCCCATCTTTCTTGCTAGAGATTCGCCCTCAGCCAGTCGAGATTGGCACTACCTCGCCTCGGTCGCGTATCCAAGTTGTGTTCCGAATAGTGTCTCCAGCCACTCGCGTACGGAGTATTGTCCCGGCTCTCTCAACCCACGATCAGCATAGTGTTCAACTTGGAGGAGGCAAACTCATCCTCGCCTGACCAACCCCAAACAATGGATGGTCCCTTGTCGGGCGCAATAACCCTTCCGGTTCGCCCGCCATTGCCCTTCATGGAATGTGGTGAACGAGAGTTCTGCATTGGTCGGCGTTCGGCGTCCACCCATGACTCCATTCGAGGCAGAAAGTGCTATTTCGAACTACGATTGGCTCGTTATGAATCCTGCTCATCGAACTGGAGTCCTGCTTTCATCCAACTAGTTTTCCACCATCATGACTCCATTGGAGAGAAAGTACTCTTACAATCTATGATTGGCTCGTCATCATCTCGCACTACGCCTCCACCAACGCCATCGAGTAAGGGGCTGTTCACAGCCTGTGAAGCAAGTGCCTTAACAACGCCGGATGTAAGTAGGAATTCGGGAAAGCAGGAACCTGCGGCCTCCCGTGCCGTCGCTTCAGTTTCTAGACAATACGCTGGAGGCTGAAACCAGATGAGACTGGACATTCACGCCTCGCTTCTTTCGTTGCCGGAAGGGGGCAGGTGGGCTCGCGAGGCAAGCCAATAATGCCGCAAGGAGACCCGATAACGATAAGGAACCCAGCATTAGCCCCAGACCTTCCCCTCCACCAACATTCACCTGCAGCTAACGTCCGCCATCACTCGCTGTCATCCGACTAGAGAGTTTTCAGTATCGTCATTATCCGTGCCCAGGATCGTCCCGCCCCGGCCCGCACAGCTTCTGCGCAGAACAGGTGCCACGTTGCAGTGCGCAGGTACGCACTGAAATGGCACAAACGGGGCATAATTCCGTCTCAAAAGGGCCAGTTCCTTCCTATAAGAACTGGGCGTCGCGCTCACAGCTTTCTTCGAAAAGTTTGCACATCTTTCTGTCTCAGCAAAGCCCTGCGGTGCGCCGGAAAGATGAGTCGATCAGCTGAAGGCCATAAGTGGTCACATGGGCCTGTAAGCCACCCCTCCGTGAACTTACGAATCAGTTGCATTCCCACACACCACTAGGTAGGCTACCGCTTGATTGGACAGGGCATCCACAATACAAGGTACTTTGTATGAATCCTTTCTTGTTTTAGCTCGTCGCCATGCAGTCGCATTGCTTTATTGGAGGTCGGCTTCACGCCGCCGGTGCAGCGCCCGCTGCCAGGCCATGCCGAACCGTGGGCATGCGCTGCCCTCCCTATGAGATCATGCTGCCCTATCTGGTTTCTCTCTTTCCTCTTCTTATCTACTGATAACCCGTCTGCCTTGCTTGAAACACACTTTGCATTCCTTGCCTGAAGCTATTGGTTCGTCCTCGTGCATCTCCATAAGAAGCTCCCTGCAGCCGCCCGTAAGTGCGGAGTACCCGGCATCGCGGCGGCCGCCGATATTCGGTCTCACACATGAGAACAGTCACCACCTATCTGAACTCGCATTCTGAACGCAATACTCCAGCGCATAGCGATCCGAGACCTGTTCCAGGATCGCTATGTGCTGGTGTTTCTCCTTTGGCCTTTCTAGTACCAAAAAGCGCAAAAGTACGTCGTCGGGGGAGAAGAAGAGACGGGAGAAGCCGGCTGGTGATCCGCTTCACGGAAATGGAGTCGCGGTCGTCACAGAAGTTCAGGAGAAGCGCAGATCCAAGGGATCAACTCAGAAGAGAAGGTCCCGGGAAACAGTATCAACGCGCTCGCCCCGGAGGGAGAGGGAAGAGCATCGACCGCGCTACGAGTATCAGTACAACGATGTGTACAGGACTGGGGACCAGTACAGACCGTCGCTGAATGTTCAAGTCCCCAGCATGTGGCAGCGCCCCGTGGACCCAGAGAGCACGAATTCTTCCCAGGAGATGCTCCTAAACCCGCGCCCTCACCGGAGTCCGCATCACAGACAGAGGCACCCAAAGCGTACGTCGCAAACGACTTTGCGGGGTCGCGGCGCAAAGCGCGACCCTCCTCGTCATTCCAAATCTAAGAGAAATCTACGGCAAGAGGCTCCACGACAGGGGTGGTCATTCTTCTCTCCACCTCCACCCAAGACTACTTCAAGACGGGACCATCATTATACTGCTCTTGAATCCTCCCCGCGCAGCCACCGATCTCCCCGACACCACCCCAGCCAACAGTATCAAGAGATTCCCGAGTCTTCTCAAGCTCAAAATCGTCCTCATCGCTCGCGTCAGTACCAGCGCCAGGCTCCGTCGACTCGCCAAGCCCGCTCTCGAACCCCGAACACGGCCGCCCGCCGCACGCCAGACAGGAGATTCGCAGTCCTTGCCGCAACAAACCAAGCCCTTGAAGACCTGCGCCGCGAAGCATTCGCGCAACCCTCGCCACCGCCTCGACGAGAGCGCTTGCAACGTTACCAGGGGGTAACACTACCCACCTCATCCATTCCTTTCAACTGGGACTGTGTGAGTAGTTCGCAGACGTCAGCCGGCTATGGAGAGTCAAGTACGAGGCACAGGCGAAGAGGGCGGTGATCTGAGGCTGTATTGATATTGGTGGCCTGGTCCTCAACCGGCAATTGTGCTTCCATGAGCTTATTGTCACGTGCACAACCGCCGAATGCAGGATGTGGCTGTCTGCTAGGGCTGAGACCTGCATTCAGGTTATTGCATTAAGGTTTCTCTCGTTCCTTGCATCTTGGACCTTGTCAAGGCATTATCTCTCATACTTTCATTGGTTGGACACCCGCATATTGTTTTGCGTCGTTTGTTTGGCATCATCTCGTCTTCACACTCGACTGATTGGATACCCCCTGCATTAATATTCATACTACCACTTATACACATATGACGGCGCGCAATGGAGTTTGAAGAGGGCCAGAGTTGGCATTTGGGATTTCATTTTGGAAGCATTGTCAGGGAATTGAAAGAGGTCCGGTCGGGTAACTTCTGAAGTACTTTGCAATAGTTGCTCCCGCCTTAAATTCCTTGCTACCTTCGTTCATTCCATGCTACCTACCTGTAGGAAAAGAGGACGTAGTCTACGTATTTCCTGAGTCAAACTGCAAGAAGCCTCCGATGTTCGCCAACAGCATCTTGTCTTCCCGCGAGCATCGAGCGAAATCAAAATGTCTCAACTACGAGAGTAAACAATCCCATGGGCTCAATGTCGAGATTGCAGCTGTGTTTGAGTGTGGTGAACTTTGTGCTTGAATTTCGCGTTCCTTCCCCCAGTTTTTGAGGTCCAGGTCGCGGAGACCCGCCACGACCTCTTCACTCAAATTCTGCATTACGACAACGTTGATCTTTAGAACTCTTCTTTGACTCCACTCCCCAGTAGCTCCATCCCAGCTCACCAGGAATTCGACAAATGCACGGTCATCGTCCCTCGACGGCTCAAATGGGAAAAAGGACACTATTTGCCTCTGAACCCGGATATTCAAGTTGGGATGGAGCTGTTCCAGTTTTTCCTCCCATTGATTCTCCGACCTCAGGCAAAGGTCTTCGAATACCTTTGCTTCCGCCTTAAAGCGACGTGAGAAGTAGATCGTAATATCTTGAAGTTTGGCCAGCGCCGGAGCAAGGCCGATCTGTACAGATTGCTCCATAACCCAGTGGGCATGAGCAGTAGTTGCGGCCGTGAAGTAATATAGGCTTTCTTCTCTAACCGATTTAGGGGTACGCATGACCAATGCTAGGGATTTGATGCAATTCAGCTTCTCTTCTGACATACAAGTTCCTTCGAGAAGTCGACAGATATTAGAAGATTCCTGGTGGAGGGTGAGGAATCTTGTGTGGCTGAAGGCGAGTAGGTTGGCTTCTTTGTAAACTTGTCGGCATGTGAGGAGGAGGGAGAGGTTGTTGACGACGGAGTTTAGGGGATACCCATTGGACTTCCAGGTCTGCGAGGAGAGACTGTTTAGGTGGACATGAGAGGAAAATACCAGGACGTAGATTTGATTCCGAACCTCGGCTGGGAGGGAAAGGAAGGGAGAAGTGAGGACGGAAGACATTGGGTGTTGACAAAATGGTTTGGGGTTGGATTGTAGATGGCATTAAGGATGAAATCGTGGTGGGGTAAGTAGAACGAGAGTTGGGTCGAATCCTGCGCTAGTCAATATCAAGATTAGCGTCGTGCCCTCTGACTAAGTTGTGCTTTTTCAGGCATCAACGCGCACTTCACCTCAAAGGCTCTCAGCCCAACATCTCTTCACGTCGTATTTCCTCCCCCCGCAAATTATACCCCAGAGCGTGCCTATCTGCCATGACACACTCTCATTTCCTATCCCTCCCGGCCGAACTAAGAAATGCCATCTATGTCTTCGTTTTTCCAACTCACGATCACCTGAAGAGATTAAATGACGCTGAAGCCGAGCAAAGAGATGTGCTCGATGTCTCAGGGCCCCGAGCCTTTCGCTGTGCAGGAAGGGACCTTGCGCTCCTGCTCGTCTGTCGCCAGGTGTATTCCGAAGCGCATGTTCTCGCCTTCAGCCTCACTAAGTTCTTAGTGCTTCATGAATCTGCAGAAACAACTCGTCAGGCGCTCATCTTTGCTAAATTTCCCACCGAAAAGCTCTCTTGCATCAAGTCCCTGACTAAAATCGTCCACACACCCTTTTTCTATTCTGAAGAGCTCCTTCTCTCGATCGTTCAAATGGCCCTTATACCAGAGCTAAATTCGCTTGAGGAGGCTACGCTCTTCTGCTCGCGTCCTCAAAGCTGTCGGTTACACCCTAGTCGCGGATATACTTTCTTCAAGAGTGATTATTACGAAAAGTGGTTTGCAAAGTATGCCTTAGCGCCTAAGGGTGATTTCAGGGTCACCGCAAGGGTGTTCAAGGACGCAGAGGATAAAATTGGTAGGAGGGTTGGGAGAGGAAGACCTATGACAAGACAGGAACATTGCGTAGAATGGTCTGTGACGTGGAAGGAGCCGACTGAAAGCGGAGAAAGAGAACGGAAGTTGACCATAAGATTGATAGAGAGGATGAGATATGATGCTGAGTGACTGCGAGGAAATCATCTTTGAGGGTAGTATTCCCCGATATTCGAGTTAATTCCGAGTTAAGGCAAAGATACGAATCTCTGAGACTCTTCGCTGACACCTCTTCGGTTCTTGGTCGAGAGAGGCGGAGATGCCCTACAGACAACAACTATGAAGACAAGAGAATCGCAACAGTTGGACATGCCACGGGCTATTTAAAGGCTAGCTTGCTGCTGCGGTACAACACTTAGAAACCATACTGTTAGTGACAATATGGCACAGAGTATGCTAAGTTCAGAGTTACATAGGAGAAGACTGCCGTGCCTATTACTGGCTCCAGGGGGCTCTTGAGGAAGGTACCTTCAACAAGAAGAAAAGCGGAGTGGTTGTAGCCATACTTTTGGAAGCCACGTCTTTCTCACGCTTGTGCTTAATAAGACATTCCGGACTTTGTGATTCATAGAAGGATTTGCCATGAAACACCTTCAATGCGCGTCAATTTTTGTATGCCAGTGTCACCAATCCATGAACTTAGAGTCGTTACCTGCATTCAGTAAGGGCATATTTGCTCCGCAGCGCCAATCTATACAAGTTTCTCTGTGCACTTCTCTTCCATCTCACCAACAACTCCAGTTAGAGTGTCCATATCTCCTCCCTGTTTGCAACCAATCAAGAAGCTCTTCACTAGACAATATGAGTCTTGAACCGGGTTTGCTGCGCCTACCTACTAAACCAAGGAACACGATCCACCCTCGTTTTCTTTTCGTATGACCATCCCCGAGCCGACAGGAGCGGATGATGCAGATAAAAAAAATCACCTTGAATAACCCCACTTCTCCTTGTATGTCGAGAAGTCTATTTAGAAGCTCACATCTCCGCATTCAGTCTCACAAACTTCCTCATACTCTCCAAGGCACCCAGGAAACCCACTGAACGCTACTTTCCAGAAACCTCTCCGCTGAGATAAAATGTTGCATTAATTCCATTACCATACCCACAGGAATAATTCTAGAGTAGACATCGTTTGTGGATACATTGCTCGTTCTGATGGTCCAGGCGGCACGCCGCAACTATGCGGTATCCAGGATATCACGATACTAGGTCGCTGCGATAAATACGTAGAGCTCTACACCTTCTGTATGCTTTGCTCACCTGATCACTATATGTACATTTTGAACGGGAAGCATAAGGTATCCGAACCGGCGACATTTCGGCTTGGCAGAAGGATATTTTGTGCGGTGAAGATAAGACAGGTAAATATATGTCAAACCATTATCGATCGCGCAGCATTAGAAGCAAATTAGGCGCTAACGAACAAAAGGAAGATCGTGTGGGTGGCTAGTCATAGGAAAGAGTATATATTAAAGAGAAAGAAAGGGAATGGAAACTCATCGTCAGGACTCGAGTGCTATGTCCTCCTTCAGACACCCTATGTGAGATGAATGAAAACTGTTCGACCGCCTCTTGGTTTGCCTTGCTATCCTAAGACAAATTTAGCTAAGTGTGACGCGTGGTATTGCTCCACAGAATCCACTGCACAGCGGGCACCATCGCGGTGACTTATGTAAAAGGTAGAGTCATACATATAGGATAAAGTAGGAAACGGGGAAAGGTGTGGTGTATATGCACGGCTATAACATAGGCTCACTTATCTACTCATAAAATGAGCTGCTATAGATCTTATTGCAGCTTGGTCTTGGAATGAGACGATATTCTCCCTCACATTATCCCATTAGCTCCCGAAACCTCCACGATCGCCGGTCCCGCAATAACACAATCATCAGTCATACACCCCTTCTTTCCGGTAATCAGCACATAACTCTGCCCATGAAAACCTGAAGGTACCGTGGTTTTGAACATGTCATTATTCCCAGTCAACGTCGCCGGAGTGAATGTTGGCCCTGTTACGCTGATCCACGCTGCATACCAGTTGACGTGTTCCGAGTTGGATGGTAGGCGTAAAGTAGATCCTTTGGTATCGAGCACAATTGTCGAGTTCGTCGTCACATTCGTGATCGAAGCTTCGAGGGCAAGCATTGGAAAGGCTTTTACCGGTAACTTTCCATTACCTTCTGGGCAGCTGGTGATGAATGGTGCTGCAAGGGTATACACTTCGTTGAAGCCCAACGGGGCATCAAAGGCCTGCGGGAATGACGACTGTTTTTGTGCCGCACGCAGGTATGAAGAATGTCGCGATTCGATGGTTAAGATGGAGCCGGCAGCAGTAAGGTAGTCTTTGTTCACTATAGAGGCTGCGGCGCCAAGATACGCGGAAACACCAACACCCTCGAGGATAGATGCTGTGGCAATGAAGGATGCAACAGATGTTACCCCGAAAGAGTACGTGCACTCTGCGACTGGTGTCGCGTTGGCAGCTGAAGGTTGTAAGCTAGAGTCATTTAACTTACAGGTTTGACCTACCTTTGAGAGCGCTAGTAAGGAAAGAGACGTGAGTCGTTTCATCGTATGAGACTTCTTTGAGGTTGTCGTAGAAAGTCTCATTGAAGCCAGCTTCCATGAAGTGTTGCAAGGTGAAGTTGGCGAGACCCTCACGGTAGAACTTGTCCTCTTCACCATGTCAATACGAGAGCATAGAAAAGAGATGGAAGGTATCAGACTTACCAAGATGCTCAAGGGCTAGAGCATATTGGAGGATGTCGACATCGGCGATGGCAGGCTTGTAAGGCGTGGGATGAGCGAAGGAAATGCTGGCTGTTGCCAGGAAAAGGGAATATGTGGTAAAGAGCATCGTTTTTACTGTTGCTTAAAAAGAATTATCGAGTTGATTGTTCTAGCTGGCTGGAAGAGTGTCGCTGCATTTTTATATTCCATTCCTTCACATCGGGCGACTCCACCGCCATCTACTATCTGGAGAAGAAAATTTCGTCCGATGACCCTCTGTGTAGTGAAGATGTCGAACCATACGAGCCGGAGCCCCCAACATCCGTTGAATAATTCAAACCGCACTCATTCAGCACCATCATCACGGACAAGAGAGTACGAACCTCTCCCCTCTGAATTCCAAATCCGAACCCATCAGACCCCAAAAAGGAATTCGCAGGTGCATTTGCCGGCTTTCTGCATGCTGCCTGCAAAGCCTCAGCCTCAATGTTTCGAAACAAATAGTATCGGATATCTGGCTCTCCGAACGATTACGGGACTGCGCTGGAGCAGTGCAGATGTTCCTGATGGGGAGAAATGATGAGCAGGAGGCTTGTTAAGCGAGCCAATAAATGGACGTTTGCGACAGGCGTAGATCTAAGGCCTTGTCTAGCGCAGGTTCGAAAGGCTGCTGTTCGGGAGTGAAACATTCCGGGGCGCACAAGAAGGAGAAGTAGGACCGAAACAAACAGGTAGATTTCTGAAGTGTGCTTTCTACTGGACTTTATTTTTGACTTGCTGAATCATCTTGAGGGAGGAATATACAAAAAGCCATAACCAGTCCATAGACAGAGCCCATATCAGGATTACTAAACCCACAGCTGAATCAGCTGATGCCTTTTCCAGCTTAGCACTTGCTGGTTTGCCAAAGAGGCTGCTATAGTGTCATTCTCGCCCAAAACGCAAACCTTTGCATACCCTTTCGAGCTCCCTGCCATCTTCCTCCATATTTCTATCACCTCCTCCCAACGTATCTTGCTGATCTTCCAATCTACCACCGTTCTCTTCCTCGTCAGCCAGCCCTTCTATCCGATCGTCTATCTTCAGCTCACTGTTCAATTTTACTATGGCAGTATAACCCGTTTACGATGCGGAAAGGCCTTGGTACTAAGCCATAATCACCAGACGAATATTCCTATAATTCTAAGTCCCAGGAAGCTCACTTGCCACCTTGAGTCCATGAACCCTAGGATGGGTCAACATACTGTGCAAGCTAAATCCAGTCCCAGCTTCTCTTCTTCCTCCCAACAGCGGAGCTTGCGTACGCCCCTTTCTTTGCCGTCTTCGCCCCAATCCTGCACAGTCCCACTAGATGGTGTACGCCTCGATCACGCCATCAACCACCGGCACCTCATCCCTCACAACATTCTCAACAGTAGCTTTCATATTCGTCATACCGGTGCATCCGAGAGTGAGTATATCCGCTCCGCCATCTACCAACTTCTTCCCCACTTCGCATATGATGCCGAGAACCTCTTTCTCGGGTCTCGATTCGAGCTCTAGGACGTCGAGATTGCAGCTCCCGACTCCGACACAAAGGCATCGAGGCCACAATGCCGCATTGTGTCTTCCACCATTTACTTTAAACGACTCGAAATGGAATGATTGCGGAACTACTTCCAAGGGTACGAGCAGCCAGCAGCGAAGCTTCCATAATTCCTATGACGAGCCTCCATAATTCTTCCGTCAGGATCCGTATCTATGAGTAATCAATGTAGCAATCAACGAGAAAGTCGTCGAATTGATCCGCAATGGGAATAATAGCCCGGGCAGCTGTGGCTCCAGACGTGATGTTATCGAAGTTTCCTTCGATGGATGATGGAGCGGGCTTGGGCGCAGTGAAACCGTACACGAAGACGTTAGGGAGTATAGTAGGCCGAACCATTCCTAGACACGCGTCTGTCATGAGTTCAGTAGCGTTTAGATTGCAGAGAAGGGTGCGGTAGGTTTTGGTGAAGGAGGGCCGGAAACAGACCGAAGTAATGTTGAGGACGATTCTGGGCCTGTCTGATGTCCACCCAGTGTTCCGTTCGTCCCGTTGGCCATTCTGAGATGGGGTGGATCGATGACGCTGACTTGTGACGTCAAAAGAGAGCAGTATATGACTTGTTAATGCCTCCCAAAGTCGAGTGTTCTGGCCTTGCCCCACCTGCACCGATCCAGGTCGCAGTCTCCAATGATAATTCCGTCTTCATCCGTCATGCTCTCTGCGATGACCTTCCCATGCGGTCTAATAATGGTTGAGCCAGCGATTAGATTGTAATTCCCGTCGTCCCGTCCGGACTTCGCAGCGCTGACAAAGAAACAAGCATTAGTATATGAATGAGCCTGCATCACCAACTTATGATGAGATAATGCCATCTTCTCCGCCTCTTTCGGATCTTGATTAATTGATGTTCCCCAAAGGTAAGGGGCGAAACCAGTTGTATTGTATCCACAGAAGACCATCTCGGCCCCTTGTAGTCCCAGAGCCTTCCACGCTTTTGCCTATCGACAATCGTTGCATATCCTCATCCCGAATAAAGGCTCCCCGCGCTCAGTTGTCGTTTTTGCTAGATCAGGGACACGGAATGCATGAAATCCTAATCTCTCTGCTTGAAGTAACGTTTCTCGAGCTGATTCGTAGCTTCGGGGTCTGGAAAAAAGTTCATGGTCTCCAGGAAAGTGCACCTTCCAGTATTTTAGACAACATGGACCCAGACTTTGTGCGATAGTATATGCAGGTATTGTAATGCTCGCCAGCGTCAGACGCCTCAGCAAAGCCAATGCAGATGTCAACTCCCAATTCCTTTCCCTTTTCAAATATAACTCATGTGTTCTCATCAGTCGTAATGTCGCCATGTTGGAAGACTGACTTCAATTGGGCCTTGTACGCGATGAAGTGATGTGGGAAGAAGGCCGTCAAGGCACACTCGGGGAAAAGGACCACTTGCGCTCCTCTTGAAGCTGCATCTTCGGGCAATTGAACCGTGCGATCAAGAGTCTTCTTGTGGGCATCGATGAGGTGAACGGCGCCAACTTGGGGGGGGAGGCGATGCGGATTGTGTGAGCCATCGTGGTCAAGGCGGGAGGAGGTAGGAGAGCTGCCGGGCTCCTTGAGGGTCTCAGAGCCGTATTTGGAGAAAAATCGAGGGCGTTTTGGGTATAGCAAACTCCATAGCCGTAGCTGATGGCCTATCCTGCGAAGGGTTAGATGGTGCTGAGGTCGGCTTGATAGGCAAAGTCCCAGCTTGATCAGAGCTTGGACTTTTTCGAGCTTGGACTTTTTCGAATCGGAGGAAGCACCGACTAAACACGAGGCCTCCACTAGAACTGAACCTATGAAATCGACTTATATACGGATTATGGTTACCACTACAGAGGATGCTTAATACTTCTTTAAATTCTCAAAGATTTATCAACGGTACCAGTGTGATAAGTCACGTGATCTTTAGTTCTCGTCTCCAAAGATTTGTTGCCTTGACTGCACTTCATATACTGACATGACTTCAGTCCCTCCTTTCGAAATAAACCCCTCCTTCTACATCTTAATGTACTGTAAAAAGGGCACTACTGCCTTCGCAGTCTTCAGCCGCCCCCTTGCATGAACGAGGGAACGTCTTTCCCATATTATAAGATGGCTTGTTCTCAAACTCTATTTCTTTATCTTTTATTCCCAATTTCCTTACCGCGAAGTTCGTAGGGTGTGCATCATTATCACGAATTATTCAGCCTTCACCAGCCTTTAAAGGGTTCAGGAACATGTAGAATTTTGTCAACTACCTACTCTAATGCAACACATGGAACCAGAGTACCAAAAAAGGAAAACTACCACTCTCAAAGCCTCTTCCATATAGTTAACGACCTGTTATGCTTATATAGTTTGCCTTCTTTCTTCGAAAATTTCCTGCTCTATTCTTCAGCAACTTTTCTATTTCCGCAAACTCCTTCGAGGAATCTATCTCTTCGGGGCAACCATCTGGCTCCTCATCCTTCACATGGGAAGTCCAATCACGGAATCGGCTCATGACCAGTGTGCTCGGAGGAAAGAGGTTTACATACCCTTCGTCAGGAGAATGGGCAGAGGATGGCGCAAGGTGAAACTCGTCGTCTTCCTCGTGCTTATTGATGTCAGTCTGTACGAACGGATCAAGGTTCACACAGCCAATTCCTGCTAACCTCTGACTTGGGGGAAGTGTTTGGCGTATTCTGTCCAATACTCTTCCTACGATAAAAGTACCCAGTTATTCCCTTTTTTGGCCCAGAGGCCGCGGCTCGTGCAAGGGCTGTGATTTCTAGATATTGTTAGACGTAGGACAAATCTCGACATGCTAGTAATTACCGCTGGCTTTCTTTATTGTCAGGCCTTCATCATTTTCCATCCAGAACTGACATTAACCCTCTTATCAGTTTCATTGTTCGTTCGTCGTAAAGTTTCTCCCAAATTCCGGCGAGTAACATATTGAAATGAGGGCATTATTACCGTTGCGATCTAGACTTTTATATTCGAAGGGAAACACTTCGCAGGTGATTACTTGCCAATTTCATTCCAGATGACAAGATATGAGACAGCAATACATATCACACGAGGGTCGATTCTCTGGTGCATACTGGGATACCGAGCTTCTTACATTTGCTCTCATCGACCTGTTGAGATGAATCTATCGTAGTTCCATAGCCTGACCATAACCGATTCGGTAAAGGCTAGCTTGCATATAGTATTACCAGAATACCTACTTTGCAAGCATGATCTGAGGATATGGAGGAGGTGGGTTTGCTGAAAAATTGATGAGCACTCTACTGTAATGGCCCATGAACTGAACTGTAAGTTCAATTGCTAACTCCATGGTAACAGGAATATTGCGGTCGGTTTTAATATCGACTTTGTTCACCCTGTCCGCTGGCTCTGTCTATCGCTTCAGGGAGCTACTTTTGGAGATGACTTGAAGCCACCTGAGTTTGGGTGAAGAAACCCTTCCGCCTAGCTTTGCGACTGCGATATGAAGGTAATTATTGATCTTCTATTGGCGAAGAGACTTATGCGATGGAAATGTTATAGGCGGCGTTGCACCCTCTACGCGAAGCTTTGTTACTAATTGGGGCTTTGCCTCTTCAGAAGGAAAGCCCATGCTTTTCCCACAGACCAAGAAGGGGCAATTGTGCTCCTCGCGTCCTATAACTAGGAAACATTAGAAACGTCCAATCCTGAAATTTCCCATAGTTACCAGCTCTAGCGAAGACCATATCGAACCTGACGAAGACTACCCTGCTGTGCTATGTATCTCCGTGGCATACGATAAGTAGAAGATAGAAAGGATAAAAGACTGTGGGCACGAAGGTACTGAGTTCATCAGATATCAAAGTCCGTCTGGAGACCACATAATGGAACAGCTCAGGCTCCCCGGTCCAATAGAAGGGAATGTTAGTCGAAATGGACAGCGAAACATAGTCAATGAAGCCGACTCCTTCGAAATCATGCTTAATAGAGCCGCTCCTGAAAAGCTCCAGCGGAGAAGAATTTCAGAAACATAGATTGAGCCGGCCGGGTAAGATGAATGATCGTAAAAGGTTCCAGAATCTAGAGGTGCATTAGGTGAGTGTGTGTTCACTCTGTCAGGGCGTGCGCGTTTAGTCGATAGCATGTTCACTCTACAGAATTCCCTCCTGAAGCTCTGTGCCTTTGATTCTTGTGCGCAAATCAAGTACCATGTAGATCGGAAAGTGGCCAAAATCAGACTGTTGCTTATGCATCTGTACTTCTGTCTTTCGCTGAGGGTCTCTGTCCTTCGTCTACTCAACAAACATTTCACCATGTCCCATCGTGCGAGTTAGCCGCTAGTCTTTTAAGTTGTTTTAGGGTGTTTGCAACACACGTGCCCTATTTTTCTTCTCAATTAGATTAGTCTTTCATTATTCTTCGTTTCTCTGTGCCTGGTAGCCTTGCTTCCACTTCCCCGCCGGCATAAGACTTTACAAGCGGTTCAATCTTTCGCCATACTACTAGGAAATTTGAAGTTTGAAGGGACGTAATTGAATCTTGTCTTGTGAATTCGTTCTAGAAATAGCAGATTTTGGATGACCTTCACTACCCCACGTTTCCAACCCCGCTACTATAATGGTGAGGTCGTGATAGTATCAAACGACCGGTAAAGCTCTCTAGCTTTCTCAAACACCTCCAACAGAGGCCACAGTATGACCCTTTCCGTAGTACACACAAATGGTATGATAGGCCAGATCTCGCAAACTATACGATGATGTTCATCTTGATCCCTCACTCAAGCCCAAGAACTGCCAGATGAAAGGGACACCGTAGGATTCTAAAATCCTCGTGGAAAGACGTGAAAATCCTCGATAGCATCGGTCGCGACCCATATAAAGGGGATGTCTACATTGAAGGTGCCGTCTCACTCTTTGTATCAACCTTGCGTGACTAAAACTTAGGTGGGAGATGCCCACGCACACACTTTACATAGAACGAAGGAGACCTGGGCGAAGAAATATCCTGACTCTGGAAATACCACGTAATTTAGCCGCGCATCTGCGAAAGACAGACTGTATCATACGCGATGCGATCAACAACGGCGATCCACCTGGCCTACGATACTTTGCAAATGGTCAAGAGATAGAAGTCCAAGATGGCTAACTCGTTCCTAGCATCACAGCATTTACCAAAGGACCGCTCCAAATGCGAGAGATGATTCGTCATCACATCAAAATCGGCGTTGACAAGATGAAGCTCAGTATGTCTGGCGAAGGATTTTCGAGACTCATAGCGCGTAAGATTGTTCGCCTACGAGGAAATTGCTGCCTGTGTCGATGAGACACACCGACAAGGTATCAGACTGTGTGCCCACGCCCGAGCTCGAGACAGCGTCAAGATGTGTGTGAAACATGGAGTCAATATCATCTACCACACTAGCTAGGTTGACGACGGAGGTATGGAAATGCTAGAATGTAATATGCACAAGCACATGGTTACCCCAGGAATCAACTGGCTCATCAACACACTTTATGAAGCCGAAAAGTTTGGTTATCCTAACTCCAAAGCTGAATAAATAGGCTACAAAAACAACTTGGCGTAGCAATTGAGAGTCAGTGAAATGTACCGCTGAGGCATCACCGTACTTCTCAGCGACGACTACAGCTTCACCTGAACGCCTCGCGGTAAATATGCGTGGGATATCGATCACTTTGTCAAATCACTTGGAATTACGCCGACGGAGAGCATTCTTGCAGCCGCAGCCAGCGTTGCCAAGCTTTTCATGCGAGAAGTTGAACTAGGCAAAATCGCGCCGGGATACCTTGCCGATTGCATCCTAGTTGATGGAAACCCGCTTGACGACATTTCGATCCTACAAGACCACGAAAGTCTGAATGTTATTGTTGTCAACAGGAGAGTGTGTAAGAGTTCGTCAGCTGAGTGTTTGAGATTGGAGCCTTTGATTGCAGGACAAGGAATGATGGAGAAGCCACTGACGAACTATATTTCGTACATCGTAAATGACGGAACGAAACGCACCCGAATCGGACATTTGGATCCTGAAAAGAGAACTATTACTCCCCTGGCCTATGCGTCCGGAACTGCTCTGTCAAACTTGTATGAAGTCATTGAGATCGGCCCCGAGGACATTATAGCAGGCGACGATGCCATCCCATTAGACACAGTCAAGATCCTACCTCCATTAACAGGCCGAGATGTCCTAGCTATTGGGAAGAACTACTTGGAGCATGCTAAAGAATTCAACGCAAGTGGCTACGATGCCAGTGATAATGTTGACATGCCATCTCACCCAGTGGTTTTCACGAAACGAGCGACTTCCATCATTGCTGATGGCGAGGAAATACTTCCATTGCCAGACTTTACTTCAACACTGGATTATGAAGGTGAGGTTGGAGTTATTATTGGAAAGAGGGGATATAGAATCTCGGAAGATGATGCTGGGAACCATGTGTGGGGGTATACGATTATCAATGATGTCACTGCAAGGGAGAAACAAAGAGATCATAAGCAATTTTATATCGGAAAGTCGGGAGATACCTTTTGCCCTATGGGCCCGATTGCAGTTCCGGTGAAGGAACTACCGAAGGTTCTGAAAGTCCAGACAAAAGTCAACGGGGAGTTGAGACAGCAGGGCACGACAAACGACTTGATATTCTCGGTGAACAATCTCATCAAAACGCTTTCGGAGTCTCAGACACTTCAACCAGGAGATGTTATCGCAACCGGAACCCCAGCAGGTGTAGGTTTTGGCCTCAAGCCTCCCAAATTTCTACAACCCGGCGATGAGGTTGAGATATCTGTCACCGGGCTCGGAACCTTGCACAACAAAGTCGCGGAAACGAGCAGTGCGAACCACGTCCAAGCCCGTCTCCCCCAGTTTCCAGTAATCCCCATCCACAACCTAAGCATTACGAACGGAGGACAAGGCCTCACAGGCCTGCCCAACAACAAGCTCCTCTACATCCAGACCATCGGCCCAGAAAACGGTAGTCCTATCGTCTTCATCCACGGCCTAGGCGGATCACACACATACTTTACCCCACTAATCAATACCTTGAACCTCCAATCTACCCATCACTGCATCCTGCCCGACCTCGAAGGCCACGGTCTAAGCCCTACAACAGCATTATCCATCCTCTCCATCCAATCCTACACCGCAGACCTCCATGCCCTTTTCCGAACCACCAAATTCGCCTCCCAATTACAAGCCGGAGCCACAATAGTTGCGCATTCGATGGGCAGCTTGATTGCGCAAACCTTTGCAGCACAGAATCCCTCTCTCGTAAAATCTCTGATCTTGATCGGCCCTCCGCCGAATCCGCTCCCGGAGGCTGCAGTCAAGGAATATCATGCTCGTGCGAAAGCTGTGCGGGGTGGTGGTATGAGGGCAGTTGCTGAGACGGTTGCCACGGCTGGAACTTCCCTGAAGACGAAGGAGGGGAAGCCGCTGGCATATGCTGCGGTATTGCAGTCGCTGTTGTCGCAGGATCCGGAGGGGTATGCGAAGGGGTGTACGGCGCTCGCCGGGTCTGGAGATTGGAAAGGGAGGATTGAGGCGACGAAGGTGGGGTGTAGAACTTTGGTGGTTGCGGGGGATGAGGACAAGGCTAGTAGTGTTGGGTGGTGCGAGGGATTGGTGGAGGGGATGGTAGATGCGAAGCTAGAGATATTGGCAGGTGTAGGGCATTGGCATGGGTTTGAGGATGCTGAGGGGTTGGGGAGGGTTGTTAGGGGGTTTGTTTAGGTGAGATATTGGACAGGGTGAAGAGAAGAAAGAGGTAAGTCTAGGATAGGTGTTTTGTGAAAGCATGGAGCAATGTTGAAGCCCTGAAGGTGGCGATGGAGAGGTTTTCAATGAAGTTCACATCTCCCAACCTTCTTGCCAAATTTAGGGACATGGTCGAAGGGATCTAAGCTTCTGCGCATGAATCAAGTTCTGTTGTCGTTCAAGACTTATTGGGCGGATATTGTACTCCTAGGGCGATTAAAGACGATATGTCGACTCCTTGATCAGGTGGACTTCTCGACAAGGAAGTAGCTAAATAAGTCCTTTCTGATGCCCAATAAATGATACGTAAAGATCGAGTATAGTGTCACACGCCCATCCCAAACCCATTTTCCCTTGACCCAAGATTGTGAACTGTTAGAAGCAAGAAATATATACAACGAATGCACTTACTAGCAGGCATAAAGGCTCCAGCTACCGGTGTTGAACGACCGATATCAAGCCCCAAGATTCCCTGACATGACCCAACTACAGATACGGATACATGTCTGAATGTGCCCTCGGCCTCCCGAATCCGCGCTCATTTTCCATCCCCAACCACTTTCTCTTTCATTTCCCTCGTCTTCTCCTTCACCATCTCCGTGACTCCCTTTAGCTCTCCCTCAGCGCCCCCAGCGCCCTCGGCGCCCTCAGCACCCTCGGCGGCTCTCATCCTCCTCGCCAGCCTCGCCTTAAACACCTTGTCCTCCTCATCCCTCGCCTCCAACTCCTTCAACCACCGCTCCCTCTTCTCCATCCTCTCCTTCTCCGCAACCAGCTTCTCATACTCCTTCCGCTTCACACGATCCTTCTGCCAGTACATATTCCCGGCCACCAATACCGCGATGGTGAAGGCCTGCGCGTACAACCTGCGGCGGAAATAGAGATTTGTCATCTTGTGATTGCCTCTTTTCATAGACCGTGTTGCGCCAACAATGGCCCAGACGGTGAGCCCGCAGCCGAGTGGAATGAGGGGCTCTTCGCGGAAACGGCGCCATATTTTTCCAGCGCGGGATTCGTCGTAGAACTCGCTGCTAGGGGGTTAGCGAAGGACGAGGGAGCTTAGGGGCTGTGGGGGAAGCTTTAGGGGGGGGGGTTTAGGGGAGTGTAGGGGTGGGGACGTACGTGTCTTCGTCGAAAGAGGAGGGGAGCGGTGCGCTGTTTGGATTCATTGTGGAGAATGGAGGGGGAGGTAGGGACGTGTGGGTGTTCTTGAAGGTGAGTTAAGACGGTATGTATATCGTGCAAGCCAATTGAATCCCTCTCTCTCGCAAGCGCAGTCCCAAATTGTGTATCCGAGGTCAACCGGCGAGTTCGCGTGTGCAGTGCAGCTCAGAAGAGAAGCTCAAGAGCCATGATCTCACCACTTCCCGCCTGGTTCGGCGACCACGGTTTTTCCGATCGCCGAGGGTTGGGGCTCCGAGCTCAAGTCAACTTCAGCAAGCACCACGTCCTGGCCAGTTGCCTGATCGTAAACTCCATCCCCCTTATCCTGGTGATATAATCGAGGCTGGACTGGATGCAACGAAGACCAGCGCGCGTCTTTGTCCTGTTGCGCCATGAATGATGAGGCCGAGTCCTCGAGAGCTGCATTGCCCTACCGGAACGACAACAGCGCTGCAGATCCGGATCCGGAGTCGCTGCACGCCGGAGCAGAGCATCACGACGACGACGACGACGACGACGACGAAGATACTGCGAGAAGGGAACAATCTGCCAAAGAGCGGAGGATAGATGCAAAGAGGAAGAGAGTGGTCTTTCTGGACCATTTGTTGCGCGAGCTGGATACTTTTGTATTCCTGGAGCTCATTACGCTGTATCATCTAGAGTTCGTCTACACATATGTCTGGCTCTAACAGCACAACTGACGAGACATTACAGCTGCTCATTCTTTTGGTTCACCTGCCGAGCTCTGATCCAACTCACTCTCCTCACTCCGCTCCCCGACCTTGCTCTCGCTCGTCAATACGACGAACACAAGCCTTTCCTCCCGCTTATGTTGGTCTCCTTTAGTCTGAATTTTCTCCTCCATCTGCTGTATTCTGCACCTTCTGCCGGCGAGGATACTCGGGGATATCTCCATGGTGGATTGATGATTGACTTCATCGGACAGCTCGGCCCCACTAGCAAATGGAAGCTCGTTGGCCTGGATACGGCGATACTATTGCTGCAGTTGGTCATGGTGTCAGTCCACGTCAAAAGAAGGGAGCTGAAGAAGAAGCTTGCAAAGATATCTGGAGGAACCTCCGCCTCAAGGTCGGCCGAAGGAGACTCCACAACCCCAGAAGGGCTGAACACCAGACCCACCAACACCAACACCAACGACACCAACAACACGGACCGCGACCAAGATGCCGACGCCGAAGAGCGTGGCATCCTACGCCGCACCGACACTCTCTCAGACATTGGCACCGACCACGACGAAGAAGACGCCCTCCTGCCCCCATCCTCAGAGACGGGTCATACCGATGCCCTGGACGCCCTCGCTTCAGGCCAATGCCTCGTCGGGGATTTCCATCTTATCGACACGCTCCTCCAGGAACATGAGAATTACACGACGTTTCGGCAGACGCGGTCGGAGACGGCTGCAGGTTCCTCCTCGCTCTCGCCTGACACCCTGCGCCAACTCCACACCATCCGGATGACATTTGGCGTAGGTGGTGGATGAAATGAGAGGGAGCCATCTTGAGATTGCATATCCCTATCTTGTTCGTATCTCAGCTGTGCCTCATGCCCGTGGCAGAGCTGCAGTCTCTATCCTTGAATTGCGTAAGCGAAGACATCTACCTTCTCCGCGCATTGTCTTATCCGAGACATCAAGGCCCATCCCAGACGAATTTTCGAGAGGCTCACCTCATGGGACAGAGCTGGGCAGAGAAGAGCACAGCGCGGGATGGACGACCCCCACTCCAACCTTAATCCATCGTCCTTCCAGCTCATCCACATTGCATCCACATACAACCATCCCTTGTCGTTGTTCCAGACGAGATCATCATGACTTGCCCTCGGCTCGATACCCGAATCCGACGGCACATTAGTTAATATGCAGTGTCTGTATCTTGAATCTTGAATCACACAGCCCATGAGGCCCCGCAACAACACGGCACAGCACATGATGGCACAGTACATTGACTCGGAACCCAACAATCCCTATCCACCCAATTACGCCATCATCACAAGACTTACGCACTACGCCGCAACGCCTAACAAGCAACACCATCCGCACATTTTCATCGTAACAGTCGGCTCAAAAAAAATCACTAAGCGTCCAATGGTCAAATGTGCCTGCCGAATCACGACGAACCGGTCAACCTCGGCCCTTTCCCACTGCCGTGGCCTCTTGCCGCACCGCTCCTCGTCCCAAATTCCTAACTCCCGCATCCCGCATCCCGCATCTCGCATCCATTGGCATCGCCGCAAATACCATGCATGAAAGCCCGCGAGTCGAGAATCTTAGTGTCCTTGTCCTAGTCCCGTCATGCGCTGTCCCGCCTACGTTCCGAGCCGTGCTCTCTGCCTACTAACCAGTGACCAAGGTGCTGTGCGGCGCAGCTGGGCTCATCGGGCGACGCGAACGGTTCCGTTGATCGGGCGTCACGGGCGTCAGATTGGCGGATGGCGGGGTTCGCTCGGTCGGTCGTGTCTTTCTCCGTTTTGCTTGCTTGCATAGAAATGCATGCATGCATGGTGGATGTTTGTGGTGGTCGAGAGAGAAGGGGATTAATTTGGTTGGCTAGATTGGTGGCGCCATGGTCGTACAGCAGAAGCAAGACTGCTCGAGAACAGTCAGCCACCTCCAGGGCGGGTTTCGTGAGCGGGAAGGCAGGCATGGATGTGTTGTGGAATGGGAAAAAGTATGGAAATGTGGATGGAAATGTGGTATGTACGCAATGCAAAAAGCATGTCACGTTCAAGATGCTGCATTAAAAAAAATAAAAATAAAGAAAGTAATACCAAACAAGATCGATATGATTGGGCTATGCCTTTCCTTCAGCGGGGGAACCATGACGGTTTGTCCGATCTGACGTACATATGTGCATCCATTCCCATGTCTAAGAAGAGGTTGAATGCAGGGCAAGCGCGGGGCGACGTGATGCAATGCAAGAAAAAGGGGTTATTGATATCCCTTGTTCTCCACCCACTGATACGGAGTGATTTTACGTGTTTTACAACGATTCGATGAGAGGCGAAGAATGTGAATAGTCCATGTTGTTTCGTGAGGTTGGACAGCATTAATTCAACCTTTTCCTTTCCAATGTCCGGTTGGCTGCTAGGGAGACTTGTTTGTACTTCCCTTTGTACAGTTCATGCGTAGATAGTCAGTAGAGCAGCCACTCAATGGTCAAGAAAGAATCATCGATGCATTTGCGAGGTTGGACAGCATTTATTGGATCGCACTAGTGGTGATATTTTTCCACCTCATTGCAAGGCCCCAGAGATGTATGCAGCATGCAGGGACAGACAAGAGGTGATCAGTTCCATCATTTGCGATGCGGCGAACGGAAGAGGAAATCGTTCATGTTTTGAGGACATTAAGCAGAATTGATTGCTCCACTTGCTTTCACAGTAGGCCAATACCTGCGGACTAGACTGGCGTGTTAGGACCTCTCCAGAGGAGCAAAAACACTTATCTTCGGACGCACGATTTGATGTAGGGAATGGAAAGTGGTTTGGCGAGGTCGGACAGCATTAATTGACCGCGCTGCATTATATATTGTTTACTGGTAACGGACATTTTTGTGCCTTTCAGACGAACATATATACGACTTCCAGAATGTTGGTGCAATTCCCGTGTTGAGATGCTGAAGTCTCAGGAGGGAGGGGAAATGAAAGAGCCTTGAACGTCTAATCCATCATGCGTTGTTTTGAAATCCAGATGAACCTCGGAAAGACGAAAGCCTCAGTTTCAAGTCTTTCAACGGTCCCTGCCTTCAGGTGGCATTTGTGGAGATATCGTGCCAGTCACGTGGCGTGCGGCTTTTTTAAACTCGTCAAGTCTTGACTAAAGTACAAGTACAGACAAAAGAATAAGAAATACCCTAATGCAGGAGTAAAATGGGGAGCGAGGATACCGTTGCGGAGGAATTGACCTCATGACATGCAGTTCATCTCTAGAGCCGGGCCACTGGAAAAGGCACTAGCGGGCGAAGTCGCTTGAAAAGTTCCGGATCAAACTCGGCATCCTTGCGACAATAATGAAGATACTGAAGCGGATTGTTCATGTTACCGTTCAACTTTCCGTCGGAGTTATTTCTTTTTGAGGAACAAGCGGAGAGTATCGGTTTGATGAAACCGTGATTGCCTCATCGTAGTTCTTCGGAATGCCTTGATGAGCAAGAAGAGATATTGATGCCCACCGTTCTTGTTCCACCATTCGCATTCGTATTGCAGGGGGTTCGAGGCTGTTATCGCGTTGTCCGAGTTGCAAGAAGAATGCCAGGCTTGGAGGAATCCTTAATCATGTGAGTACAGATCTGGTGCATGGAATAAGAAATGGGGCCATATTTACATTTCAACAAGTCGCACTAGCCCAGATGAGAAGGAACTAAACGGATTCACCAGAAACTGGAATGAGACGGGAAAAGCCACTGGAACACAGCCAAACACTTTTCGAAATCCAGCCATGCGGAATTTTCTGATTGGACTGGCATTCAGTCGCTTCCGCTCGCGCTCCCGTGCCCCGTCTACGCTCCCGCTCACATGACTGTCCTTAGCTGCAGCTCATCACATCACTCCGGATGCTGACGATGGAGGGGCTGAGAACTGATAAAATGAGGGGCTTTGATCCGGAGCCCCCTGTTCATGCATCCTGCATCGTACGTGTCCACACATATTAATACCATACCTGCATCTTGCCTCTTGCCACCTAGTCAAAAATCGATAGTTTGTATGTACGAGGGTAATAGTTGGCCAATGGTGCTGCTTCAATTTGCTTCGCCTTGGAATCGCGCATAATTCTTGGTTGCGAGAGACCTTGAAGTGTTGTTTTTTTCTTTGGTTTTTCTGGGGCTTAATGGGCATCGCTTGCCGGCCGTGCTGCTAATGAGAGACAAAAAGCCATCCTAAATGTCGTGTCACCATCGGCACGGTATTGCGTTCTCTCGCATAAGGCTCCTCTTGCGCAAGCCGCACGCTCCATCACATGCATAGGCGCCCAGGCGCCCCGCTCTCACTCGTGGAGGTCTCGAGGATGCAGCAAGGATGGGGAAACTGCGTTGGCTATGCGCACACATCCTCTTGCAATTGGGGGCATACCGATGCCGTGTAACGTTCGGTGAGTCAGTGAGACTCGAGGCAGATTTGCAACGGTCGGCCGGTGTGGAGATTTGACCTGAAATATCTTCTGTAGGAAATTCCAGTCGAGGGCGTATTGGGTGGGAGGGGGTGTGTGGATTGAGATGCGACTGGTATTGTCATGCTGCAGGCGGAGCTCGGCGCCGATGTATTAGTCAAGGTGGTGAGAAGTGTGTAACCCTGTTTGTCAATAAGATATCCTTTTCAGATGCTAGTTTCAGCGTTGGATGTTGTCATTCATCGGCATTCGGATACATGAGAGATAGCTGCTAAAGATGGACGGTGAGAATCGCAAAGACACGTGGCCGATGAGACAATGTCCGCGAGCAACCTCCACTCAGCCAAGAGTAACATGCAAGAAATCATTGATTCGAAAGGTATTGAATACTGCGAGGGTAAAGCATGACATGCTTTGAAAAATGCAATAGAATGAGCGAATCAAAGCATGAGAACTTGCAAAATAACGGAGTTGTGGAGCTCCTTAAGAGGCGAGACTCATCTCATGATCAGATCACCCTCGGTCCGATGGGCACGCAAGACGGGTAGTGCACTCGCTTCTGGCTCATTAAAATCGTCCTGTCCCGTGCCCGCTCCGAGTCAGTTTAATTAAGTGTGTTTTCCCAGCCGACAGGAAATCGGTGAGGGAAGTCACATCTCCGAGATCCGATTGAGCGGGACAGACGAAGGAAAGATCCAATAGGTGTCAGCGTTGTTCATGCGTGATGGATGAGCTTGGATTGCTCTCTGTATCCACAAAGAGAATTGGTAGTGGGCCAAACTGGAAGGTCGTCCTGTGCCTCATCGGTTCAGTAGAGAGATCCAGAGTCGCGGGTCACTCGGTGTGGAGTCGGATCGGCGAAGTGGACGTGGACGTGGAGCATCGCACGACAGCAAATGAAGAATGCTCCCTCTGAAGCGGTCAGCAGCATGAATCATGGAGATAGAGAGACGGTCGATTTGGTTGCATCGCGGGATTGCTGATGGCTGGCGAAGTGTGAGGTTGAAAAAAGCGGTGTGGTTAGAACGGCGGGGAAGCGGCAATGACGCCGTAGTTTGTCATGGAAGTAGGATCGCGGAAGAAATGCGCTGGCAAAGAGGTTGAGGAAGGTCAGAAGTGATGCAGGTGAGATGAGAGCGTGTAACGCTGGGAGAGATTGGTGTTGAGGTCTAGATTTAGAAGAGCTCTCTCACGTCTGGAGGTTTGTTAGTGGAGCCCAGGAGGAAGGCTCAACTCACGAGACCTTGCAAGCATGCATGCATGTCATTGTCATTCAATGCGCAACACCAAGAAATTCCTCTCCAGATTCTGCTATCAAAAGTTGGGAACAGTCAGTATTGGTGCCACGATTCTTCTCCGCTGCTGCAAGTTGCGTCTCCACGAAGTTTAGTCTCGGGGCCTGAACCCCCATGCCTTTCCCTGTTCAGTCCCCCAGATTTCCCAATTGGGAACACGATCAAATTCCCCTCGAGAACTCTCCCCTCTTCAACTGTCCAGGAGACCGCTGCCTGTCGCACACACCTTGGCAGAATGGGAGCCCCACGGCCCTTCTTTTTCGACTTCTGGGGTCATCGTTGTTACGAGATCCTTCGCTCTTGTATTCGGCCCGTTGTTGGTTGGAGGGCTGCAGCATGGCGCGAAGCACAAAGCATCACTACTGGATAGATTTTCAAATAGTGACACGAAGCTTCCCGCAGAACACCAATTTCCGTTGTTGATATCATCACTTTTGACAAGGTCGTACCATGTGTTCAAATTCCCCCTCTCCCTTGACCTTGTCTCATTAGACGACAGGCTACTTTGTGACAGGGCGGTCTCTGACAGCATCACTCTGCCACCCTCCAGCGTTGCTAGCGGGCTCGGTCCGATCTCCCCACCCCCCTCTCCCTCACTGTTACTTGTGCAATAGTTTATCCAACGGCCCGCTCCGGGGACAAAGTCCGATATCCTGGCACGCGGGCAATCTGGAACGGAGGTGGTAGCAAAACTTCGACAGTCGTCGGTCGGACAGACTTGAGGGCTATGTTCCTTCAAGAGTTTGGTACTCCCCTCCGCTGACTGCGCGTGATATTAAGTGGGCCTGTTCCTGAAAGTCATTTTAGCCTCGCAGATAGGGAACCGCAGAATAATGTGTGTGGAGAGAGCCCAATGATATGACGTGGACAGGACAATGTAAAGTGGAGTTGAACTCTTGCGCAGGCTTAACCCAGAAGAATGGTTTGGCTTGCTTTTGAAATGATGTGGCGTACGACGGCGTGTCTGAGACGAAGGAAGAGGTCGAAAATGGGTACACGTAAGTGCCTAATTATATGTCGCTATCGTTTGCTTTTCCCGTCAGAGCCCACAGAGGCTGACAGCGTGCTGTACCAGGTACATATGTACAATGCAATGCCATCAATCCCCTGAGTTCAAGCTCCACAAATTCTCCTTGCGTGTAAACGCAGGTCCAAGCGAGACGAATTCTCCGATGATATCCGCACACCCAAGAACGCGGCTTCATTGTTGTAACGACAATAGTCAATGATACCAAGTTTCGCTTTGCTAATTCGAAGGCCTCGGAACGTCTATAGCTGGTGCGCCTAATTCTTTACCAATTACCTTTGATCGACCACAGAATATGCACGTGCGTTCGCCTTGTTGAGCGATCTTACGTCCACGACGATGGAATAGCTAGCACCACCACCAACGGGCATTATTTGTGGCCCACTAGATTAAACTTTGAGATGCAGCTCAAAATCCTCCTAAGAATGCATTCCCGCGTCCGCGAGCCATTCCCTGTGAGATGTTAGTGCCCTGGGGAGATAGTACGGGAACCGGACCATGGGTTTGACGAACAAACGCCAACGGAAAGCGAATAAAAGCCGGAGTTAATGGAATTTCTCGCTAAATTATTTGGGCGAATGAGGGAATGATAGGGACGAAAAATTCTCCAGTCTAGCGTGCGGCTGATGAGCAAAGTTGAGAACGCCCTTCGCGGTGGAGATGGAAACGAAAACAAAAACACCAACTTGGCGTGTCCCTAGAGTCTTTCGCGAAATGTAAACGAATTGGCTGGCTGGAAATTATCCTTTCGACTCTGCCCGAGATCGGATCTTGACCGAGCAGGAGTGGCCTTGTGGGGCGATGTTGATGCGAAGGCTGGAGCGGAACGTGCAGAATGATAGTGGCGTGGAACTTGCTCTCTCCAAGGAGAGTCATGCGCGGTTCTCCGAGGTGTCAGGAATGGGTCAGACGTGCTGTCAACGTCAAACTAGCAGAACCAGACGGTCCCCTTCGAACGTGATCCCAGCAAGTGACTTGCATGCCTAAGTGCCATAGCTTGTGAGAAATATCAAGACATGTCTTGGAGCCGTGTCCTTGACCCTTCGCGGGGTAGCGCGGTACGTGCACAGTCCTTGATTGTTGCATTGGGCAAATCGCGTGGGCTTCTGTGGACCTAATGCTTAAAAGTCGTTCTTCAATACATCCACCTAGACTATGAGTGCCAACGCCAGATCACCCCTTAAAGTAGGTATAGTACATGCAAAATAAGAGTATTGATTTCAGGGTAGCTTGTAAGGGCTCCTGTCAGATATATAAACATTTTGGAGGTATATGCAGAAGCGTCGGTGAGGACTTGATACTCTACTGTTTAGAGTTCTATATGTTCCATATGAGAGCCAAAGGAGACAAGGAAACGCAGTAGTGGTATGTCAGCCCATGCTGGGTATATTGAGCCATGATATCAAAGAGATTTGTCAAAATGAAACGGGAGGAGTTGAACGAGTCGTAAACACAAGGCGATGCGCTGGATGCAGAGGCAGTCAGAGGTGGGAGGGACACCGGCTCATGAGCGTTAGCGTATTGTCCGTCATCACCTAAAATGCTACCAGATAACCAAGCCTCCAAAGTAAACCGCAAAAAATAATGCAACACGCCGCCTGCCGCTTAGTGTTGGGGTATCAAATTAAACAAAAGAAATTGATAAGGGTATGTCGAACAGCAGGTCGAGCAAACGCGCAATTTGGGGTGCTTTAGAGCAGCTAGGTTTTTTGGTGTTTCGCCTCTACCCTCGGTTGTCTCTCGCAGGCCCCAGTGCCCAGTTTCTATTGTCGTATCGGGTAGAATCGGAAACAAAGGGATCGCGAAAGCCGGGCCTTTGAGGAGGCTGGAGCTCTGGTAATGGCCTTTGTTCCCGAGGGTCAAATTGCTGTGGTGGGGGTCGGTTCGCGGGGTGACCATCGATGGGAGGCGGATTAATAGGAGGAAACGTCGATGTCGAGTATGACTGGGACTGCTGCGGTGGTGGCCCAGAGCCGTTCAGAGAGGTGGGTGCCGTACCCGCAGCTGGATGGTAACTGCTGGTTCTCCTCCTGACATTCCGCTCGGGTTCGTGGGGCTCGCTGGGTTCAGAGTATCCTGAGTAAGAGGATCCTCCTGAGCCTCCGCCTCCTCCGGTAGACGAGGGTGCGGTGGAATGGCGTCTCAACCGGGGCGATGGCGGACGCGCATAGTGTCGCTCATGGCCCGGTTGTTGAAGGAGAATGGTCTTGAAGTAGTCCCTCTCGTTCCGGTAGAATTCTGTGTCCTCGAGGGCCTCTCGCAGCTGCTGTTCTAGTCTGGTGATGCTCATCGACGCCTCTCGTTCCTTCTCTTTCCGTCTAGCGCGAAAGCGCGCAGATGCGCCCGCGTTACGCTTTCTCTTTTCATCGGCAACCTTGGACGCTGCCTGAACGTCTACAGGAATCTGGACCTTGTGTCCCTGCTGGCTATGAATTGTCATCATCTGAATGGTGCTCTGTCCAGAGGGGGTCATTGGAATCATATTTCGCTCAGTCTCCATGGCAATCGGCGGGTTATTGAAGCCAGAATGCTGGGCATTGTTCGGGATTGTCATATAAGATCCTGGTTGACTAGAACTTTCAAACTGGCTGGATGCGATTGATGCGGGCTGGCTATAGGGAGAGTATGAAGCTATCGGGCTCGCACTGCCAGACTGCGGAAACCCGGCGCTGGGGCGGCGGATGTCAGTACGGTTGAGTCCGGGGGGTGGGGTTGGTGCAGTTGGAGCGAAATATGCTGGACGAGTGGCAATAGGAGGAGTAGGAAGAGATGGCTGAGGAATTTGGTCTGGTCCGTATGGACGCGTACTGGGGGACAGAAAAGGCGACTGGTGTGCATCAATCGTGCCCGTGGGTGGATTTAGTACACTCAGGCTTTGAGCACGGTGCATACTTGGTGATCTAGGGCTCAACAAGTGCCTTGTTGAAAGCCGTCCAGGCATCTGGAAATGTCTCTGAGGTAATGCTGGCTCCTCCTGCGCCGAGTCGACACTTGTTGGCCTACTTATAGAAGGGAGGCTCGGGGGAGGTTGTGAATCAATAGGTGACGGGGATTCCATCTGGGAGGCACTGCGTCTTCGACCTCGCTGTTCTAAGCGCTGTTCTGCCAAGTCACCTTGGGGATTTAATATAGATTGGACACCCAGGGGATTTCCAGGCCTCCTGTCAGAAGAAGGGGTTGGTGGAGTGTTTGATAACTGCCGTAGAGAAGGTAGAGATACCGGAGGACCGGGAGGGCCATTCCGGATGTGGTCTCTGGGAAGTGAATGCATGCTTGGCGGAATTTCTGGAGGAAATTGAGGATGGTGCCCTGTCTGCTGGAGTCTCCGTGAGGCTTCATCCACAGGGTTTGATTGAGATCCTGACGTAGCCGGTTGCGACATCAGGGGCCGTTGGTCAAAGCCCCTTCGACCTCGATGAGCCGACCATGGGCGGTCCGGGTAGTCAGGAAATCCTCCCTGGCGCGATGTTGGAGGTTCGCCCTGGCTCGGCTTTGGGTCGTTTGTATATGGCGGTGTCAGAGAACACTGGAACCGGTCTGAGTAATGAACGTGGGGTTTTTGAATTGCGGGGAGTGTTTGGGTAGCCAGCGTGAATTGATTATATGGGGTCGTCGTTGCAGTAACGACCCAACCAAGGAAGGACGAGAGAGATAGCTTGATTGAGAGCACCGGAAGGAATGAGAGAAGGTTGTAGCGCTAGCGAATGCTAAACAGAGGCCCTGAAAGTATAGCACGTAGACGGTTCGTTGGTAGTCAGGATCGGGATCAATTTCAGATAGCGTCGAGGCCAGAGTCCATAGCTACGTGATAATATTGGAGAGCGCAGTAGGAACGCAAGGCAACGGGCGTTGGTGGGACAGTAGCGGAGAGAGATGTGCAGTGGAGTGAAGCAAACGTGCAGGCAGCGGTAGGAAACTTGAGTGGAGGGCAGGCCCGTGACCAAGAGATGCGAGATGCGTCAACCGCCACTGATATAAAGAAGATGTGCAGTGCAGCGGTGTGAAGCTTGGGTTAGAGGGGATCAGCCTTTGGCTGGCGGTGGAGCAAATCAATCATGCCTGCCGACCCCTGTCTCTCCATCTCCCGCCAGAAAGGAAAAGGCCCTCAACGTACATGCTTCCCTGTCGGGCGGGCTTTCGTGGTCGCGAGCAGGACATGGCCAAGGCAAGGTCGTGCTGGCACTTGCGCAGACGCAAGACCTTGACGCTGACCAGCGCTACTGCACGGTGGACAACCATGCGCGGAAGACGGGAGCTGGCCACAGCGGCGGCCGCAAGAGACCGCGCATGGTCCTCACGAGAGAGCATCGACTGCAGGATGCCGTGGTTATTTTGCCCAACGCGACGCAAGCGCATGGTGCGACGCCGCCTGCCGAGAAAACACCAGAGACGGAGGCTGCGCCCGCCCGCCCCGTGATGGGCCACGCCAACGGCCGCTCTCTTCCTCAACTCGACACCGGGACGACTCCAAGGGAGCCTGGCGCTGCAGCCGCAGCAGGCCAAGCGGGGAGAGTGCCGTGCTCGGGCGGGCGTCCTCTCATCCTGACGCTGCAACTCGCCGCAAGAGAGCAGCCTCAACCATGAGCTGCCCCCAGCGCCAGCGAAGGGATCCAGCGGAAGCACCCCGGCTCGCCTCCAGGAAGAGCGAAGGCTGGACAGCTTGGCACCGCATCAGCCCTCGATCACAGTTAGCAAGCCGTCCCTGGTCGTCGCGCAACTGGTGGAGCCATCGAGGGCGGGGCAACCAGGAGCAGAGAGAGAGTGTGATGTGCCAGTCGAAGAGTCGCATCTCACCAAACTGCGAGGCTTGCACTAGCAGGCCACCACGGCTTCGACGACAACACGCTTCTTCCCTTCGCTCGGGAGCGCCCTACGCCGTTCGACTGAATTTCCCTATCCTGCTCGCTCGCTGCCTACAAATGCCCGACACCGTGCGGGGACAGATAGCAGACGACAGACGACAAGTGACAGCATATCGATAGAGGAGCACCAGGTCAGAACAAAACAAGCAGTGCTCTTCCTTTTTGCTTCCCCTCACACCCCGGTCTGGCGATGAAGCCAAAGCCCGTGACGAGCGTAAAGCGGCTTCGACACCGCCCAGCATCCCAGATACGATCGAATTTGGGTGCTGCAAGAATGGTCTGATATTGCCTTCAGACGACCTGCGAGGATGACGGCCATACGTCAGTTATGTCGGGCATCAGCAAAGACCCTCGGGCCTGGCTGCGGGCGGCCAACGTTTTTAGGGGCTCAAATTACTCGCGCCGCCACGGCCCCCCGGAAGACGATCGCCAATCATGGAGACTCCACGCACGGCAGGCCATGGGAGTGTGCCTGACGTGGGCCATTTGGAGGATTTTGCACTCGTGGGGGCGCGAACACTGCTCAACTTAGCGTTTTTGAGGGGGTGAAAGAGAGGGCAGAGAGAAACGGGGGGGAGAAACTTGAGGTGTGACAACGCACTTCCTCTGACGAGCGAGCGAGGATCCAGTGAACAAGTCACAAGAGAATCGCGACGCACAAGGGGTCCCCTCGGCAGCAATTCACTGTCCGCCCCACGCCCTGTCGTGGGGGTTCAACCAAGAGCTTGGGCCAGCGATGGCTAAGCTCACAGATGATGCGCATCGTCGCTCCCGACGTGCGGGTTTTGGCTCACAAAGCTCCGCGACGCATCTTATGCGGGCCTCGAAGGGGCATTGTTCAGTCGAGTCTGAACCCGGTCGCGTGAACGTCTAATGCGATGCAGTTTGTTTCGAGGTTCTCGCCAGGCGGAACATCCGCGCTGCAATGTGACGGGCGGAACCATTGGGCTTCAACAGCGCGAACCCTGCCGCATTGCATATTCGATCATGTGCTGCGGAATTCCAGGCACTGGGCGTATTTTTGCGCATTTCGGCGTGTGAAATTTCTGTGATTGGCTGCATTACGTCGCCTTGTCGACCTTGACACGGATTCTGCTGCACATCACCCTGCTGCACATTGGCGAATTGCCGCAGAATGTGTGCTTTTATTCGCACTCCTTTTCTCCCCACTCGAGTGTCTCACCCACACAGCGACACGCTGGATTAGCCCATAGGAAGGGTGTCGCACCCTCTCTTAAGGTACCACAGCACCCCACGTTCAGTGGCTGCTCATTCATTCTCGTTCGCGCGACACTAATGCATAGCTTCTCAAATTCAGCGTGACGGATCCTCTGTGGCGCCGTGGCCGCGGTCACAGGATGGGATTGCTGCGTTGTGAGGGTGACGGCGGGAGACGGATGGTTGGTGTTGAGGGGATGTCGGCCAACGTCGGAGGCACCATGATGAGCCTTCCCCGCAGCAGAGGAATGAGGAGAGGCAGGGACAAGCATAACTGGCCTCGTGCATGTCACTTTTCTTCTCTCATTCTCCCCACTCAACACCAAACATAGTTACGCCTCCTGCTCCCATCTCTTTTTTGCTTCCTTTTGCTCGCCCGAATCTCGCTCGAGTCGCCCCCTGGCTTATCGAGCAAGATGTGGTGGTGAGGCCATAGACACACAACACAGCCTGGCGGGGGAGAGCAACCAGGGACCCGAAACCGAGCTCCCCAGAAGGGGGTGGCCATGACTCGAAGCGTGATAGCTCGCATCCGGGACCATGGTCACTGCAGCGCCGTCAGGTGGATTTGGGGTGATCGGGTGGCCGTTTCAGAGATGATCGAAGATTCGGCGCCAAAACTTGAAGCAGGTCTGCCCTCCACCTGTTTCCTCCGGGGCCGGATCCAAGCTGTCGGTTCACCCCCCCAGTCCTTAAGGGGCAGCAGTTCAGGAGAAGGTGGTCCGCCCGCGTTCGTTCTGCCCGCTGCTCATATTATTATTGTTACCAGCCGCGACAAGCGTCCTGCTCCATACCATCCCAGTAGGAAGCACGCCGAATTCTCAAACCAGCATGCTGCTCCAAACGAAATGAGATGGACGCCTGACTAACAGAGAGTCATTTGGGTGCTCTCTTTGCTTTTTCGATTCGGGGGCTAGTAACAGGCGACTGGACTTGCGACATCGCTGGCTCGTTGTTCGGTTTCCCGCATGCGGCATCTCGGGCGAGGGAAGGAACCGTCCCTCGGTTGCTCAGTCGGCAGTTGGGAGCCTTGCATTCTCCTCCAAGGCTTCTTCCCAACTTTTTGCGGGACACTTCACCCATCAACAGGGTTGCACAGTGCCTGTCTGTTGTCATATTATCTACCCTGTCCCCGATGAGCTTTCGCAATCCTCAATTGATCCTTTCTCAGATACAACCCTTGGCATTATTGCGTGCTTTCAGGGACCAGGCCAGTTCGGGAATGAAGTTCGACACATCGGCACTTATCCGACACCCTGTTCAGCCTGTCGTCCGGACAGTTCTCCCTTTATTCTGACGAAAACCGAAGGCGGTGTCCTGCGATGACGAAGCCGCATGGCTGACGATAGCAAACTCGACACTCTATCTTCGAAGCCTCATTCTATTGTCTGGCCAGAATGCTTCGCCCTTCGTCTTCTACATTTTTGAAGTACTGTTCCCGCCATCATAGTCTGGATTCCAAAAGGGTCACGCGGCCGCTTCCGCAGATCCGTCGAGATTTCCTCTCATCCCAAAGAAGAAACTCGCCCAGTCAGCCAATTTACCGACAGAGCGGATATTGCAAAATTCACCGCCTCACCAGTTCCCAACCCGTTCATCGACCCATGAAACGAATCGCCACTCCTTGAGGTTTCAGCGGAGTCTGATCAAGGCGCATTATCGTGATTTCGTTCCCCGTACTCGCTTTTTCCGCCTGCCTATCACCCTCGGTTCGTTTCCTCGGAACTTGGTAAGCTGAAGCCTCTACGAACTCTCCTGGAAATGTCCCCACGAGGATCGCCACCTAGATGTGCCTCATCTAGGTTAATAACCAGCCCTGTCAGAAGCTCGGGGCACTTGGATTTGTGCAAGTCATGTCAGGCTGCAGCATTTCTCTGAATCTGTCCAACCCATGTTTGCTTCTGGCCTTCGCTGCACGACAGCTTTCAAAAATAGGACCAGCCTCCCCTGGACTATAGTACTCAAGAATTATACACACTGGCCGCATGGCCACGAACACCTGCTGTCGTTTGGAGAGTCGGGACTGACGCAGAACCTTAGAACAGGCATGAGAAGCTATTAAAGTGCTGGACAAGGCTCAGATGTCCTCGTGGTTTTTAATTCCTGCAAATTCCAGGTTTTCAATTGGCTACGTTTTCTTTGCGAAATCCAATAGCGTCCTGCTCATGGGCACACGCTAGGGCCAAGTACAAAGGGGAACCTCACGTTTTAGCCGCTCGCGAGGGTGCCTTCCGAACAAGAATTAGGCACGGCTTCGTCCGCCACCGTTGAGCGCAGACTCGAGTCGAATGAAAGATCCTCCTCGTGGCCCCCTTCGAGAAGGAAATTCGAACTTCATGGTTTACCCGGCGCCAGAGCCTTTGACTAAACCCCTGCACTGGATTCAATATTTGCGTATCGTACCTCCTTTTGCTGCTCGCCTGGCACTACTTGCTTTGTAATAACTCAATGATCGGCTTAGAATACCCCGACGTCAACGGCATGGCGATTAGACGTGTGCACAACTCAGCGTCACCAAACTTATCACGCTACTTCCTGCGTTCGAAGCTCGTTTTCCAGGGAGAGGGAAGCACACTGCGATTCAGTCATACAACACCTTTTGCCCCGATAAAACGATGCTCCTAGGGATGTCGAAGGGCCTATCTCGCCAAAAGGCCTTGCTCATATTCACGACATTTAGCTCCAATCGACCGCATGCGGTATCGTCATGTGCAACTGTTGGTACCCTCAACTATGCATCTTCATTCCGTATCGCTATTCGCCCCTTCAAGGATTGACGTTACACGACTCCACCCCAGTCTCTTGGTGCTATTTACGGCTCTTATATGTAATATCGAAATTATTATTACTGACTCGGGGCAAGAAAGCAAAGGGATTGGCCCAAAGTCATCACAAACGTGCATTTTTCAGTACAGTCTCTAAGGGACACGCTGGCATTTTGCAGTGGAATCTCAGGGCTCGACATCCTCCTTTCATGAGCAGAAGACGGCGATGTACTTGCTGAACCGAAAATCTCACCCCAGTATAGAGAAAAAGAAGAGAAAAGAAAAAGAAAGATTACTTGCGGGCAGCAATCCTCTGTCGGCGCAACGGTCACACCCAACTCCAGCGTGGGGATTGTGAAAAGCGAAGAACCCATCGTTCCTCATTTCATCAGATGTGATGGCAGAGCGGTGTGGCAAGCAGGAAGACTTGCTTCCCATTATCAGTAATGCTTTTTGACTGTGCATATTCGATTTAGCCTTTCTTAGAATTTCAGTTTCCATTTACGGGACTTCGGAGGGACTTCTGTCGCAAGGAAATGATATTCACAAAATGTCTGAGAATTTATAGAGTCCCGACTTCCAAATAACCGTCTCAGATGTACTCGCGCGACGTGGCCCAGCATGGACATAGTCCCAGCAGAATGGATAGGAGGCTAGGGCGCCTTCCTAACGTGTGTCGTTTGACGTTTCGTCGCATTCCAAGGTTGGTAAGAGTTTCAACCCCAGACGTGATGCACCCCGGCACCTGATCTTCCGCTATAATAGAGTAGTTATACCAAGGCCACCGTGGAAAAGTTGAACTCCTTGTGGGTTGCTGGAAAGCACATGAAGCGTACCGAGCCCGGAACCGGATCTTGAACACGTTCATTGCATCGATCATGCCTGCTCCGTGGTCAACAACATCTACCCTAGCTGCATAACAAGTCACCAACTCACCGCCAGAAGAGGGCGAGGTCCCTCGGCAGAGAACTATATTGCCGCTATTATAGCCTCAATGACAGCTGCCACTCCCTGCGAGATACAGCGCAAAGGATTTTGTCTCTCGAATGACACGCGACAAAAACTCGAGCATGACGTCGCCCAGAGGATCCTTCTAATATTTACGAGTCATTCCTCGCTTGCAATATTGCATCTTTTTTTTAAGACGTTTTAGTAGTTTTGCGCAAGCACGGCCAGATCCTGTCGGGTGGTGCCGCCATCACACGTCGTCTTTGCTCAACCTTCATGATCTCCGACACGATTTATCAAGCATGCTTTCTTGAAAAGGCTCTCTGTTCCGCTCCTAGCCCTTGTCGGTGAGTTTCAACCAGAAATTTCTCCTTCCTAATCAGGCGGAATATTGGGCTCAAAGGCCCAGCCGTACTCAGCGCAGTCCCATACTTTGAGGTATCCACTCACCGATAAGAAATCGCATTTATATTATGTCTCGGACTCGCCGACGCCCAATTCTGGTTCCTGAACATTCTAGGAGTCCCATGTCTAGGTACTATTGTGTCAGACTAACTCATCGCTAACGCACGCAATGTGATGACGAGCAGCAAGTTTCGAGCACGTGCGGCCACATTCACACCCTCACCCGGGCAGCGACACATCTTGTCATTATAGGAAAAAGCCAGAGGAGTCATAAGTTTCCCTCAAAGCAAAAAGGCCGCAGAAGGAACCGTGGTCGCGGTGACATATCTGCAACGTACTCAATCTGGGTATATTTGCATCGTTGCACGTGCTCATTACTGGAGTAACACACGGTTACACAAGGCGGGTGTCGCGGCCGAATATTGGAGCTCACCTCTTGTTCATCCGGGGGGGGCTTCCGCAAACTCTTTATCTAGCAGGGGTGGTCCAAATGGTGCTCCGAGCCCGCAACGTCATGTCTGTTCCACCTTTGCAAGCATTCCCCACGTTGGTCATCTGGCAGTTTGCAATTACCGGTACTCCGAAACTCTTATTCCAGTTCCCTCTTTTCAGTTGAGATATGGGCTTTAGACATTATTGTGGCTAAGGCACTGCCATTTGATTCGTCGATTCCCGCGGAGAGCACATCTTCGAGCTGGCTTTCTGGGATTCCAATCGGAGGACCAGCATCGGGGGTCTTGGAAGCACAACTGCCCTCAACGCAAGCCTCATCAAAAAATAACTAAGAATCTTATAAAAATCTCAATGCCACGGCACATACTCATGCCAACCTAAGTTCACAATGGAATTGTTGAGCGTTTCAAGGGTCTGCTCTTAGAATAGAATCCTTCACCCTTTGCGTCATATGGGTCGTTCAAATCCGCATTAAACCACATCCGAACCCCATCCTATATTCTTCAACCTTGTAGCTATTGCGCCCGCTCCGACTCGCATTTTGCTTACCGAAAACCCCTTCGTCGCATAAATATACTAATCTCTAGCTAGCTTACGGATAACGCCTCACTTGTTGCGGCAGATTGGATTATAACGCGGAAATGGCTCTTGTGGTTGGAGTCACCTTCCAGGACTCTTGTCGTTTCTTGAGTTTCGAACTTGCTTTATGGGTGAGCGAGGAAGATACCGCTACGATATGTGATGATTAGTGGATATCAAGTTCGGAATTGTTACCTTAAAGCAAACTATCTAGCTCGACTATCACTGACCAATTTCTCGAATATGTCGTGCTAACAGCTTTCACGAATGGCTACTAGGTACGATGCTAGGATCAAGAACACTCCGAAATATAAATCCGAAGAATTTTGGGCGAGATGATGTCATTAAAAAGAGGCTGCACACAGGTACATTGATTCTCTGCTAGGTGCTGGGAGTGGGTTAAACTCCTTCGGTGTCCGTTTTGGTCGCCTTATAATGTGATTCATGGGCCAAACATGACACAAAGCGTGAGGAAAAGTCTGACAGGGTAACAGTAAGTAAAATCTTGCAAACTACTCTGAAGAAATGAGAATTGAATCTGGGCGAAAGGGTGAAGATGACCCCGAAAGGCAGTGCAATCGTAGTAAGTGGAGTTCTTTGAAGCGGGAGATAATCGAGCAGCTCCTTCTCTTCTCTCCATATCCTCCTACAGAGAAACCAAAATGTCTTTTCTCGTTTCTTTTCTTGCAGGCGTTATGGTCTCTCATGACATGCCACTGCTGTTTCCCTTCCTTTCCTACATTTTCAATTTCGCTTTCTATCCATCTCCCCCATTACAAACACTAAATCCTCTCACATTCACCTCAAACTCTCGGCGTCCAAAACGTGCAGCCTTCGCACTGTGAAACCCTCCAAGCTTATTCTATAATTTTGATAACCTAAGACCAAGATAGGTCCCTCAGTTTGCATACGGCTGCTTCTCGGGAAAACTGTACGATGCTTTTGAACGACCAATGCTCTTGGGAGATAAAATTTACAGCTGAATTTACCTGAAGCTGGTAGCTAGGTCGGGCCTGCCCTGGGATATACTTTAAAATAGTCTTACCTTAGGAAGAAAAGAGCGGTTGTCATTTAAAAACTTCCAGTTATACAATTATGTTGGGGATTGTATGGGCAAGGATCTTCGCGCCATAGAAAGGAAGCACTTGAATACGACCGTCATCTGGAAGAAAACTGACTGGTTCTTTGAAGATCGCCTTTTGGCATATTTTTGGGTGTTGCTTGGACCGTTCGGGTGTTACGAATGCTTTAGAAGTCTACTATTAGCAGTTTCCCTAGCGGCCAAGGAGATCTTCTTGTGTATTCTGTCTCAAAGGCCGTTCTCGTAATATAGACACCCTATACCCAGGAGAGATTATTGGTTTATCCACCAACTCGCATGCAGTCTAGACATCTGCGCTTCATTCTGTAGGTACTCTACCTTATTTGGGCCGATCGGCTTATACTTATTGTTCAATCTGTCTCCTTGTTGTTTGATTCCCCCAGTGAAATGACTAGCGACACTTCTACTTTCCCAAACATCACCCTCGTTTTAAATGTTTCTTGTTCTATCCCGAAGCTGCTGTAATACCTGATCTAGGATAGAAGAACCTTTAATCCAGCCCTTTCCACTTGGCCTATGCAACTCCATAGAGTTCTACCCCCACGCATTTAAGCCTGTCATATGAGTTATCTGTACTGTCAGTTAGAGTGGGTTGTATTTATCTAAGAAGCGACTAAATAGCTGTCAAACCTTATCTTTACATCTTCCATTTCCCACTATTCGTCTTCCTTCTTGTATCCCTCTATTTCAATATCATCACAGAGTATAAATAAAAGTCTATCAAGCTCAACTTTTCTAAGCTGGAATGACTGACCCTTCAGCTTTGCCTAGATGTGGATAAAGTCTGTCTATATGCCATCCGCTTTCGCTCTCCTATCCTCCTCAACCGTGTCCCTGACCTCATCCTTCATACAAGCTTTCATTTTACTTCATTTTCAAGATTTCCATGCAATTCCTTTCCATGCTACAGAATCTGAGCCTATCTCACGTCTTAGTGCACTTTTCGCTCAGTTAATAAGGGTTCTCTCCCAGAAAGAGAAAATATCAAACAACAGTTATTCATGTAACTGTTGGCGGAGAGGTTCTAGTAGACACTTCCTCTCAGCACCGCTCTATGTGTAAACAACGAAGGTAAAGCGAGGGTGTTTTATTATAATACAAAATTCGGTAACAGGGGTTGTGTCACATGTACCATGTAATGGGCGGTTAAGTGTGGTTTAACCCCTCCCCCCCAATCATGGATATTGGTTGGTTGGTGTTAAGGTTAGTGGGTTAATGTGTTTGATCGCACGACGAAGGGAGGGTTCCAAGCTAGGAGTGGCGAATGCTAATGCTAGGTAGAGATTGTGGTAAGTTAGAGCACGAGAAACCTCGAAGGAAACTTAGAGGAATTCAAGGGACAGAAGCCATGGAGTAAGAGTGTGTACGACAACGATGGAAGCGGTAGCGAGCTTGAGTATCCTGATATAGTTCGCCGTCACACTCAAGATATATCCAGTGGAGAGACAGCAGAAGGGAAGTCATTCATAATTTCGTACAAAAAGGGTCTCTAACAATTTACCAAACCGAGGTCATTCCATTACAATAAGCTCCTTCATTTCTTTCATCTCTTGTTTCCTGAAACTTCAAGCAGGCTGTTGTTTGCTACTCTCGCTCCCATCAGCCTTTCCACCCTCCGCTTCCACAACCCCCTTAAATTTGAATCTCTTCAACCCCTTAACGCCCACATTAATCTTAAACACGCTCCCCGCAAACTCGTCCACCCCCTCCCCACCCGGCCCACTCGTGCCTCCCGCACTCGTAATCACAAGATCCTCCCCACAAAAACACGGACAAGTGGGCTGCTGCGTCGGGACCTCAATCTCGGCCACAATCTCCCCCTCGGGCGAAATCCGAAGCACAGCTGCACCCCCGTGCAGAGCCGTCCACATGTACCCCTCCTCATCAAGGCAATGTCCATCCGGCACAGCATTCTCGCCGTACCTGTTGTCTTCAGGCATGGTGAAGTAGGAGCGACGGTTGGTGACGGAGCCGGAAACTGGATCGTAGTCGAATTTGTAGATGGTGCGGAAAGGACTGTCGGCAAAGTACATGGTATTGTCAAGCGCGTTCCAGGTGGTGCCGTTTGGGATCGTAATGTTTTCAAGAGGGCGGTGGAGAGAGAGGTCGGGGTCGAGGCGGAATACGCAGCCTGTGAGCAAATGCATGTCAGTTTCAGGGTCCCTACATGAGACTAGAATTGGATATGACAAATTGAGTATGCGTACCTTCATCAACTGGCTCCTTGACTAATGGATCGTTCATGAAGCCCACCCAGAACCTTCCCTGCGAGTCGACAGCGCCGTCGTTTCCGCGCATGTAGTTTGGTTTGCCCTCCGCAATTTCCCATTCATTCCAGACCTTTTTGAGCCACCTGTATTCGCCGGTTTCTTTGTTGGCTAAGCCATAGCCGTACTTACCACCGAATATGAATTCCCTGTCGTTGCCTTCGATATCCGCTGTGCATCTAGAGCCCGTTAGCTTTCGAATTTGGGAGACTTCTGTTGTCCACTCACCCTATTGAAACGTCCATCTTCCTCACCAGCTTATAGCTTGAAGGGCCGGCGTTCAAGTCAACACGGTGATATTCCATCTTTTCGACGTCAATGAACCGGAGCATGTTGGTTTTGTCTTCCCAGAACGGTCCTTCGCCGAGCGCGCAATTGAGGCGAATCCATGGCTATTGAAGAGAAAATGTCAGCTTAGAGCTTTTGGTAAAGCTAGTTGAATCAATCGAGCACACACTACGCCAATGGTTGAGGAGAGAAGCCTCGCTCTTCGAAATTTGAGCATGGAGTTCCAATGACGAAGGACGAGAGGGGCAAAAGCTACCCCTCCACAGCTCGAATCTCAGGTTCAGAAATTTGTACATACCTCTGTGATCTTATACTTTTTGACTCCTATGCTCGGCATTGGCGTAGGTGGTTTCGCAGGCGTATTTGAAGTCGGGAGGTTGTTTTCGAGGTCCTTTGTCGTCCCATTGACTTTTTGCGCGTTCTTTCCTCCACCGCCAGTCCATGCCGCTCTGCAGGCGCCCCACAGCTTTGATAGCGCGCCTCCCATTTTGTATCACGTTCCTACTGCTTACGATTCCGATTTTCTTTTGGTGTCTCGAAAATTCAATCCCTGAACGGAATGTGATAGAGGTTGTAACGAACACGGACTGAACTCCTCGGAACAGGTGAGTGTTACGACAGTAAAGAAGACGAAAAGCGCAAATCTTCTCTCCTCTGCCCCAGGACCGCCGCAGTGGCAATCGAGGTACATATGCTGATACCCATCTCATTCTGGGCGCGTTGGTGGACGGTCGTGCCGTTGCTCGGGCAGTAGGCGAGTCTCCTTAATGAAATGCGGCGCCAGCCATCAGATTGGTATTCTCTCGCTGGTCTGACCGTGGCAGGCAAAGCCGCAAACAGGACGTAGTATAGATACAGTATAGTGGTGCACACTGTGTTGATAATCCACTTTGATGATGTTGCGATATGGCAGTGCCTGTCGGCAGAGCGGGCCGATATTGCCATCACCTGAGGCAGCATGTGAACAGCGCTGGATTAGGAAGCGAAAGTGTCGGCGAGCAATGAATCTCCGCTCCGGCTGAGTGAGGCTAATAAGGAGCTATAGGTGGGATAATTTCTGTCCCGTGTTGGGCGAGCTTTCAAATTTTCCGAGAGCGATATGCAGGTCGACTGTTTGAGCTACATCAAATCGTGATCGCACACACTATCCCGCCCGATTGTGGCCTTTTATTTCTTGCATGTCGGGAACCCTGGCGGCGCTGGGAAGGGGCTGCTAGATGAGAATACGTGCATGATGCTTGCGATAAACTTTCCGATCACCGATGACGGGATGAAGCGCAACGAGATCCGTGGTTCTTTTCGGGAGGTAGAACCGATCGTGCCAAGACTGGAGGGTCAGACACTCAACACATTTGGTCGTGAACGTTAGCTGTCCAGAGCACGCTTACAGATGGTGGAATGTGGACTAGATTCCTGCAGTACGTAAAACGAATTGCGATTCGCGTGATGCTGAATGGAAACATATTGGCTCGGTATATTAATATGCAACTGAAGGGGTAGACAGAAAGTGGACCGTCAATTTTAGAGAAAGCGTAAGAAGAATTGACATAGTCCTAAGCACTAGGGAATGTAGTAAGAGTAGGGTGGGCTCAAGATCGGTACGGACCCCCATCACCTAATGCAGGTCGACTCGTGATTCTTGCTGGAGGCAGGACAAAAACACGGTGCCCCTGTAAAGTCGTGAAGTAAGAGAGGAGAAGGGGCGATAAAGATAAAGAGGGGGAAGGAACACCTTTGGGTTGGATAGTATTTGAGGTGCCACAAAAAGTGTATCTCGGTCGAGGCAGCTGCTAATTGGATAATTGAGAATGTCGATGATTCGATGATTTAACTTGCGAGGAGATAGAGCAAGAACATGCTGCCTTTCGGGATCCTCTATCCGACCGGGGAATGGCGGCCACCCACGAGGACATGTTTTCTTCAGTCCAGTGCTTGCACATCCCGCGAATCCTTAACAAGAGTCAAAATATTATTTCTCATCTGAGGGTAGAGCCAAAGGAATACCCAAAATGATGCCTTCTGTCCCGATTAACAACTGAGGTCGTTCTGGGTGGTTATGTCCTGACGCCTCGCCTAAGGTGAGAATTGTGTGAAGGCCTATTTTGCAGAAAAGAGAGGGGCAGCACAGTTTCTGGGCATACGTGAAGGACTAATGAAGATAATAAATGATGTTAATGGATATGGAAGGGTTTAAACTACTAGCAATGAAAGCAGATCTGCAGAGGGTGGCAGTGGCTGCGCCTCTCTTGTAGATAGCTGTATTCCTCGTAAAACTATCTAGAGGGTGCTCCATACCAGTAGCAAGGATGTTAGATGGTATGAGGGGTGTAATGATGAGGTTTCTGAAGATGAAATGGGTTTGCGAGATTGGGAAAAAGGATTGAGGGGAATTGGAGTATCGTATAAGCGCTCTAGCCAAGAACGGCTTAGCGCAAATACCTCCTCTGTTCGATGCTTCTTCCGCCTGCTACTTTCATCTTTGACTATCCACAGTCTCTGGATATGCTAAATGCTCTTACCTTACATAGTTTCGTCCGGTATAATTTATTAGATCGTGGATGTCCGGAGCAGCAGTCCTTATCTTCCTTTCATTGGACCTCGTAGCAGGTCAATTCTTTCTCAACTTTGTGATTGAAAATAGAACGAAAGGGTTATAGCCCGTGAAGGGGGGCGTGCATATCGGACTGGTTCATCTCCTTTGCCTTGAGGATGCCCTTGGCAGTGTGCTACAAGTGTCCACTCTCGTGAGTCCTTCTGCAGCCACACTCGCTTCTCTATGTAGAATACGAGCCCGACTCAACATCTAGCAACGCCATTGGTTCAATCGCTCAGGGAACGGACATTTTTCACGAGATGAGCTGAGAGTTATCTCCAGGGCAAGTCAAGTTTGATGTGATTGTGGAAAATGCCGTGGAGGCATGTACGGCTGAATATACAGTTGTGTGCCTCTTGCTGGAGATTATGTACCCTCTAATCCCGAATCTGGCGGCTTAGTCTGGACTGTTGACTTGCAAAACTTCACCATGAAGTCGATCTCGCCAATTTTCTTCTCTTTGGCGCTGCTTGCCTCCTCTTCGCCTCTTGTCTCTCGCGACTTGGCAAAGTGTAAGAATTTGCAGGCAAATACGAACAATGGTGGCCGTAAAGTTGCTATTGTGATTGACGAATCAGGCTCGATGGAGAGTTCAGATCCCTATGACTTGAGAATTCAAGCTGGCAGATCAGTCAACGACTGGCTCATTTCGTCCAAGGAGGCTGGAGGTGGGAAGCAGGCAGACTTGGTTACCGTGATTGGCTTCGACGATGTTACGCGCCTGTTATACCCTCTAGGAGACCCTGCTGGTGCGGACAAGGTGTTTTCTCAAATTACTACTCGAGGTAAGTTCGACTTTTCGATGGAGGTACTCCATACCTTTGTTTACGATTGATAAGGTGGAACTTATATTGCTGGAGGCGTCGACGATGCTATGACCGAGATAACCAAATCTGGACACGATCCCACTTCCAACCGATCAGCAATTGTCGTGTTGACTGATGGCGCGGATTCATCCACCACAACGCTTGTGAAGTCCATCAACAAGGCCAGCCAGCAAGGCATCCGCGTCTCATTTGGTTTCCTAACGGGCCTCTACTCCAGCTTTTCCTACCAAGATCAGAATGTGCTAGCTGCTATTCTTGGGACGGGCGGCATGTACGCAACAATTGACGGGGCGACCGCCCAAAATGCTTTTGTCAATCTCATGATCGTCCATGGCTTGACTGGCAACGACAACTCAAACTCGATCAGCTCCACTACGATTTATAACGGATTGTCCGTTGCTTTTCCTCTAGACACCTCTGGAACCAATACCTTGACCTATACAGCAGAGGCCAATGAAAAGCTGACCTTTTCCATTACTAGCGTCGCCGCTGGCGAGCTTACAGTTACCGCGAAAGATCCTGGCGGGAAAGAGCTGGGTAAGAGCACTGTATCGGCATATTCTTCTCTCCCAGTAGACCTCAAGGTAACTGCATCCACTGCGGGGCCCTTGCAGCTAAAGGTGGAAGGAAATACCAGCAAAGCGGGTGCAATATTTATTGTTGGTGTTAATTCATCCATTCCTCTAACAAACTGCACTTTGGGAGGAGGAGGAAGTGGAGGTGGCGGCCTTTCCACTGGAGCGAAAGCCGGAATTGGTATCTCAGTGCCTATCCTGCTTGGTCTTTCAGGACTCGGGTCCTTTTTCCTGTGGAAATACTGGAAAGGCATTCCACCAAAGACTGGCACAAGCCCCGCGGCGAACGGTCCTGACCAGCCTCAAATGGATTACAAACAACCATATGTACAAACGAACAGTCTACCAACCCCAAGTCCACAACCAACCAATATGCATCCAGGCTGCGCAATGCCTCCCATGAAGCCACCGACAGGCCCCAATAGCCTTCAGAATGATCCACAGAAACCAGGTAACCACAACTATAATCAACCTGAGCAACCCAGCTACAACCAGGTGGATCCATCACATCCAAATCAGCCAGATGCAAGCCAACAGCCGTTCAACCAGCAGAATCCTTCATACCCTCAGGGCGATCCGTCTCACCCAAGCCAGTCAGACATGAATCAACAGCCTTTTAATCAGTCTGACCCCTCTCATCCAAGTCAAATGGACCCCTCTCATCCACCTCAAGCTGATCCTTCCCACCCCAGTCAAGCGGATCCATCTCATACCAGTCAAGTAGACCCCTCACACCCTAGTCAGGCGGATCCTTCTCATCCTAGCCAAGCAGACCCATCCCACCCTACCCAAGCGGACCCATCTCATCCTACGCAGGCAGATCCTTCCCACCCTACCCAAGCTGACCCATCTCATCCAACTCAACCGGATCCATCACACCCAACTCAAGCTGACCCTAACAATCCACATTATCCTCCTCAGTCTGACCCTAGCCAGCCTGGCCAAAATCCAAATAATCCACAGGACCCCCATCCGAAACGTCTCCCAACCCCACGATTTCCACTACGGCTCTTCGGGCGTCGACGTAAGAAGGATGAGGAAAAGCCAACTCAAAACCAGGCATCTGGGCAGACTCATGCCCAATCCACAGGCGGTACATTCGCAGGCTCTGCCATGTCTCCTCCAGCACAGCAACAACATGGTGCACCGGGCGCTTTGTCATACCAACAGCCTGCTTACAGTTTTTCAGTTGGCGCCGCGCAGCCACAATACCAATATCAGCAAACTCAATATGGCCAACCTCTGCAGCCGAATTATATGAATCATTCATCGACTCCTCAACAGTATGCGGTGCCCGCGGGAGAAGCACAGCAACAACAACCAATATACTCACAGCCGCAATATGGCGCTCCTGGATCAGCAATATCTCCAGTGCAACAGTATGCGATGTCCATGGGATTCCAGACATCGCAGCCGCAACCACAACAATATCAATACATCGTGCCTGGAAACCCGTCTCAACTCCAACAATACTCTATGCCTCAGCCTCAATATGTGTATCCAGCCCCTGCAGTCTCACCACCTCAGCAATATGCAACTCCCTCCAACATTCCGCTTCCCCAGTCTCTCCCGGGATCGCCTCCGCCTGGTGGGATATCTCCCCCACTACAATACGCGACTCCGGTCCCAGTGCCTCAGCAGCCTCAGCAAACTTTGATCCCACCATTTCCTCAACCACCTTCTCCGGAACAGACTGGACGTGCACAGGCTCAGCAACAAGATACGAACCGAAATTCGTTCAATGTGAGCCCAATATTGTCTCCAGTGGAACTCACTCCACCCCATCAAAATGTTAGTCAACAGCCGAACCAAGAGGATGTCATCAGCCCCGTGAATACTGGAATGGGGACAATTCATCGGAAGCCAGTTAGACAGTAGAGCTAGATAAAATACTACAGATTTATCTTTCTTAGCTTTCTCACAGAGTCCAGCAACAAAGTAAACATAAAATAAAAGGGGGAGGTTCTCCCTAGTAGCATTTCATGACGCGTGATAGCCTACTTCATTACAGTTCTCTGTTCAATCTCTCTGTCATTTAAGGTGTTAGGACAATCATGATACCTTGATGGCAATGTTATGATCTCGACCTAATAGAGGATCTATAATCGAATTATCGCGTAGCTCTTTCAATCAATCCATTATATTTTCGTATGCTAGATTGTGGTGTGAACGCTACTGTAGTTAGAGTTTCAATATCTTTAGAAGTCGGTGAGGAGAGGAAAGAGCCAATGAAGTTCTTTCCTTCAATGCGAAACGAGGTGGACACTAATCGAGAGAAGAAAGGATCGACGCTGGGTTTCTCTGATGTGAGGCTGAGCTTTAGGCGCCAGCACTCCTCGAGCAACGCATGATGTAGCTTACGGATTACACACTCTGTGACGCTGCAAATGCCTCCCAATTCTTCACCGGCGGTGGCGCAGTCCCCCTGGACTATATCTTGAGGGTAGTGCTCTTTTCGCCCTCAATACATTCATAATCGTCATCATGCTCGACCCGGTATCGGCAGTAGGCGTGGCTGCTGCTACCGTACAGTTTGTCGACTTCAGCACCAAGCTCTTTGCAGTGGGGAAAGAACTACGAGGTTCCCTTACAGGGCAAACGGCTGAACGCATTCAACTTGATGAAGTATATTCGCACCTCAAAACGATAAGCACGAAGCTGTCTCAATCAACTCGACCACCTACAGCGACGATACCATCACAAGAAGAACAGGATTTGTATCGGTTAGCAGGCTTGTGCCAGCAAGAATGCGATCTGTTTCTCGTCAAGATTGACAAGGTAAATCGCAAGAGCAGCTCTCAGAGAACCTTTAACACTTTTCGCGATGCGTTGAAGTTAGTGTGGAGCCAGAAGGCTATTGATGGTCTGGAGAAGAGACTAGAGAGGTATCAGCGGGAACTGACTCTTGCTCTAATTAACCATCTTGGGTAAGGAAATCTTCTATTTTTCGTCAACGTATAGTTGAGCATCAACAAGGTTGCAAATTCAAGCACAGATGGCTAATCTGCGATTGTTAGAAATGGTCAGTCTTCCATCGTCCGTGGTCTGCAGACCCTCATTGCAGACAACCGTCGTCTTGAGTCTAGTCAAAAACGCCAAATCGACGACATTACCGATTTGTTGATTGGTATCCAAAAAGAACAAGATTCCCAGCGAAACCGCTTCGGTCAATCAGGGGCTCCATCTACCTCTCATATTGGATATGTCACTATGAAAATACCATGGGCGTTTCATGTTGCATCGCAGATGATTCTTCAACAGAGATTTCTGTCCTCACTTTATTTTCAATCCCTCAAACTTCGTCATTCCCGAATTGAGAATGCCCATGACCGGACATTTAAATGGCTGTTCCAAAAACCTGGTCTCAAACAACGCGGATCAGATCCAAAGATGAGATTTCTCAACTGGCTTCGGTCTGGGCAAGGCATCTTTTGGGTGAGTGGCAAACCGGGCTCTGGGAAGTCCACCCTGATGAAATATATCAACTCGAATCCGCGGACTGAGGAGGTACTATTCGAGTGGGCGAACCCAAGGACAATCGAGAATCCTCCAAAAAAACACGATTCGCCTCCAAATATGACCTTTTTCTCGCGTCGAGTAGATGACGAAAGCGACGACGCCTCGGACGAGAGCGAGGAAGTCAGTAACACGCAGGAGCACACACAAGATGCTGGAGGTGATTTTGATGAAGAGATACGAGTAGTTGTGGCGAGCTTTTATTTCTGGAGCGCTGGGACGAGCATGCAGAAGTCACAGCAAGGCCTTTTTCAATCCCTCCTTTACGAAATATTTAGCCATGCGCCTGATCTGATGAAACAGGCGTGCCCAATTCGGTGGCAAGCGGCTGAGGTAGGCGAGAGCCAGGAACCCTGGACGATCGAGGAAATATCGGATACCATTAAACGGACAATTGGACTGGCAACTGATTCTATCAAATTCTGTTTCTTCGTAGATGGGGTCGACGAGTACATTGGAGACCACTTTGAGATGGTTCGAGTCCTGGAATCCTTTGCTCGACTGCCTAATGTCAAAATTTGTGTTTCGAGCCGGCCTTGGAATGTTTTTGAAGATGCCTTTGGGAAAGACTCTGACCAAAAATTCTATCTCCAAGATCTCACTCGCGGAGACATCGACCGCTACGTCCGTAGCAAACTGAAACAGCACCCTGCATGGAAAACGCTTACACACGATGATGAGCGCTATAAAGCAATTGCTACCGAAATTATTGAAAAGGCTCAGGGCGTATTTCTTTGGGTATTCCTAGTGGTACGCTCGCTGCTCGAAGGGTTGAGTAACGGTGACACCCTGTCCCTCCTCCAAGAAAGGCTCCGGCGGATACCGACAGATTTGAGAGACTTTTTCAAGTATATGTTGGACTCTCTAGACCCGATTTATAACCAACATGTTGCCCATTTCTTCCTAGCTGCGTTAGACTCGGACCCTCTTCCTCTGATGATGTACGCCTATTTCGAAGAGGAATTTGATGATCCCAACTATGTCTTTGAGCTTAACAACACTCAAATGGAAACCTATGACATCATTCCACGCCATAAGCAGACCGAGAGGCGCCTCAATGGTCGATGCAAGGGACTTCTGGAAGCCAATCGTGAAGAGGGCGTCGACTTTTTCCGTTATAGTGTAGGGTTTTTGCACCGGACAGTCCGAGACTTTTTCTTAACTCTCGAGATGAGAGAAGAGTTTGAGCGCAGATTACCTTCGTCGCTACAAATCTGTGTTTCCATGGCTAAGTCCTCGCTCGCCTTGATCAAAAAGTCCCCTAGAGTTGGCGAAGTCGTCGGCAAATCCTCGTCGTTTCGATACCTATTGGATCTCACATTGTACAGTTCTCGGCGGGCCGAACTGTCTAACGGAGCACCGACAACCAAGATTCTGGATGAGCTCTCATATGTCCTCAAAGACTTGAACTTTTACGAATCTTACTGGTCTGGAACCAAAGAGAGAGGTGGAGATACAAGAGACATGTTCCTTGCATTAACACTAGAAAGGGGGCTATTATTGTACACATCCCAACAACTTGAGTATCGGAGTCGAAATCCAATCTCCACGCGAAGATTGAATCTTGGAGGCGAACAAAGTTGGTCCCTTTTAGACTGTGCATTGACACTTCCAAGATCGGAATCCTTTGATGAGCCTGATGTATCCGATATGGTACTTTATTTGCTTACGAATGGCTGCAACCCGAACGAGTTGCACAACAATAAGACTCCATTCTCTCGCTTCCTTCAACGTATGGGACTCGAACAAATGAATGAGAACGCCGGAGCCGAGACCTCTGTCTACTCGCATAGATTAACAGTCTTAAAACATCTCCTGACACATGGGGGAGACCCCAACTTTGGGGCGAGTGAAGGGTCGTGGGCAACATGGGTGACATTTTTCCGCCGCCTCTACGAGCAAGATGTTCCCAAGAAGCACTGTCAGCATTTTATTGACATTATCGAGCTACTTTTATCCTTTGGAGCAGATCCGAATCGCCCTGCTGAGGGTGTATGCCGATGCTGTCGAACATTCACTCCGTGGAGGCACTTCCTTACTTGGAGAGGTGGATTGAAAGGAATCAAGGCAGCTCCATTCCACCAACAAGAATTTCTCGCACGCGTGTGTACGCTCTTATTAGAACATGGAGCCGATCCAACAATAACATTTCCTCAATCTAAGAACTCCTGGGTGGTAGCTAAAACTGCTAGCGCTGTGAATCTGCCCGGACTATCCGTAGCGGACATTATCCGCACGGACTTCCCAGCCCGACTTGCTGCGCCGGTTCTTGCAGCACTCCCAATAGAGGCCAAGACGTCGAATCAAAACCAGTGCGGAATTCGTGGACCTGGTAGTACTCCATCCCCTGGTGGTACATATTCTGAATCCATCGCAAGACCCTCGACAATATCACTCTGGAATCCTTTGTCCTGGCTGTCGTACTTCCGCCAGCCACCACCACCAGCAAAGGAAGCCCATATCCAAAGCTTGGACCTATTCACACGAGTCTCAGACGACATAGCATTCACGGACCTGGACCCTGCTTCTGCATCCCAGAACCCCGCACTCGCAATCACTCTTAGGAAAATGGGCTTCACATGCTCGTCATCGGCTCTTCCCAAATCGTTTCTTCTAGCTGCCCAAAACCGATTCACTACTGCCGAGCTTCGAGGCCACCGTCGTGCTGAAGTGAGGTCTCCAATCTTCTTATTCGGTGCACATCTCTTTCCGGGTATTACCATGCGATGTATGTCAAATGACAATTCCTATCCTCACCGGTACTTAGAACCTTCCTCCGCGCTCCGTGAAATCTCACGGCGCATGACTCCGGCGACACTCAATCGGTACGAGTGTCGGGCCATGCGTAACACACCATGGCCTGCTCTTATTAGCTCTGGTTTAGGAACGTCTACTACTGGAATGTTACTGTTTACGCAAGACAGGTCTCTGCAATTCGAAAATATGTTCGAATTTGAAATGATTTTCGATAAGGACTGGGCACAAGTGGATATTGAGACAGCAGATGGAGAGAAAGAAAGTATCATCGCACAGATACATGTTTATAAGGGAGTTTGGAACGATCTCGTTCCCGTGGAAGAGAGACGCTGGGACCCATCTCGCTTGTTAACAGAACGGAGGCTGAAGAACGCTTTTGATCGTGTACGAGAGCTAGAACATGATATGTAATTAGAAGAATGTTGACAGAATGCCGCGCTGGTTTTTAAAAGCCTGACGTACGGGGGTTGGGACTAGAGATTGTAAACGTTGTATTGTCTGCTTGCACCCTGCTGTTCGATTTTGCTTGCATTGCATACACCCTCCGCAAAATTGGATTGGATAGAATTGTGCTTTTGTAGGGAATTTAAAAGAAAGCACATACTATAAGAGGTCTGTGTGCATGGTATGCGTAAAGGTTAAACACTGAACTTTGATTATGTCTTGGAGTGTCGCAAAACGTTGTTGAGAAGCAAATATACACACCAATGTCCTTCTAGAATTAGGAGGCTGCTAAAGAGACCACATGTTTTGTGTCAAACTAAGCGCTATCGAGTTTCGTGACCTTCCAAGGTCAATAAGAGTCTCAACACGTGATTTGTTTTATCTCTGATCCTGTCAAGGCAAAGTAAGCCACGCATTGGAACGTGTTATGAGACAAGGTCCTTGGTTGAATCCTAGTGTTTATGCCCTTAGCTCATATTCAACAGACAATACGTTTTTAATAGTGATTGATTTGGAAGGCAGTTGTGACCAGAAAAAATCCTCAGTGTCGGCTGAATACCAAGACTGCAAGCCTTTCCAAGCTGTCCTTGGCCACTCTCCAATCCGCCTTCGAAGCTTCGAGATGCTTGTTATCGATGTGACCATGTGCAAAGGCATTTCGACCTGCCGCAAACAGGTGTGGCGCCGCTCATCGCGATGCTAAAACAACACCTAATGTCCGTACGCAGCAGCAGCGTCGCGGCCTGGATACGAGCGATCGCGCACGAGCAGGATCACGTATCTATGTCACATGATGCTCGTGCGCGAACCTCTGTGCGCGAACATCTAGATATCCCCCTTTTCCTCTATACAAAGGAAAGATAAGAGCAATAAAACTAGAAACATATTGCCCTTACTTTACCTACCTTATACACTGTGCACACTGTACACTACTCTTACTTTTGCTACTTAAGTGCTTATACTATAAGCAGCTAGCTGTTAGAGCCTATTTAATACTAATTAGTAGTTAATTTAATTAACTATAAATTAGTAAAAGTAATAATAAAGTACTTATACTTTATAAAGTACTTTATTTTATTACTTATTTTTTAGAAAGAGTAATAGTAGAGTACTTACACCTTATAAAGTACTTTATTTAGTTACTTATTTCTTAAAATAGTAGATTAATTCTTTGCATTATACAGTAAGCTCTGCTACTATATAAAGTAAAAAAAAGATAGTGTAAAACGCATACTAAAGCTACTAAAGCTGCACAACCTAGTAGCTAAATAATAGCACATTAATTCTTTACATTATACAGCAAGCTCTGCTACTGTATAAAGTAAAAAGGAGATAGTGTAAGGCGCACACTAAAGCTATTAAAGCTGCACAACTTAGTAGCTAGATAACAGCAGTACTTATATAATCTACTAGAAAAGTAATTAACTATACTATTATAATAAAATCTTATTAGCAACTAACAACTCTATGTAATAATAAAAAAAATAAAAAATAATTTCTATTATATAAATAACTTATAAAGGATATAAAGATATTAAAAGTAACACTATAAAACAAGACTAGCCTAGAGTACTAAAATAATAAAATTAACATATTAAAAGCTTTAATAAGCTTATAAACTTAATTATACATAAGTTACATAATTACTAATTTACACATAATAACTTAAAAAGGCGCTACTTTTCTAAGTATGTATATAAAAGATTTTAAAAAATAAACACTATAAAACTTTTTAGCACTTAGCTATGTGTTTAAAAAAGAGCTTATATAAGTACTAAAAAACAAAAAAATTACACTATAGCTAGGCACTAAAGGTACCTAAGCCTAGAAGCTGTATAATATAGCATAAAAAAAAGTAATTACACTAAAAAAGCTTTATACATAACCTTTATTACTATATAAAGCTCTGCATAGAAGTAAACTAAACATAATGCTGCTATTAACACTAAACATACTAGCATTACTTGCTTCTACACTTTAGCTAGCACTACACTAATTACTGTACAAATAATACATGCTACTCTACCTAACGCCTGCTCCACACCCTTAATTGTACACACCACTGCCTGCAGTAGTGTATGCACCACTAATACCACCTGCACAATCTATACTACATTACAACCTGTACAAACTTCCACCCTAGAGGGAAACTGCTAAAAAAAAACTTCTAGCAAATAAAATTATATAATTTTAAAAAGTATAAAAAAAAATAATAACTATATAAGTTAACTATATAATATTTTTATAAATAAAATAAAAATCTTTATTAATTTATGTTAATAGCTAGATATTTAGAAAACTTAGTATATAAACATCTTTCTAAACATTCTAGAAAGTTAGGTAAATATGTACTATATATATAATATAAGCTTTAGATATAACTAGAAGCATTTATATAACACTTTAAGTAGTTACTTTAATACTAATATAAACTATAGCTAGTACTAGATAGACTAAATAATAATAACTTTTACATAATGCTAATAAAAAAACTTTAATAAAAGTTTATATAAAGTCTTTAAAATAATAATTAATAAGCTTATGCTTATATA